TTTAAGTCAGTCACAGAATACGGAATCTGGCCGCATGGAAAAATCCAAACCGTACACGTGCTCATCAGGGATGTCAAAATATCATGTAGAATTCTGAATTGGATTAATAAGGGAAACGTTTAAACAAGGTCCTATTCAAAGCGATTTTGGCCTTCATCAATGAGAAGAAAGTCAAGTGGGCCAATTTAACTCAGATGTCACATGTGATCAGATTCTTTTAGCCATGTTGTACAATCTTTACAAACTTTAGTATGAAAAAAATTCAGATATTCTGTTATTACTGTCAAGCCTTTGTGAGTGACTGATCCTCTTTCACACAGTTACACTCATCCCTCACACCTCTAACACATGCAGTTAATTGCATGCATGTCTGACAGACTTATGGCCAATTACTTTACAGACTCTACATTGTCTTAGCTGTACACAAAGTAATCTGTGAACTCGTCTTCAGACCCTGAAAGTAACTGGTACAGCTGGACATTTTAAAGGTGAATAGAAAATCATTTTAAAAGACAGTGAACCTCCCAGAGCAACAAAACATTGCTCACATATCGACAAAATGCTGCTGGGCGTCTGGTAAATATCATAGAAATAGCCCAGCTAGTCTTTTTTTGTCCCAGCTAAGGACGAACAATGGATACTGTACACTTTGATGTCGGCCTGTCTGTAGTAGTTTCAGTCATTTGGGACTAAAGAAGCCTTTGTCTGTCTTTGTTGAGGTTGCTGCCTCAGTGCCTTGTATCGAGTTTGTTCTCTTGGTACTTCTTTACTCCCTTCAGGGTTAGTAGATTTCCTTGCATCCACAGTATCTCCCAGCTCACAAGACTGATTCAGTGTCCCAGCGCTATTATTGACCTCGGTCTGAAAGCCCTGACTGACTTCACTATGCTGTTATTGAGGTAAAAAATGAAGGCATTGTGCTTTGATTTTTCTAGATGTTACACCTTTAAAGTGCTCCCTACAACCACAATGTTCTCTGATCACATGATTAAGATTTTACTTTTTTAAAAATCACTTCCCAATGACAGCAAGCAGATCATGTTTCCATAAATTCCTATAACATTTCCTGATAGTCTAATACCATCCAGTGAGTGCCCGTTTCTTTGCCCGTCCAGCTGGCTTGTCAGCCTGCAGCTACAGAACCTCCAGAGCACTGTTTATAACTAAACAGTTAGGCTGTTGTAAACATGAAATTAATCACTTTCTGCCCACCCAAACTGGGCGTTCCTGTTTGGAGAGACCTGCCAGGGGTGGAAATAATGCAGTTTGATCGCTCTATGGTTTCCAAAATGAGTCAGATAACAATATTTATCACTGCAGTTCTAGCTTTTCCTTGGCATCTAAACAGCAGGTGTCAGCTGTAGCTTCAGGACGGTTTTATTGCAGTTGTTACGAGGTTTTTCAGAACCTGCAGCCAAACGCACCCTCATCAGGGCTGAGTACGACTCATCATTAGAAAACATGTGGAACAAAGCATGATGAGCCTCTCTGTGCCTCCACATCTCCTTCCTGCCATTTTTATGACTTTGGCTTTCTTAGCATGTGTGTGTCAGCTGTCAGGGTCTGTGACTATGGGGCGCTGAGGACTCCTCCTAATGGTTACCCAGCTGTTGCGTCATCCTGGGACACACACACTCCAGCCAGATGCTGCGTGGAAGGCAGCAAGAAACATATTCGTTGATGACCATCAACATCACTTCCTGTGCCTCTGCGAATGGTTGCGATTGGAGGAAAGAGATTTGAAATGTTGCAGAAGGCAGGCGGTTGTTTATATAACTTCATGCAGGACAACAGAACTATAGCTGTAAGAGTGATTAGTCAGGGCTTATAAATCTGATTATCCCGCACAGCTTTATAATCACCCCAACGTATTTATAGTTTCTGGAGCCGCTCCTTAATGACTTATAATAGCAGCGCTCAGGCTCATTAGTTTAAAATCTGTCCTTTTGTTGGGTTTAAGATGATTTTCTGTGTGATAGTGGAAGTTTGCTGCCTTAATCTGTGAATGGCCCTGCTGTGTGGAGCAGGTTTTGTAAAAATGCCCAAACTGTCCCAAAAATCTGGATAAGCTACAACACACATGACGTGGATTCAAAGATGAACGTCCACAACAAAAAGGGTTTCACATGCTTCCTCACGCTCGCCTGCTATCTCCTCCAGACAAAGAATTCACAGTCATCTTTGAATAATCCTGCTCTTTCACTACTCAGTTCTGCATATGTGTGTGTGTGTGTGTGTATTTGAGTGTGTGGGGAGATAGTATTAGTGCAGCTCTGGGGGTTGGGAAATTCCTGCCAAAAAACATGAAGTCACTATTTCTCCTTATTAGCCTCAGCAATAAGGAATGAAGATGTCTTTCCAAGAATGTGAACCCAGGAGGTTGACGTTTAACCTCTTCTATGCTTTGTATTTCAGATGATCACAGGTAGAGTGATTGTTACTCCCAAAATAAAAATACATTTTCATCTAGTTTTAGCAAGTTGTAGACATAACTCGTGTTGCTCTTTGAGAGGCAAACGTGAAGGGTTTCCTTCACATCTGTGTCCCCCTCCGTCAGACCTACCCTTGCATTCCTCCAGCCGTGCCACGTCTTTCATGTGTGATAGTGAAAAGTTGGCTCTTAATGGCACCATAAAGGCTGCTCTGCGTCATATTCCCGCTGCTCGACCACATTCTCGTTAACCTCGCATTCTGCATGTGAGTGTGCAGGGGCTGTTGAGACAGCGGCTCTCTGGTTACAGTGTGGAGAAAAACCACGCATAACTGCAGCGCAGTGCCAGCGCTGGTGCTGTGTTGGGTAGGCCTAATCAGTGGTCCCGGACCAGCATCGAAATTCTGCCGCATACTGTTGTCATGCGACAGCACTGTCACAGCTGGTCGTGAATGCAAATGGGGCCGCCTCTTGACCGAGCACGTACTCCTGGGCTGTAAGAAGGGCGATGTCTGTTTTATTAGATTTGAGGAAATCAAATTGTGCATTGTTCCTCCATATGTAGTATTCCACTTAGAAAAAGTGAGTGAATTTGTTATAGTGAGTATTTTGGTGAACAAAGCAGAAATAAACTAGCTGTCAGGAAAATTAAGCTCAGTAAAGATGCTTTGTTTTTTTTAAAGCATCAAATCTGTTTTTGTATTTTGTGTTTTAAGTCCCATAAATCACACAAAAATGATGTTGCTTTCAGACAAAACCAGACAAATCCTCATTCTTGCTCACGACAGTCAGTGTGCTTCACCAACCTGCTCACATTAAAGTCACCCGCAAATTCCTCTTCAAATCCTTCATACGGTGTATACAATTGTCAGATATTCTGAGCAGTAACCCGGGGTGAAAAGCTCTTCTGTTTTACATTAGAGACAGCTGTTGATAGAGACTGTGTCCAGCCATGTCATGCTAAGCGGACCTATGAGGTGTGCAGCTGATTAAAATGTTTCTCAGGGGATTATCGCATTGGTGTACTAAGCACTGATGAGGTCAAGTGAGCAAGAGCTTAGCTCAAAAATCCTAATTCCCACTTTGATGGGCTTTTTCTTGGCACTTTCTGCACTCGACAGGGAGCTCCTGTTATTTCAGTGCCACTGGAAATTACCATAAAAGCTTTGAAACCTACTTTTTAAAAACTACATAATTATGCAAAGTACAAATGTCTAAACCTCTTACAGAGTTAAGCACGAAGGTGGATCCAGTTGCCGTTAGCTTATTAATAAAGACAACAGCCAGTGTTCTTGATATCCTGTGACAGTATGAAGAATTCAATTTAAGAATACAAATAAGGTGGTATATTTCACCCTCAGTTAATCTGTGAGAGAGAACAGTTTCAACTAGTCTCTCAACCAGTTACAGAGTTAAATCTTTTGCACCTGTGCTGCCAGTCAGCTTGACGGGAACCATACACGTCACCTGGCTGTCGGTTAGATCTGCTCAATGTTGTTCTCTCAGGCCTGGGCAGTTAGAAAGTCAGAGTGACTGGCTGTGACCTCCTTTCCAGCTCATCTGAGAGAGCGCAAAAGGGAGGAGGGAAGCAGGAGGGAAAATAAACGTCCTGATGGGTAGGCCAGCCAACATTCCTACATCACTTCCTCCTCTAACATCTGGCAGTCATCAGAGCCAGCAAAGAGGGAGAGGGGATGCATCTCACTGGCTGGCTTAGTGTTCACTTCCAGGCGTAGACGGAAGGCATCACATTGCAGGAACTCCCACTCAACCTTTCCCAATACCAGAAAAAACAAAAGAGAGCAAGAGGGAGTGCTTTGATTCACTATGTCCGTACTACAGGTTTTCTTTTGGCAGCGAGTCTAAGGTCTTTTTCATCACATTTAGTTTTGTGTGTTTAGTATGGTTGTGTCATAATCAAAGAAGATAAAACTCCTATGTCTGAGAGTAATGATGAAAATCCTTTCTTCTTTTTCAGGATGGCCTAGCTGTGCTTTTTTGTCAGTGGCCTATAAGCTTCAGCTATCTGGACCAGAGGTGTGTAGCTGAATTCAGTTTAATGACCAAAAGCATCATCCAAAAGTCAGCAGATTCATTTATCCTTGATTTTTACTATTTCTTTATTTTATTAAGATTTTTGTCACCTAATCTTGTGGTCGAATTAAACACAAAATAGGAGGTAAAGAAAAGTAAAGAAAAACCCCAGTCAATAATATTTTGGTTTTCATCAATTGACAATGTCGTCATACATCTTTTTCCAATGGCTATGGGTATTGCTTTATGATATTATCAGAAGAATTGTGAATTCCAGAATGCTGAGTCGCCACAAATAAAATATATGAGCTTAATCTGTTATTTATTGAAATAAAAATAGAATCTTTGGTGTCAACAGGTGCCTGAATCACACCTGTTGACACTGCATGAGACGTGATTATTGTTCACAAATGCCAGTGCTTTGGCGGTGTGTTTCCACCTGTGGGATCAACTGCTGCAAGTGTGCATCAAACTACAGCTCATATTCACCTTTGTTTCAGGAGGAGTTTACTAGTGGCAGCAGCAGGGTGCAGAGATGAGTGTGACCTCCTGGTTCCTGGTGAGCAGCGGGGGAACGCGCCACCGACTCCCCCGGGAAATGATCTTTGTGGGTCGGGACGACTGTGAGCTCATGCTGCAGGTGAGGGCTCTTAAACACACCACTGACCATCCACTGAATTAGGACAGAAGTAAGAAGTGCTTTTCATAAACTTGTATTGTATCAGATTTGATCTCTGTTTCAGCGGTGCTCTGTCTTGTAGTCTTTTTTGATGGATTTCCTTTACAGATAACACGAAAATGTCTGTATGGTGAGTGTTAGTGCGAGCATTTACGGAAAAATTCCTTTCAACCACACGAATAAATCACAGCCTTTCGCAGTAATCTGAAGTTATTACGATAAAAGTACTAAGTAAGCTGCAGACCAACTCCTTATTGCTCCACTCTGGCATTAGCTGAACACACGTCTGTGTGTTGGTGTGTGTCTGTGCAGCTGTGCACACATCCAGAGAGACCGTGTATACCCTCATGTGTACCTCTGGTCACCGCACTATTAATAGAAAGTGGGGCAGATACCTCTTGAGTTAGATCTTATCCGACTGAGTCAGTTGTTGTGAATAGAGGACGCATCCGTAGCTGCTGCAATATTGAGAGAAGTTTTTCTCTGGTGGCAGTCTGAAAGTCTCTCAAAGACACATTCACATTTTATGATCCGTGTTTGTTCCATATTGCGAATAAATCTGACTGTGAGTGGTGTTGTGTGTCAATACTTGAACTCTAAAATCTAAACATCAGAGGTGTCTCAAATGTGATTTTCTCATGAGTTTAACCGGCTGAAGATTAAAAGCTGGCATTCTGATTTTCTAAGTTCTCTGTAGTTACATACATACAACATAAACAAGGATATTCATCTCAGTTGAAAAAAGTGTTTCTTAGTATTGGACTAGTTTTAACTCCAGGAGTCATTAGAGTTGGAAAAGACCCACCTCTTTAATATGTTTCCAGTGACCTCAAGGTTTATCGTTGCTGTGTGTGTTTGCTGTATTTTTATCTCTCTGATGTCTTTGGAACGATAAGGGAAACCTTTCAAATTAGGGACTTTTTTGGCTTTGAGTATGTGTGTTGGCGAAGCTGCTTAGAGTTTTCTGCCATGTGACTATCTCAGCAAGCCAAGGCCTCATCACATGGCAAAACCTTAAAGGCGATTGGGTCATGCACCAAATAAAACACAAACAGAGAGCCTCACAGACGGCGTCGAAGTGAAAATGAATGTTTCAGAAAAATGATCCCAAGGCTGCTCAAATGACCTCCGTCTTTTTGTCAAACTATGGCTTTTTTTGTTTATGGTAAAAGGGAAGGACCTGATTAAATACAGGAACATGGTGTCAGCCTGAATCATCCAGCGTATTCCTCCTTTTGGCTTCAATCTGGTTCACTTTAGATGACATTCTCTGTCTCACAGGGGAACTCGTTTAGCCACAAGTGGAAGGAGGGAATTTTTCTCTATTTACTCATCTTTAAAAGTTCATTTCTACCAAAATGTGATTCGGTTGGCTGACTCTTATCTTTATGCGTAATTGGTGCATACTTCCCACTTATCCCACTTTGTTCTGACTGGTTTGTAGATCTTTGTAATAGAGTGAAACCTGCTTCCTGCTGTGTGAGGTGTAACAGGCAACTCAGCAGATTCCTGTTCGGTTTGAGACGGGTTCATCTCACTAATGTAAAATGTCTCAATGTCGGCTCTTTGGTTTCTTCATTTAATCAATATCCTAACAGTTTGACTTACTTAAGAGTTTTCTCCTTTAAAACAAGAATGGAATAAGTTATATGAAACGGTCACATGACAGCTCAAATTGAGATTCACTTCCCAAAAGTGGTATTGGTTAACTTCAACATACTAAACTGACTAATGCAGAGGGGGGCCAAGACTACAATAACTAGATGTGTTTGCATTTGTTCTGATGGTTTTACTTCACTTCACTGGTACTGATACGTGTGAAAAATATTTAGAGAATTCCACAAAAGGAGTTTCTATTGGAGGTCGGAGGCTCATTCCACACATGCATAGGTTGGATTTTTCTGTCCTGAAAACAGTTTGCCCTTGAAGCAGATAAATAGTAGCATTGAGATTCACCTTCAAAGCTGCATTCATATCATTGGACATTAATGCCTCTAACATGTTGTCCCATTCTTGTGTGATAAAGGAGTTAGTTGCTCACCAGTGCCAGTTCTACTTTTGTCATAAGCCTTTATTGCAAAAGCAGAATATGCTGATCTTCCTGCAGTCCACCCGACTGTATGCTAGGCCTCCCCAGAAAAATCAATGTCTGGATGGAATGATATGCTGATTTCAGGCTTTGTTTATGTTTTTGTTTGCAGTCCCGCAGTGTGGACAAGCAGCACGCAGTCATCAACTATGAGGCTGGAAATGATGAGCACAAGGTCAAGGACCTGGGCAGTTTGAATGGGGTAAGTGCAAACACAGACAATATACAACATCGAAAGGTAGGGAAGGACAGGAAATAGTAACTAAGGGAAAGGGTCAACTATGGGGAGCAAAGAGAAAAGGATTTTAACCAGTTGTAGGAGTGAAGACTCCTGAACATGGTGTGGAAAGAAATAATATGTTCAAAGTCATGGAATTTTAGGACAATCATGTGGTAAACATGAATGCATCATTTTGAGACAAGTTTGAGACCTTTTTAATCAATTATATCTTGATAAAGGCTGAAGTTGATTTAATTAGTTTATTACCAAAACTTACTCCGTACAATTTATCCCAGAAGAACTCCATGTATGAACCAAACCATACATGTGAAATATTGGATCTCTGATGGGGGAACTTACATTTTTTAAAGATGTCTGTTTTCTGACTTTGATGAATTCTGTTCAAAGCTTCCACCCACCTTTAGTCATGTGTTGTGATTTGGACTCAGTCAAAGCCCACCAGATCAGACTCATGTGCACAGTTTCCCTGATATCCTCTCCAGCTCTCAGACAGGAAGTCAGAGTCACTTCCTGCTGTGTCATAAACCATCCAGCTTCTGTGGCTGGATTCAGAGGAAGTTTTCTCCTGCTGAGTCAGAGCTTTGCCACACACAGGAATAAAAAGTTTGGAGGGTGTCGCCATTTGTGCTCTAACTGAGGCCATTTCACTGCTGTTTTATTGAGCGGTTGTGATTTCATCCCACTAGAGAGAAATCAGGAATGTTTTATTACAACAGCAGAGCAAGCAAGTTCAGCGAAACGTGATCTTCCTCTGAGCTGTAGGTGAGAAAGTTAGGAGAATGGAAAGAGCAATATGAGAGAGAAGGAAAGCAATAGAAACTAAACATACAAAAAAACAAGAAGACACATAAATATTTAGTCGTATTTAGTCCTTAATGGGCTACTTACTTTGGTCCCCATATGCAGGAACCACTTTTAGTATTACTGTTTACTGAGCCACATAGGGAGCATCTTTTTAATATACATGACTTTTTTTCATTAGATTAGACTACAGCCAATGGTAAATAACTATTTTTGTTCATCAAATTCTGAACTGTGCGTAAATGCTGCTTTCTTTTGGCTTTTACCTAAAAATTAGATAGATGATCTTTAGTTTTTCATAGTTGGTCACATAGATTATGGTGCCTTTGTTGTAACCTCTTAATTAAAATGTCTATTTGGTATAGATCAAATATAGAAGTGTTTGAAAACAAATGTGGAAATTGAGAGGTTTTAGCAGCAGGCCTTATTGCTTAATGGATGCAACTTAGTAAGAGGCATTTTTACTGTATTCTTTTCATTCTGTGGAACAGTTTGTGTTTATGTTAGCAAAAGTTACCACATCTTGAGTTTTTGCTGACCTGTACCTTTCATCTGCAGACCTTTGTGAATGATGTCCGCATTCAGGAACAGATGTACATCACTCTGAAGTTGGAAGACAAGCTGAGGTTTGGATATGATATCCTTTCAGGTCTTTTTTGTCTTTTTTATCTCTGTGTGTAAATTCCATTAAAGTTAGAACAGCAGGTTGTAGTTGTGATGTTATGTTCCTTAGCCTCTTTGTCTCACATACAAATCTCTTCACGGTGGTGCGAGGTGAGCTCACTGTACCTGAAGAGGCTCTCAAGGTGAGAACGCAAACTGTGCCCTTCCTTCTTTTAAAGTGGTATTGTGAAAACAATGCCGTCGTTTTATCTACGACGGCATTGTTTTTCAGTTCATGTTGTAATTTACACATCTCTTTTCAGCATGAAAAGTTCACCAGCGGCCTCCAGCTCAGCAAGAAGCCAAACAGCTGTGAAACCACAACCAACACCACCACCAGTAAATCTCCAACTAAGACCCCAACAAAGACGCCAAAGCCTCCCAGTGCGAGCAACACAAAGTCTGTGGAGAGACGAGTAACAGATGGGGTCTCTTCCTCTAAAGAGCCATCCTCCAAACCTGTGGACCCTCACAAAGCAGATGACAGAGTAGGAGGTGAGATGTGGAAGAATGGGGGAATGTGACAGTAATCCTAGTCCAGTGGGGGGATTGTAGTCTTTGCAGACTAAGATTTCAAGAAGAGTCAAGCTAAAAACTCATTCTAAAAATAGTGCAGGTGTAGTTTGTAATATAAGTGTTTTTCTTCTTAACGGTAACAGTTACCTGACATAATAAGCAGTGGGGTTTTACCACAGACCACCAGGGGGTGGACATGGTCATCAGGAAAGAACCTTAACATAATAGTTACTAAAATAGTTACTTAGTTTGATCTCAAAGCCAGTTTAGGCCACTACAAGGAGAAGTCCTGCTTAATCTCCACATGTTGAAACAAGGCCACATGGAAGTCCTGTGTTGTTCCTCTTTAAACACAGATTGGCTAGTAAAATGGTCAAAGTGGCTATATTTTTTTATATATAAAGTACAAAGACACTTCCATAGATCTTTGCATATGACCAAAACAGACTTCAGTACATCCATGTGTTTGTTGGCCCAGCTGTGACCCATTAGTGTAACCCCATGTCATACCAGGCCTCGCCCAGATATTAAACCTTTATGGTAAGCATACGTTCAGTAGCTCTTAGAAAACAGGGACCTTACTTCCTGCAGTTTGGCACAAAACATCTATAATTAATTCTGATATACTGTAATTAAGCACACACGGGAGTGGATGAGGGATACTTTAAAGAAAATAGGTGAAAGAAGATGTATTAGAACGATTGTAACACAGGATATGGTTTCCTCTGTCCTCTGATCATTTTAGGCTACCAAATAACCATTTGCTGTATGCCATTTCCTTTCTCTCAAATGTTTCCTCTCACTTCTTTAGTCTTACTTCTTTAGCACAGGATGTTTTTTTTTCTGTGTCAGCTTTTGTGCTCACTTGTGTGCACTGCTGCTGCCTGACAAAGAAAAAGTAAAAGAAGAGAGCATGATTATTCGGAAAGTAGGTCATTTGCACAGGAGTTTTGTTTACTTTGTGACACCCTACCATACATCAGTGAACAGAATACGTCCTTAAGTCCCTAAAGATCACATGCGTAACATGTTTGTGCCCGTTTGTCCCAGGCGATGCCACAGCGGTGCCTCGTGGGACCCCCCTGTATGGCCAGCCGTCTTGGTGGGGCGATGGAGATGCAGATGATGAGAATTCCTTCAAACAGGAAACCAAGTCACCCTCTTCAAAGAAAAACGACAGCTCCATCTCAGGTAAGGGGCTACAAAAATTTGGACTAATTTCATGTTTTCAACCTCACTTCTCTGATTACAATTTTATACTTGTACTGTACAATAATTTTCCACAAAAAACAAAGTATTTTTTTATTGATATATTTATTTATGTGTGTATACAGACCACCCGATTTTTTTAACTGACTTTTTTGCCAAAGTTGATGTATCAACAAAAACAGTCGTAAACATTGAGCCACAGCAGTCATGCTGATAAACTGCTGGCAGCAAAGGAGCTTCTGTTGTTTTTTCATTTGATAGCCTCACCAAAGAATCAACACCCTAATCTTTGAAATGAACGGTTAATGGTGATTATCTCAAAATGACAGATAATCGGCCAGATTTATCAGTGTTTTACCAAGCATATTGTAACGGTATAAACCAACAGCATGCTGTTATACAACCCATGGATGAATCAGGCTTAGTTCAGTCATGCAATGCAAACATTTAACATCATCTGAAGCTTGTTTTATTTGCCTATCCGTTTGGTCGTCTCTGCCTTGTTAGAAATGTCCAGATTGTTCTGCTGTTGCTGAGACTACATATCAAAGTGCAAACAAAGGCTTTCTTCCAGAGCTTGTATCTATGTCTGTTTGCTTACATTATGTGGTGACGCAAGGATTGGGGGCAGGGGTCCTCTTGACTCACAGTGGACCGTCACAGTAACAGGATTAGAGGGTGGACCAGTAGTGAAACAGCTCAGTGATGCAAAATCAGTCTGTGCCAGGCTGGTTTAGTGGACCAATATGGTCAGAAGGAGTGGGGGGGGGGATTAATCATACACAAACACTGGAGCAAACTGAAGCGTCCTTAAATCTCTCCGCACATCTGGATGGCTAGACTGGCAGCCTCGTCAGCATTTTCAAAGGCAAAACTTTCTAACTTTTTTTTTGGTGAGTGAGATAAGGAAAAGCTGTTGGTTTGGAGGAAATCTTCCCGACCGTGAAAAAGTGATTTGAAATCCTTAAAGCTTTCCAAAGATTCAGGCGAATGGGATTGACTACTTCAGTCATGGAAGCGGGTGAGTGGAAGGCAATTCCCCATCCTACATCTTTTGACTTTTGGACCCTCGAGGACTTGAGTGGATGTTATAATGTTGGATTTGTTTAATGAAGCAGCATGCTGTGGGGCTAGTGTGGGGTCTTTTTGAAAATGACTTGACCCTCGACATCAAATGAAGATCATGTCAGTTTATATGTTTGTATTTGGTCATCCTCTCTACATTTCCTCTGTTCACATCAGATATAGCTGCGAGGGGAAGTGAAAGAGAAAATGAGAGGTTTAGGGCAGGAAGCGATTCTGTTTGTCTGTTTTGCTGCTTGCATGTGTGTGTCAGTTGAGTTTAGTGTGTGCTCTTTCTCCCTCTCAGTGAATAGGCTGTGCTGTTACAACCCACTACCCCCCTACTTATGTATTGTGACTAAAGCCGATTGGGTTACGCCGTTGCACCAGCTCCCCCTTCCCTCTCAGCACACACACATCACACACACAGTTTCCTAACAGACCACTCTACACTGCAGCAATGATTAGGTAAACATCCTTTAATACTCTGGTAAGTTTTGCTCTAAAATCCACACATTTCATGTTCATTTTTGATCCTTCTATATCATAGGTAGAAAATCTGTTTCTTGTGAAGTTTTGCAAGTTTACAGTTAGCTACCAAAAAGTCCTTTAGCATATTTAGCGTTAGTCTAAGCTTTCTACTGTTATCACAAGCCCAAATAAGTAGCCAGCAGGGATATTTTAGCTTTAACATATGTTATAGCTGTTAATATATGTTTGCAGAGGCCTCTTAAGCTCTCTGAGTCGATACACACAGTCGAGTGGTGACAGAAATATAAACACTGCTGTTACAATTAAAATCTTACTTTTCCTTTTGGTAAGGTCTTAAAAGCAACCGAAAACATTGAATATAAAATCTTTGGATCTGAATATTTATTTTGTGTTGTCTAGGTTGTAGTTTTTTATCTATTCAACCACTGAATTGTGTGCAACCCTCATAGTTAACCCTGTTTAAACTATATCGTGTATCTTCACAAAATCGCTGCACAGCTTTTGCAGCCAAATGCTGATCACAACAAGGAGATTTACTTCCTAGTAAAAGCTAAATAGAAGGAAGTTAGACGTAGAAAGAAGAGTTTAATTCACTGACTCTCTTTTTGGGAAGATCTTACTTTATCTTTTTTTCCCTTAAGAAACACATTCATAGTTTGAATGCATAGAATCCATGAAAAAAGTCCACATGCAGTGTTTTTTACACTTGATTACATTCTGCATAGACAATCGACTCTTCCTTGTTTCTCGTTGTCACTTGCCATATGCTCCTGGGTTTGCTCCCCAACCTGAAGCAGATGGCCCCTCTAATTTCTGAAAGTATCATTTATCAGATTCAAATCTCAGAGGTTCTGTTTGTTAATATGAACAGATGAGAAAGTAAGTGTTTTTCTTTGTCAGGCCCTGAAACATTGTTTCAACACATTGTTTAAAGCGCTTCAGCCGCACTATTGATTTGGAGTGACAGACTGACAAAGAGAATAAATGTATTCTCGTATCCTACAGACTCATGTTTACTTCCGTGCTATATGTTCTTTTTCTTTAGATATGGGCTGAAAAAGCTCACAACCAAATAAATGTAAACAGTACAACTTTTGTTTTCCAAACAGAGAGCAAAGAGGCCCGTTGTGGTGATAAAACTAAAGACGACAGCCTTCATGCATCATCTGCCAACGATTCCAGCTACTTTGAGCTCCCGACCAAGGAAGGGCACATGGCCAATAATGGCATCCATGAGATCCCTACTAAGGATACAGAGGGTGCTCCAGGTCAGAACCAAATCACGACAGGTAAAATCCCATCTAGGCTTAAATTATTCGAATATTATATATTATATATATTTTTTATTTTAAGTAAATTTTGAACTGTCGGTTGCCTGTCTTGATATGTAAGGTTATGGGGACTGTGCTCTTAAAGACTTTTATTCATCTAATGATTATAAAATGGCTTGTGCTAGTTTGGATTGTGTTTATATAGTCATTTCATTTCTTATAAAAGTGGCTTTTGTGAGAAATCCTTTATTGCCCAAAGAAAGCAGACAGGGAGGCCACTGTTTGTCTAAAGCAAACAGGGAAATGGTCATTGTGTAACCAACTGTGAGATCGTACACATATAGAAAAAATACTTTTATTTCAAAAGTGCTTAGTTTACAGTTTGATGTTTATTGCTTTCTGACACAGTAGTAAAACAGCACTGTCTGCTCTACAGCCCAAGGTCACGCCTCCTTCACCATAGAGTTTGACAACACTTCTCCTGGGAAAGTCACCATTAAGGACCATGTGTCAAAGTTCACACCAGAGCAACACAGATCTCGCTCCAAGAAGAGTGGAGGAGGAAGCGGAGGCACGGGAGGCAGGGATCTGAGTACTCTGCAAGCTGCCATGATGGCGTCAGAGAGCAAGGTGGCTGATTGGCTGGCTCATAATGACCCGACTCTGGTGCGCAGTGAGTCGACGGAGGACGACAGCAAGAGCATTAAAAGCGACGTGCCAGTTCATCTGAAAAGACTTAAAGGTGGAGGTTTTTTGCGTTTACATTTCTGTGTCTGTGGATTTGGTCGGACCACATTCTGGTTCTCACATAAAAGATTTTCATTTTCTCTTTTCAATAATGTTCCTGTGTGAACTGTAACCAGAATGGCTGTGACATCACTACAGCACATAATATTTAAGCTTGTGATTGTCTCCTCCAAATGGACTCCATTCCAGACCCCAGTTCTTTACGGCACTAACCCATCGCAGTGGTTTAACATTCTTTCCACATTAACAGTATTTCTAAAGAAGCCACAATTATAAAAATACAGATATAAAATAAATATTCAACTTTAGCTTTTTACCGGTAAAGAACCTCACAGAGTGAAGCAAAACTTTGAGAAGAATAAGGAAATTAATCAATGGCTCTAAGATTTAATTTTACAAATCCCAGCCAGAAGAAAAAAGGTTAGAAAAGAAAACAATGGAGCACCTCGACCCATTTGTGTCTTGTCGAGCATGTGCATGCACCAGTGAATCAACCCCTAATTATATTTTCTGGGTGTATTAGTCTGACTTTGAGAGGGTTGATTTTATTTTTGCATGTAAAAGATTCATGCATTTAATATGTGAGATATAAACTGGCTGATTGTCACTGACAACTTCCTTCACCCATTTTAAGTCCTTCCCGTCAGATTTACTTAAATTCCAGTTGAGTGAGCAGCATTTCCCCAGTGGGACCATTGAAGTTAGGGAATGGCAGACCTTCCTTTTTTCTTGGTTAGGATTCATTAAATTGTCTTGTAGAACTATCTATCAGTAGATCCCTAAAATGTCTCAAGCAGATACATTGCAGGTGCACCTGAAAATGAAAAAAAAACGATGATCAGAAGTGGTTGGCTACTGTAAATTTCAGCAGGCAACGTAAAATATATATTCTCTGGTTTACTTTGCTTTAACAGAGTAGGCTTAGCTCCTATTCTTAAATTGAATTTTTGAATAAGATTGTTGACCATTTACAGAATCTTTGCTATTTATAAATTCCATACCTGATTCCAGTGATACTTTAGGTGTGATCAGTGTTTTTCATGCATATTCACTGTGCACTGGGCTGTGTGAGCTAAAAAATCCTGGTGTGGAAAAGAAAGAGGGCTGAGAGGTTGGGTAAGGCAAGGAGGACAACGGGAGAGACTAAATAGGGATTGATGGAAGGTAGGTGGACAGCCGGATGGAAAGATCTCTGTGGATGCTGACAGTGCCAAGTTAGGAGTGAAAACACAGGTCCGCTGTGGACATGGAGAGAGAGTGAAGGAGCTGGAAAAGAGTCACACAGAGCAGTGTTTGCAGCAGTAGCTGTGAAGGTGAGCGTTTGAAGAAAAGCTAATAGGAGAGAGAAAGTGAGGCTTGTTATGTGGACTGCAGTAAAGGCAGCAAGGGAGGAGGCAGGGAAGAGAGAGCAGTCTTTGGTTGATAGTTGTTATAGTAACAGTGATGCAGAGAACCCAGAGCAGAACCAGGCTGTGAACATCTGTTTGTGTCTGTGCGTGTAGAGGCTGCAGTAGCATGTGTGTGAAGTGTTTTCAGCGCCGATTGAGGGTGTGTGTGAAGTGTGTGCCACTCATGTGTGGGTTTGTCTCTGCGTCGGCTGTATGTGCCAGCTTCAAGCATGCTCAGCACTGACCTGCAGACAAGCAGTGTGAGAGCAGGAATGTGAGATGTGCAGAGGGTGTGTCATTGAGGTGTAGCGAGGACATGTAGCAGAGGCAGCTGAGCCAAGCCTTTTCATTTTCAAGCGTCAAGGTGAGTATTTGTCTTTTTGCTGCAAAAAGGCGCGTGGAGGTTACATCTTTGTTCTTTTGTCTGTTTTAATTATGAGCCGCTGTGTGGTCCCTTGCAGTATGCGATTCCTATTAGTGTGAAGTTAAAAACAGGAATGTTAATAAGGTCCCGGGTAAACATTTCAGGCATTTGCTGTATTAGGGGAAGCTATTCACCCGTGTGTGTGCATACACCATTCTGTCGCATGTTTGTTTGTGTGTTTCGTTAGAGTCGGTGCATGTCAAGTGCATCCCTGTTTCATGTGTCCAGTTGTGTGGATGTGTGCGGAGGAAAGCTTCCCTGTGAGTCATGGTGGTGCAAGCGGGACGGGGCACTGGACTCTGACAGACATCTCTGTTCTTCCCTGGCCCTCCTAAGGGCTTCTTTGTCTGTGGACCACAGCATGAAAGACCTGCCTCTCTCCGTCTGCCTATCTGCTGATCTGTTCAACCTACTCTAACGCTCCCTTTCTACTTTCCTTCGTCTCCTTCTTGTAGAAATGTGTGTTTAATTACATGACTAACTGAGTTAAGGGTTTGGAAATTTTGAAGAAAGGAGTGTGGCAAAAGAGTTACATATTCTGAAAGACGCACAAAGCTATGGAACTGTTTAGAAACAACACTCAAATGGATACCTCACCATTGTTTCAAGCTAATAGAAAAAATCATTTAAAACTAAAGAAAAATCAAGTTAATATCTGAAGCTTGGTAATAATTTTACCAGTCTAAAGAAGATATCATCAATTTCTGTGCTTAACTTGAAATTCAGACTTCAATTTTATTGTGTCTTACATTGTGTCTTACATTTACACAGGCAACTTTTGGATGTTTAAAATGAGCAGCAGTAAAGGAGGGTACCGTATGTAGAAATTTCTTACGCACTTGTTATTTGGAGCACTGCTTGTTTTCCTTTTAAATGAAATTAAGGTTGAAACACATTGTTCACATTATTACGGTCAGAAAGAGGCTTCAGATGTTTTTTTAGCGTAACAACTTGTAGCCTCTGGGTTGTAGATTTTTGGCGTGCTCCTCTCTTGAGTGCTGTGGAGTAGGTTCGGTACACTTGATGCTTGAGGGAAAGAGGCTGCTTATTGTTGCTTGTGCTGTGGCAAAAACTGACCCACCTGCCGCTCTTTGTGCTTGACGTGCATACTGGTGTTGTTTAAACTCACAGAAGAACTTTGATGCGGTCAGCATGCTGATGCATGCGAGCGACTGTAATGTTGCAGAGTTTCATTTAAACACAACATGGAACAATCCTGTGGTGTGGGAATTTAGCTCAGAATGAAAGCAATCGGTAGTCATGGCACATCAAGTCACTTGGATTAGCATCGCCATTCAAGTATTCAAAAAAGATAAACGATAAATAACTTGACTTTCAAAGGAAATTACAGCTACAAAAAGTCCAATAATGTAAAAACAGTATTCACCGTGAAAGTAAAAAAAACTGAAAATATTCAACGCTGGTTTGATTGTGGTAAACGTTGATTAGTCAGGAGAGTTACAGGCAGAGTCAAGCTGTGGCCTGAGTTCTGTAACTGCGTCACCACACAGCAGAAAAACCAGGCTATGGGCAGCATGCTTTGGAATGTATTGTAGATGAGAGTGTTTCTGTACTATGGATCCATGCTCATGCAGTGCTTCTTTAGAATTAGTTATCTTGTAGGAAGAATAGTGAAGAATCAGGGACATTGCATCGATTCATGCAAGTTATGTGTGAAGTAGAAGCTGCTTATCCGCCTTTACTTCTTCACCAACTGACTGTTGGATAGTGGACTGCTTAGTTGGGCCTGACTGGTGATGTGAGTGGCTGTCATCTCAAATGGCAATACATTTAAAATCCTGAGCCCTCTTCAGTTTCTGATTTTTTTTCTTCCCCCACCTAATCCTTTCTCCCTTTCCATCCACCCTCATCCTTTTCCACATCCCCCCACCACCTTCCCTGTTCAGCCTCCCCCTTTTCTTTCCCTTTTCCCCTTTCACCTCCCTCCTCCTCTGTTCCCTAACCCCCACCCTCACCCTTACACATCCAGCCCTCGTCTGTTTCCCCCTCCTCCCCTCCCCCTCTCCCTACTCGTTGCCACTGAAGTAGGCAGGGCCAGTAGTCGTGTGGGTGGCATGTCTGGATTAGTGTGGCACACTGTCTACAATTGCATGATACTAATAGGACTTGCTGATCCAACCCAGACAGATTAAAAAGTGAGGCTGCAGAAAAATGTGGTAGGTATATAACAGGTTGTGCAGCGATGCTGTCCTTTCATGGCTGAACGATTGGAATCATTCTGAAGCTGACAGCTCATCGTCGGTTACTGAAATGGTTTGCAAATCGCATGTGATTCTTGTTGTGGTTTCCACAAAGGATGTGGACTGAGGAGGATGTGGTGCTGTGTTGTGGTTTATGCTGTCCTTTTTGGTGTTGTTATAGTTTGAATATCTTGCAGTCTACAGAAGCTGTTATGTTGTTGTGGAAACGTTGTGTACGTATGATGCAGATTTAGGAATGTTAGCCAACTAGAATCTTACATGTGATCTGTGTTGGATCTCATACAAATACCAGGTAAGTAAACAGGTTTAAAGTAAAACTAAGTCATTTGTGGAATTCTATCTCTAACCCTAACCCGCTCTAATCCTTCTTTGTGTCCCAGTAGGCAGCAAACATGAGGATGGCACCCAGAGTGACTCAGAGAACGGACTGGGCCTCCGTTTTGCAAACCGCCGCCATGCCCTCGAAGAGCGCCTGAAAACACACGCCCAAGCGGGAGGAAACACTAATGTTGGTGGGACCAAAGCAACTGGAACCCGCACGGCCTTCATGATAGAGTTCTATGATGAAGAAAATCCTCGCAAGCGTCGGTCTTATTCGTTTTCTCAGACTGCTCCACTCCTAGGAGCTGGAGCAGGTGGAGAAGGACTGTGTCCTCAGCCGCCATCACACCCCAAAGTGTTTAGTATTTCCACCTCTGCCACGACGGCCTCAGACTCAGGTAATTGTGTGTTTTCTTGAAGCAGATTGTAAGATAAAAGCTCTGTCCTTTGGTCATAGTGAGACTTAATGCACATAAAAAGACAACTCGAAGTTAAAGTATGTGAATAATCCCCTGTGTGCACCTCCCAGGTAAGGCCCCAGCTCCAATCCCAGCTACAGTGACCGCTGGTGCCCCGACTGCTGCACGTGTGCTGCTCAAGCAAAGGTCGGAGGATCCCAGTATAGGTCGGAGCTCAGCCAGCACGGGGCTGGCGACAGGCAGCCCCACCAGCCCCAGTGAGGACACCTCAGTGGTGGGCAGAGGAGCAGGGACTGCTGAGGGCGAGGCAGAGGACGACCATAGCGATAAGGGGACTTACACTATCGAACTGGAGAACAAAAACCCAGAGGAAGAGGAGGCCAGGCGCATGATAGACAAGGTAGGATTGTTTGGGGATGCAGCTTTGAGCAGGAGCAGTTTTCTTAACTGCACAGTGAGAATCATCAGGAATAGTCTCTTACACTGATTGTTCTTCAATTTAACTTTGAATTTCTCTTTTTGAACTCTCATTGTACTATTTTTTTTAAAAGTAAAAGTCACAACAGAAATCTGACCATTTTCATCATCTTTATTATTAAGATTAGTTATCGTGAGTTGTGGGGCCCTACACCCCTACAGTCCTTTTAAATTCAGTTTATTTAACATTGTGTTGTGGGATGTACAGAAGTTTGAGGCCCTTTGCTGCTCAATTTCATAGTTTGCGTACTATAAAATAAAGGCCGCTGGCACCCCTAAACATTGAAAAAAATTTGTTCCGTTGTTTTTTCTTTTCTGAGCCACTTGAATTACCCCTGAAGATATCTAACCAAAGAAAGTTCCGCCTGAGCCTTCTTAACCAAGTAAATGTGTACCCCGCCTCTCGCCCATTGACCACTGGGATAGGCTCCAGTTCCCCCCGCGACCCCATTAGGGAATAAGCAGTTACGATAATGGATGGATGGATGTTGTAATTCTAAAGAGTAAAATCTGACAAAGGACACACAACAAGGTTAATAGTCTCTTTATTACCTGCTTCGTTGACACTTTCACAGTTAGTGAGTCCTGTGAGACTGCCTGGTGCTCTTGCCACTAAAACAACACTATCATCTCATTGTGGACGGCTTTGACTAGCACTCATTCTCCCCGCCCCTAATGCTTCAGTAATAGCCTGGAGTGACTTCTCCATCAAGTGCTGTCTTTTTTATTAAACAGTGCCCCTGGGAGGCTGAAAACCCACCATTAGTTTGCTACTGCTGACCCTGTCTGGTAGTTCAGCACTCTGAAATAAGAGAAAGTGGAACATTGCGTCAGAGCCAGGGTGGTATTTACTAGCCGAAGCAGAGGAAAATCACAGAGAAGCTAGTATTTATTTTAATCGCCATCTCCTGGAAAGTGAGTAAATGAAATCCTTTTGAACTGACTCTGAGACTAGATGGAAGCTAACTGGGCATTTAATTATCACCCATTCAGAAGTTAAGGCTCTGGCAGCTCATAAATTTATTTTTAGGAGTACAAGTTTTTCCCAGGGGGTTATTACATTTTAAACATAATATAGAATCTAGTAAATAACACCCTATGGTGAGACATGCCCCTTCAGAAGTTGTTTGCAGGTGTTTTCTTTAGAAAAACACTGATATGATTAGTGGAGTGTATTTCTTGTTAGTGTGAGCGTGTTACACTCTGAACTGGAAGTGTTGTTATGCTAATTCCTGTAATTAGCTGACACACTAATTGGCATACTGCTCACAGCTGTCCACTCTCACTCTCTCCTCCTTTTGTATATTGTGCAATTCAAGTCCTATTTGTTCAGTTCACTTCTGTTCACTTCCATGTCGAATTCAGAATATTAACTACGCAGAATATGAATGTACTTAAAGAATAATGCCGTAACAGCACAAATTGCATCTTCACAATACCAGCTCTCTGCCTTGTTGTCAGGTTTTCTTGCTTTTTTTCATACATTTGTAGGTGTTTGGTGTGCAGGAGAACACAGAAGCCTCTATTCTGTCAGACCTGAACGAAGGAGGGAAAGGAAAGGAGACAGGAGAAATTGGGAAAGAGGTAGAAAATCAAGTTGGTTAGGAAAAATGTCCCTGCAAGAATTTAACACCTGCGTTTCATCAAGTATTGTTGTAAAAGAGAAGTGGATGGATATCCATGGCTGAGTTTCATAATGTGAACAACAGTCACCCCTGTGATTTCACCACTTTCCTTCAGTGGACTGTTCAAGTGAGGAAGAGGCCAGTCCTCCCAGAGAGTGACCTACATCCTACTGAGATGGAGAAAGACATGTTCAGCCCTCCAGGCGATTTCCTAAGAGAGAAGGGACAGGGCGTATCTCCACAGATAGCCTGTCTGTTTTTTCTTTTTCTGCATTTCACTGCAACTTTTCTTAATCCAGTGAAATTAGGAGTAACTGTTTAAAAGCATCATAATCTCCTGATGTTCTCTTAAGAGACAATGCTATGGCCCTCCAAACTTGAATTATTCACGACCTAAATCTTGAACCATGCAGCCTTTGTACCAGTTACATGAAGACACCAGACTGGTTGAACTCAAGTGGTTTTAATTTTTGTATTGTTTTTTTTACTATAATTTTTTTGTAACTGCAAAATTCATGATCCTCCTATTGTTACCACTTTCTTAGCCCTGTTTCTCTCTCTTTTGTTTCCCAGGCTCTTCCCGGGGACTCGAGCTGGGTTTCTCAGTGGGCCAGTTTAGCTGCCAATCACACCAGGACAGACCCAGAGGGATCTGGGGCAGAGGCAGGCACCTACCAACACAAAGAGAGAGGTATTTCATGAAATGTCTGAGAAGAACAGATTTTAAGGTTTAGAATGGAATGGATGAATAGATTGAACATCAACCGGACAGTATATAGCAACTCTTAGAACAGTTTCAGATAACCTCTTAACTTCCAGTTGAACCCTGTGTTTGCTGACTTTGTCCTTTATGCCTAGGAGCAGATGCCTTTGAGTCTGGTGCACCACTCTGCAAAGGTGAATCCTCTTCCAGTCTGACAGACCGCAAACGCAGGACCCTCCCCCAGCTCCCCGTGGATGACCCCCGGACTAAATCAGGTCAGAAAGCACTGAGGTCTGAGATCGGAGAGAAACAGGACACTGAGCCCCAGGAAAAAGAGAACAAGGCAGACGGAGAGTCCCCGTCTCCTATGGAGGACAGTGAGATGACCAGTAAAAGGAAACAAAGCTCCACCTCCTCTCCATCCAAGGCTCCTGTCCGGACCTCTGGCAGCAGTGAACGGAGGAAGAGGTCAGAGGAAAGGAAAGGAGGAGGGGAAGAAGGAGGAGAGAAGTCTGGGAAACCTCTAGTCCGCCAGGGCAGCTTCACCATTGAGAAGCCCAGCTCTAATGTCCCTTCAGAGCTCATCCCCCGCATCAACAGAGGCAGCAGTGCACTGGAACGCAGCGACTCTGTGGGCAGCATGGACACCGCTACCCTGCTGAAGGACACCGAAGCCGTCATGGCGTTCCTGGAGGCTAAACTGCGAGATGAGAATAAACTGGATCCGAAAGGCAGCAAAAGCGGCATCGGCACTCAGGGTTCGGGTTCTGGCCTCCCCCATCGGACCGACTCCATCTCTCCTGAATCGGACGTGGACACAGCCAGCACCGCCAGTCACGTCGCAGGAGAAGCAGAGAGGAAGACAGCAGCTGGAGGCGCTCAGAAGCGGCGCTCCCTCAGCAGCATGCACCGGGAGAAGAGCAACATGAGCACAGCCTCCAAGACCAGCACCACAAACGCCAGCGCTCGCGAACGCTTGGAGAGGAAGACTAAGAGCAGAACAGTCGAGCCAGCGACCCGAACTGACGCACGGCGCTCCGCTCAGCCATCCTCCTCCTCCCGAGCACGCCAGCCCTCTGTGGATCTCACTGACGACGACCAGACATCTTCCTTTCCCATCTCTGACATCCTGTCTTCAGACCAGGAAACCTACTCTGGATCTTTGGGGTACTCGGCGCATAGACGTGGCTCGGAGGACGTCCTCCATTCCAAGCTGGATGGCAGGTCGGCCAAATCCACCGTCAGCGGCTCCTCCAAAAGCAGCCGGACTCTCCAGGCGGCCACGGCCTCCTCCCTCAACAAGCAGGCCTCGCTGCCCCAGCCGCGGCCCACAAGAGCCTCCCTTCTCCGCCGCGCCCGTCTGGGAGACACTTCGGATACAGACCTAGCCGACGCAGACAGGGTTTCTGTGGCCTCTGAAGTGTCCACCACCAGCTCCACCTCTAAACCACCGTCTGGCCGGAAAGGAATGTCCCGGCTCGACTTGCTGGCACAGCCGCGGAGAAACCGCCTGGGCTCCATCTCCGCCCGGAGCGACTCCGAGTGCACGGTGACGCGGAGCTCCACCTCTTCCACCCGCCTGTCGGCCGAGACCGCTCTGCGCCTCGGCCTGCGTTCAACCACACCCACGGAGAACAGGTTGACCCCCCGGATGAGAGCCAGCAGCGTGTCGAAACTGAACGAGAGCAAGACAAAGAGCACGTCTGGATACTGCTCCCCTACAGGTGAGCAAATCAGCGGCTGCGGTCCAGAAAAAGATAAACAAGCCTTTTAAAAAAATCCATCATTAAAAACTAGAAGGGCAAAAGTATTTTTGGAAAAAGCCTTTGGCAATTTGGTTAAAGCATCTCACTGTGTTGTGATCAACTTGTGAATTGGTTTTCATCGTCCAGAGAGCTCTCAGCCCGAACCTGCAGGTGGTGATGCAGAGGAAGAGCTGATGGGTACTGTACCACAACAGTAGTCTGATCAGACTGCTTGTGTGAAGTGTGTGTGTGTGTCAGACCTGGGTCACAGTAATCAAACCAAGCTCATCAAACAGAAAACAGGTTGTGTTAAGGAAGAGGATCTCAGTATGTATCAGTCACTCACTTTAATCAATGTCCTTTCAAGTTAGAACCTATGGGTTCTTTTTCTATTTCACATAATTTTGTACAGTAAAGGAAAAACAAAGCTTATATGTATAGACTCTCAAAGAATTCTGGCATTTACATATCACATAAGGAAAAGTCAGAGACTAAACTAAGCTATGATGACCCAGCTCTAGCATGTGTTTTAACTTTGTGTTTCCTCTTAAATCCATTAAGTAACACTATGATGATGACCCCAATCCGCTGCTTGTTCTCTAGCAGCTTTTTCCAGATTTAACCCAAAAAAGACACATAGAGCCAGGTATTGTCTCATCATGGTGTGGCCACACTAATGGAGCTGGTGTGTTTCCATTCTGAAGCAGCTTAACGCGCAGCGCCCTTGTTCTGTGCAGGCTTGACTTTTTTTTTAGATGCTTTTGTTGGCTTCTAATGCAGAGAGCGGTTTTGACAAACTCAAGATCTTTCTTTTTGCTCCCGTTTATATATTTAATCGGGTTTCATCATGACTAAACATGCTACCCATCCATAAACAGCAGCTTAACAAGCTCATTAAAAAATCCACTGCTTTGCTTGAACAGAAATATCCTGATGTTTTTTTTATTTGATTTTATCTTTGCTCAAGTGGAGTTCGACCCCCGTACCAGCTAGTGACATGCTATTCCCATCTGAGCTCATCTCCATTAGATTTGCCCACAAATAACAAGAATCCTTTTACTTCTCCTCTGTTTGCACTTTTGTTTTGTCAGGAAAAAAACAGTATTGGCTGGTGGCTGCTTGTGTAACTAAGCTGGCCATGTCACAAGCTCATCCATGTGTGGCAAACGCCTTTACTAGTGTTTGTAGTAACTGCTGGTAAAGACACTGTTCTTCTTTTTACTGTCACAGTGTCCAGCAGCAGCAGATGGAGGCGTCTGCCACCGGAGTACGGCTCCACCTCAGAGGAAGAGTTCGGCTCCAGCAGGAACTCTCCAAAACATGGAGCTCGCTCTCACGTGCGGCCTCATCACCTGGTCCCACACCGCAGCTCAAGGCTCAGCGCCGCCACAGGCTCCGGCTCCGGCGGGGTGCCGGGTCCAGGCGGAATACCCATCAAGCACCGCATGAAAGAGCAGGAGGAGTACATCAGGGACTGGACGGCGCACAGCGAGGAAATAGCCAGGTATTGATCTGCGCCCATCTCTTGAACCACCCACGAATTATTCCAAATACATATTGTGTTTTATGAAGATGTCATCTTACCATCATGAGTCTTTTATGCCTGTTGTCATGTGAATGCCATTCCTGCATCCTAAATGACCCTGTCTGATGGTTAACAGGTTATTCCCCTGTGTGCGCAGGATCAGCCAGGACCTGGCTAAGGACCTGGCCATTCTAGCCCGCGAAATTCACGACGTGGCCGGTGAGATCGACTCAGTCAGCTCATCTGGCACGGCGCCCAGCACCACCGTCAGCACAGCCGCCACCACCCCGGGATCGGCCATTGACACCCGGGAAGAGGTAGGCCCTGCACGTCCCACGCAGCCGGATATTCAGGAGAGTATGAAAAAGGTGCCCGATTTTCTTCTTCTACTATTACCCTACCGCTTGCGCTATCATTGCAACTTTACCATTCCTGCTCTGCTGCTTGGATAAAAATGGCTGCCACTCTGGTGCTTCATAAATTTCACCTGCTTTTAGAAGTAGTCATGTGTTACACTCCCTTGACTCCACTGTCATTTTGTTTTTGGCATTAGAGGCTTTACTCATTTTAGTACTGTTAGATTAACATCTAGCTTTCCTTTACAGAGTGGCTCATTCCTTAATTTCTCACAAATCTTTACATCCTAACATAACACTGTCAAAGATACAACATTAGAGAAAAAGTCATGCGTTAATTCCCCTCTTTGCATCCCTTTGTGTCTCTCATATTCCAGTTGGTGGATCGAGTGTTCGACGAGAGCCTCAACTTTAGAAAAATACCACCAGTCATCTCCACCAATAAGGCGCCAGAGATTAATGGTAAACCGGTGGAGCACCGACCCCGAGCTCCCGACAGTCTGGAGCCCAGAGCCTTGAGGAGACGCACCTGGAACAGAGAGGATGTGAGGGCCAAACCAAACGACACATCTGGAGTGGACTTCAGGTTCCCATTCGTTTTTAATCTTTCTCTCTGTTTGCGTCTTCAGGCGGTGTTGGACAGCCTCCTGCTCCACTCAGTTTCCCAGCTGTCATCCAAGATCAGACACTCTGTAGACAAAACAGCAGGAAAGATCAGGTAATTCTACTCTCTGATATTGTAATTCTTCAGTATCAGAATTTCTACAGTCCATCTTCAGCTCAGTTGTTAGAGTTTGGTGCACAGGTGAAAATCGCTGTTCTGTGTGTTGTTTCTCTCCAGGATTTTGTTCAAGGATAAGGAGAGGAACTGGGAGGAAATTGAGAGTAAACTGAGGTCAGAAAGTGACATACCACTCCTCAAAACATCTAACAAGGTACAGGAGCCCATCTGCCTCATAACCTGAACACTCCAGCATTACAGCGATCTAAGAGTTGTGTTTTTATGTTCTCCTCTTAGGAAATTTCCTCGATCCTGCTTGAACTGAAGCGAGTGGAGAAACAGCTCCAAGGTAAAGCAGAAAACATGCAGGTCTCTCTGATTTGCCGAAAAATAATGGCTGACGATTTTGTGTATTTGAAAGAATGAAAGCCATAAAAAGGGGCAAAAGCTCAGGGCTGAGTTGAGTGTTGTATGTTTAAATATAAAGTTTACAGCAGGGAGAGGAAATCAGATTCCACAAACTGACCGCATTGCTGTCTCTGTCTCAGTGATCAACGTTATGGTGGACCCAGATGGGACTCTGGACGCCTTGGCCAGCCTCGGCCTGACCAGCCCCACGACCCCAACCAAGCCCCAAAACGCCAAAACGTCCCCCCCCTCCGCCAACAACCCTGGGTCGGCACACCCAGCCAAAGAGTCCCTGCCGGAGATCCTGCCTGGGCCCGGCGGCCCGGCAGCCTCCTCCAGGATTCAGACCTCGTCTGCCGGCACAGAGAAGTGCACACCAGACCCCAGTGTGGGTCTGGCTCTAGCAGGGGTGGGGGGGCTGCCCTTCAGCCGCATCAGGCCGAGCGGAGAGGAGGCCATTGCACAGAAATAAACATGAAAGCGGTGGGAATAAACGGAGTGTGCTTTGGAGTGCAGCCGGCCGCTCAGTAACGCAAGCGTTGAAACAAAAACTGTCATTGGTCAAACAGCAGGCCGTTCTGCTGGTTATTTCATTGTAGGACTTCAGTCAAAACACGATATGGAAATCCATAGCCCGGCCAGAAATAAGGTGCTTAAATCGACCATTTAGATGCACTCTCTGATCATCAGCGAATGAAGCACAGACAGACACTCGAGCAGAAAACGACCCATGAAGGATCTGAACCGACTGACAACAGCATCTCATCCTCCAACTGACCAGCCCGACACGCCTCTGTTTAGCTGTCCACTCTCCCCTGCTCCCCTTGCCTTCTACGTGTGTTTGGACCCTTCCTCCACTAAGGACCTGCCTTAAAACACATCCACAGTTGTAGCATCACGACCCCCCTGTCCCTCAAATGATATTGAAAAACATTTTGAAAGACTTTAACGCAGCTTTTTCAGACAAACTGAATGCATTGTAAAATAAGATTTTCTCCACATGCTTTATTTACACAGAAATGGAATACAACAGACCAATTATTTAAAGGCTCCAGTTCAGCAGCCTCAGATAACATCCCAGGCAAACCCCACGCGCAAGTACACGAGTTTTAAAGCGTCAGCATTAAATCTACGTCTATAGTTTAGAATGGTAACCGTCCACTGAGCCAAACTGGTTTTAATGCCTCTCAACCGTTGAGCCCACCTGTTTCCAGCTTCACCTGGAACTGGAAAGACCGTCGCTATAGTAGCATTTACTGGAAACATGTCCTCCCTGGTCCCTGTGCAGCTTATTTATATGAAATTATAGTTTTACTCAGCAGAAGCAGCCTTTTGGAAACAAATTATTCAAAACAACAACCAAAGTTTACAAGTGTCTCAATGCAATAGCAGAGCGATTTTAAAATGAATCCTGTAACGTAAACATCTATTGTAACTCATCCTATTCCTCCTTTTTTCAGTCAAAAAACCTTTGATTCAAACTGTTTATTATTATTAAATGCTTTTTCAATCATCAAGGACGGGGGGGAGCATGCTGGGACCTCGTCCCTCAGCTTTTTTTTCTTGTCTTTAGCTGAATTTCTTTTCTAATCGGCTTTTTTTTCTTTTTTTTTTCGAGTCAAAATATTCGAGCCAAGTGTTTTTAGAGGGTTTATGCTGCTGTTCATTTCAGTGATTTGTATCTCATCTTTTTGTTGTCACTCAAATACAGATACGAAAAAAGCTGCTGAAGTGAGTTTAGAGAAACGTGCCATCAAAATGGGAAACGCTTACATGAAAACTTTTTCAGTGGTGCAAAACCAGTCACTCAGTTATTTTGGATTAACCCGATAACTTTTTTAAACGACTTTTGCTTGTAAGTAGCGTCACACCAATGTAAATTCTGAAGGATTTTTGTTTTGTTTTTACAAGGGGAAGCTCCTGTATATTAAACTGTAGAGTTGCAGTTTGTATAATTAATCCTTTTTCTCTTTGACTTTGCTGCTTTTGTAGTCACTTTATGGAGACTAACCATTTTCTGAATCTCTTCAGCTTATAGTCTGTGTCTAGAATAAAATAACTTAAAGACAGTGTAATAAGTACTTAGATACTCTTGACAATAGTGAGTTAGGTACCAGAATACATGCTCATTTCCTTTTCTCTATACTGTACTGTACACCTTTTTTTAATGCCTCAAAGTGCCCATTTTGACAAAAGAAGGGCATTGATTAAAAGAAGAAAGTAACTGTCTAAAAACGTATTTTGCACATCATTGTTTTTCCATGCAAAGTGAAGACGCAGTGACAGGCTGCATGAAATGAGTGATATCACTCGGCCTGATATCAGAAATGACTGCCTTGCCTCTGAAACAGTTTTAGGGATGCCTTGAATTCTTTTACCTATTTTCTCCTCTGCCCCATTTTATCAGTAAAAAAGATTAGGGTATTGTGAATGTTAGGTACATGTTTATTTTTTAAATTCAATGTGACATCAGATCAGTGTTCTTTGTACTTTTTTCCCTTATTTTTGTAAAGAAAGCCACTGTTTTATTTATTTTATTTTGTTTTAATATTATGTGGATGTTTCAAGCATTTTATATTTGTTCAACTATCTGCATTGGTTCTTACTGTTAATAAAACAGAGCCATTCATTTGTCTCTCCGTTGTCATCTGTGTTCAAACATGAGCGGACAAGCATCTGCGTGGTTTTGTTGTCGGCAGGAAAACTGACCCTGGCTCAGACTTCCACAGGATTGGAAACTCGTGTTACTATTTAAGATAAAACACAATTTCAGATTATTTCCTTTCTGCAAACCAAAGAGCCTGCAGTCATTTTATAAGGTTACTGAGTCAATTTATTGAACCATCTCGAAAGGGTTCATTTTACGCTCAGAGTTTTGTGTGTAAGTGTCTCATATTCTTGCTGAATAGGGGAATAACCTTCTACACTGGAGGCAATTAATCATGATCCAACACAAATGCAAAGCACTCGACAACCTTTGTGCTGCCTGCACTCTTTCGCACATTTGCATTCTGAACTGTGTTGTGTCTCACGAGGATGCCTGCCAGCAATGGACCCCCAGCAGAAACTACAGCGGTCAGCATCGGGACCGAGCTCAGAATACGTGCTGCTAACAGACCTTCATCTCAAGATTGTCAGCAGCAGTGAATTCTCCTCAAAACCGAAGCTCCAAACAGCTTCTTCCTTCTGTTAAGAGCTTGCAAAAGGCACGACCTGATATCCAAACGGCAAAACACAGTTAAATTACATCATACATTTCAAAACACTTTGTGGTGCAAAAACAAAAACAGACATTCTCTTTTATTTTACATTTTATTAACACCGATGGATTTTCACTGTCTCACTGGATGGACTGGCTTCGGCTGAATTTCACAGAACTGGACGTCAGACAGGAGACGTGAACATGTCAAGGCAGGGGGGTGGAGGTTAACCGGGAGGCCACCCCATAGTGCGTCCACCTAGGACGTGGATGTGAATGTGGTAGACCGACTGACCGCCATCAGGCCCGTCGTTGATGACGATCCTGTAGCCTTTAGACAAACCCGCATCCTGAGCACACTTCTTGGCGACCATCATCAAGTGGCCCAACAACTAGGCAGCGGAAAGAGAGAATTTATCAACGAAACTGGAGCAACAGAGGACAGCAGCTTTTTTAAACTCAAGCATTGAGACAAAGTTGTTGGAAATGGCTCCCTCTCGTGGCCGAAAGCGAAAGTCCAGGCGGTCCTACTTACTGCAGCATCTTCCTCCTCAGCTTGTGACAGCTGGACAATTGGCTTTTTTGGGACAACGAGGATATGAGTGGGAGCTTGAGGTGAAATATCTGGGAAGGCAATACACTGAAAAACAAAGAGAATAACATAAATTTTAAAAAATCATTCAAATCCTTTCCATCTGTATTCTTCCACATGATGAGTCTCAGTTTTGCATGGCCCGTTTTTTCAGATTATATTAGCCCACAATGACAGCACAAAAACAAAAAGCACAACTCCAATACGTCTGAAGTATGCTGCCTCGTAGGGTGTGAAAATGAATACTCTTGTGCAGTAACTTTATAGATCTGTTTGCTACCTCAGACGTCTACTAGCAGCGTAGTGGAAGCAGCCAAAGCTGCAGAACAAAAACGAAACCAAGCACAGGAGCCCGTTTTCTTTGCTACTTGTGGTGTTATGCCTACGCTGGATAGTAAACTGACTTTTTACCAGGCTGCTTCATCTCGTTACGGACTACTTCGCACGGTTTTTCAAAGGCATGTTCACACACTTTCTGCAGAGCTGGCGTTAGCTAATAGCTAGCTTGCAGCAGTTGAGCAGCACCAGGCTCGTGCCAGCCAGCCAATAAACTCTTTAACTGCATACCCGGTCGTCCTCGTAGATTAAGGTGGCAGGAATCTCTTTGCGTATGATTTTCCCAAAAATCGTGTCTCCGCCAGGTTTGGCAACCTGCGCTTTCGCCGTTTCATCCGCCATGTTGACGTAGATAAAACCAGCACTGTCGCCGCCTGACGGACAGTGGGCTCCGCTTTTGGCCGATGAACCCACGCTGAACGCTCATTGGCTACTAAAACGCGTCATTCTGAACTCTTCGGTGATTGGTCGGAACAGGCGCTTCCTTATGTACGTTTGCCAACTCCGGACATGAGCACAGGAGCTCAAGATGGGGACTCGTTTCAAGGTGAGAATGAGACTGTGAGACTTATTTCGCTAATAATAATATTTAAGATAAGCTTTAGCTTGAACACGTTTTGGACCATTTTTCCCGATTAACTGTTCTGATGTGACATGACGTTGCTTGGATTTAGTAACGTATCTAAACCAGCTGCTTCGGCTCATGTAACAGCTGCTGTGAAGTTACTGGAACTTGACTGTGTGTTTCTATGCAGGCTTTAAGCGTGTTCAAGTCCCTGCACAGGACAAGGATGGCTGTGTTCAGGGATGATGACAGGGCCCTGACAGGTAAGCTGTACAGCAGGCTGCTTTGATTCAATGCAAATGACATTTTATGAATGTCAAGGATTGCTTTTACTCATTGTTTAGCAAACTTGGTAATTAATTCGACTGTTTAAATGCACCAGAATATGCTTCAATACAAACAGACATCATCTAACACAAATGTTTTCCTCAAAGCTGCAAGGTTTAAGATCAACGAGGAGTTCAGAAAAAATAAAAATGAAACGTCGGAAGAAAACATCCAAAAGGTATAGTGACCTCGTTCTGTCAGCATTACTGATTAAATGTTTAATCTATGTAAAAAACATTTTTCTTACTAAGTGTCCTTGCATAGATAGAATAAAATAAACAATCAGACCTCTGAGGAAGAAGAGGAATAGCTTTGCACAACACAGCAGCTTTTCCTTTTGTACAGTGATCTTAGCCAGTAATTACCAGACAAAAACATGAAAAATGAAAAAATGGAAGTTTTACTTTATCTTAAGAATTGTTTATCATTTGTAACTATATCAGGAATATACAGTAAATCCTGAATATATTATGTGAAATCTGTTGACAGGAGTGTTTGGAGAAAGTTCTGACATGCTGTGAAAGCTTCTTTAGGGCTTTTTATTCATAGTTTTTAACAATCAGTGTCTTCCATCCTCTGATATCTTCTCAGTGATGAAACTATGCTAATGCATTAAAGAAAAAAAGACACTGATTGGATTGGCTGCATTTGAGGAATGGCAGTTGTTATATATGTTTATGTCTGTAACCTTACTATTTCATGATCAATTTGTGAGCCAGTGCATCCTGAAAGGTTTATAATCTTCATGTTTTCTTTTGTTGTTGTTGTTTTTTGTTTGTTTTTTTGCAGATGATTAAAATGGGCACCGATGTGGAAGCTGTTCTTCGGCAAGCTGTACTGCAAGTGGAGCATGTTGGAGAGGAGAAACTCTGTATGATATGATTTTTTCTTTCGGTGTGCATGTTTTTTTTTAAATCATGTCTAAGCTTTGTAGAAACCTTCCCTAATGGAATTGTACATGCTTGTCTTTCATCCGTTTTTTTGTCTGGCAGTGCTTCGACCCAGAGAGAGCCTCATGCTGGAAAATGTGCCCTATTGTGACGAACCCAGGAAAAAGTCATGACAGACTGCAGCTGCTTTTGGTTCATCCGCAAAGACACTTTGACCCATTAACTTTCACTTGTCTAATGGATTCAAGCTTAAAATCAAGTCAAGTTGTTCAAGATTCATGAGCAAGCAGCGTTTAAAGATCATCTCAACATGATGAAATGCCAGCTTTTGGTTCTGTGATCTGTGGATGCCTGCATTTTAAACATGATGCCATAATTTCTTTGTACAGTATTATATCAAATGTTATTTAAATGTGTTCTTTCAATTTAAATAAAGTTAGATAATGTGTTATTTGCTTGTTACTTGAAAGTGATAGTTAAAGTTAAACAATGAATCCTCTTTAAAGGTGTAATGGATGACTCCATCTTCTATTTGAATGAAGCACTGATCACATTATCATAGTTGCAGGAACGTTACTGCTGTTTGTTAACAATTGAAGTTGTGTGTTTTACAACTTGCACAATAAATTGTTAGAGCAAAAGGTGGGCAATAAACTATTTTTTTACCCTGTCGAATAAGTGCTGTCAAGTGCATACAACTGACAACGCTGAAATATTTGTATACTGTATTGCACGCATGAACAGATGAGCAATTTGAGTCACATTTTTAAAAACAAGCATCGGGAGAGTAAACTTATATTCTGGCAAAGCACACCAAGTCCAGTCCCCACAAGCGCACGAAGACGCGACGTGTTGACATCATCAAGAAGCGCCGTTACTCTGGCAACGCTCACAAACGTCATTTATTTTGCTCACCAGCTTCCACCACCAATTTCAATGCCAAAAATAAGGTAAGGGGCGTCCATGTGTGCAGTGTTGGCGGCTGTGTGACGTTATCTGACCGCTCCTCGTCCCGCTCGGCAGCTCAGACACCCTGTGGGAGCTGGCCGCCGCCGAGGTCCAGAGCCGGGAGGGCGGAGGTGGGGAGGACGGCGGAGAGACGCTGAGCGAGAGGACCGTGGTCCTGATGGGGAGCAAGGCTGGGGTACAACATCTTCTTTTATATTTGTTTTAAATGGGGAACAATTGATCAATTGACGAGTTACAGCAAGTAAGCTTCTTCTTTTCCAGGGCAAAACGTCGATTCTCCTCAGATGTCTCGACAGGTAGGACTGTGCAACGTCTTGGTTCTCAACCCAAAGCTTTAACTCTGATTTGCTGCTATAACATTGATTTGTTTTCATCTATTAGAGATGAACCACCAAAGCCAACTCTGGCTCTGGAATACACGTTTGGAAGACGGGCCCGGGGACACAACACTGTAAGACACCCAAACCGTGTGTTTGTTCCTTTTGGAAACATTTTACCAGCCTAATTATTGTCATTTTGACATGAGTTTCCCTCTGTCGTTTAGTTTGGCGTATGTATTATTCTTAGTACATGAAACGTTGCATGTGGTCTTGAATTATGTGACTCGTGGTTTAGTGAGATCTCTTTTCAGCCCAAAGACATAGCCCACCTGTGGGAGCTTGGAGGAGGGACTTCTCTGTCAGACCTCATACAAATACCCATCACGCCCGTCAGCATCAAGTAGGCTACTTTAACCCACCGGTGTCTTTCACAGTTGTGTTTGAGACTAAGGGGCATTACTCTACATGTCCAGTCAGCAGATGTCATCTAATCCCCTCAGACTTTGGAATATTATTTTGAACAGCGTTTTCATTCCAGCGACCTTTTGGGTGTCCCCCCCTGTCTTTTTCAGGTCTCTTTCTGTCATTCTCATTCTGGACTTGTCTAAACCCAATACCCTGTGGGGAACCACCGAAAAGCTGCTCCAGTCAGCACATGCTCAGCTGGAAAAAGTCTCTTCCCAGACCCAGCAAGCAGAGAAATCCAGGCACAGAAGCAAACAGCAAACATCAGTCCACTCTGCAGCTCGGGACTTACCAAAAGACTACCCGGTACCGCCACTCATGTTAAGCTTTTTGTTTGGATAATAATGGTTAAAAAACACATTTTACATTGTTTATTTACTGCTTTAAAGAGCATCAACAGCTCTTTTCTCAGGTTGTTAGACATTATTGCATTGTAAAGTGAGCTATAAAAGGTCCAACAAGAGCCATTTATATGAAAAAACAAAAAACAAAAGCCACCTCGTGGTAATGATTTGTGTAAGAACTTTCCTTGTAGATTAAATCTGGGTTTTTTTCTGAAGATAATTTTCCCTGTAACTGTCAACAGGACAGAGAGCTGATCAGTCCTTTCCCTGTCCCCTTGCTCATTATTGGCAGCAAGTATGACCTCTTTCAGGTAACACACATGCTTCAGGGTAATCTGAGCCACTCATCTCATAGTGAAGTCACTGATTGTCAGATTTTAATCTAATTGTGTTTCAGGAATTGGACTCAGACAAGAAGAAAATGGTCAATAAAACATTGCGTTTCATTGCCCACTACTACGCAGCCTCACTTATTGTAAGTGTCACTTTACATAATGCAGTATGTTTACATTCAATAATAAATCTGCTTTTGCTTACCACTGGATATCTAGTTTGTCCCTCCATTTCTGTCTTATGTTTTTGTTTTTTTTATCAGTTCACCAGTATCAAATCAGAGAGCCTTATGTCAAAAACCAAGAACCTCTTTTCTCATCTGGCGTTCGGGTTGGACAGAGGGTGAGAACAGTAACACAATCAGTAGAGTTAAACTGTACAAAGATGCCAGCATTGTGGTCTAATGCAGCAGACCCTCATTATTTCCAGTCTTTATAATCATGTCGCTGTTTTGTTTTTTGTTTGAACCCTTTTATAAACTGCATGATCGTTTATGTTAGTATTTAAGAGGCTGCCTTTTGCTGAGATTTATTAGTCTTTTCCACATGATGGACACAATGGGGTGCTTAACACTTTCATTTCAGCTTAGTTATTTTATTTTGTAATCAGGAAAGCTGTGTCCTGTGATCCCAACAAGCCTCTCATCATTCCTGCAGGCTCTGACTCTTTCAGCCAAATAGGTGAGCACAGCATCACCTAGTGGTCAAAAGCAGTAATGTATTCAAATCAATTAAATAACAAATCCCACAAGATTCTGAGTCACTTTGTGTTCTGACCTTTGTTTGTTAACCGTTGTGTTTCAAATAACATTTTTCTTGATTCAGGCTCCCCTCCTACTGTTGATGTGGACATAACTTCTCTGCATGCTAAAAATCCAATGGACCTCTGGAAGAAGGTGTACGAGCGTGTGTTTCCCACAGAGGTAATTCTTTCTCTGGGATCACCCTTGCTTTCATCCCCATTAGGAACAGCTGCTTTGTTTTCTGGAGTTTGTGTCATTCTCCATTCCTGTACTCTCTGTCTGATCTGATGAATGTCCCAACGTTTTTCTTTGTTAAGGGGATTTCATCTTTGCAAAGTACCAGTAAAGAGAGCGAACTAAAAGATCCAGCCAAGGATCCACAGTACAGCGAGCCTCAGATAGATGCAATGAGAGCCCAGAAAGATCAGGTAACATGCCTTCAACAGTTACAGTATATGCTGGTGTTTGATCTCTGTACAGTTTCTTGTGAATACATCAACAGTGTCACAACATATCATGTCATCAACATATCACATTTCTGGCAATACAGACACGTTAGATCATTCTCACACTTATACTCAATACAGTTAGCGTTAACACAAGTGTGCTGGCAGCATGATAACTAATTGTATCAATCAGAAATTCCTGTGCAGTTATCTCTCCTTTGTGTCCCTGAACCTTGTCCAGCACGTGAGGGAAGGTTTACACATACCCGAGAGAATAATTATTTGGAAATGGAGGGGGACCCTTTAAAATGAGGCTAGTTTTACCAGTTGTAAATAATCATTTGCACAAATAAACATTTCAGTTATCTTTGTGAAAATTGTAAACTGAAACCAGACAGAGAATGAACATGATTAAGAAAAATGATCAACATACAAAGTAGGAAGAGAGCCTAAAAAAACTAAACTGTAATGACCACATAAGATGAACATTAAAGAAAGTTGTATTTGGTTCCTGGTCAAAAAATCTCTAATAATACTCATCTCCATTATGTATAGGTGCCGAGGGGTGGGGGTGGGAGGTTCTTCCCTGTACGCCATTATTCTGAAGAGCAATGTTCTTGAGTCTCCGTTGACCTGCAGTAGCCTTTAGGCAGTCATGTTTCTTTGATGGTCTTATTAACAGACTGTAATATACCCCGTAGCCATAAACTTATAAAGAGATTAGTTATCTTCTTGTCTACTTGCCCTTGTGTCACTCTGGCACTCAAACTGCAGTAACCTTTAGGAATCATCAGCACAAACCAGACAGGCTTATATTTGGCTGTGTCTCAGCTGATCATGGCCATTTTTCTCTCCCAATGCATCACGATGTGAAAGGAAAAAAAGGGCTTTTGGAACAGTTAAAGGGATAATTCAGGAAAAACTGATGTTTCAAAATATTTTCTTTATAAATCTTATGAGAAAAACATGTCATTTAACACTCCATGCTCATGGCTTCCATTGAACTCATGTTAAAAAATCCAAAAACCAGAATTTGATTTGGGGAAGATGGAAAAACACAAATTAACCTATCAGATGTAGTCGTACATATATGTGGATGTATGGTACAATTTGTCATTGTGAGTTCACCTAATTGTATCAGTGTTGCTGGTATTCTGCACAATTCACCTGTAAAGGAGAACAAAGCCTTGCCTATGTGCTTGTGATCTTCATCCTTCTTAGTACTTAGTACTACTTAGTACTTAGTATATCCTAGAAAAAAAAGGGTTTTCTTTCCCCATTTTTTTGTCTTTTTTTGCATCTCTTTTCAGGAGTTGGAGCAGTACAAGAGGAATGCAGCCAAATCATGGAAAGGACTGGAGCTGGAGACATGAGAGTACAATTTAATGCATATACTCAACAGATAACAATGTACAGACAGCTTATGTTTTTTTTATCACTTATTTAATGCTGTGTTTATAATAATACCATACAATCAGTTCAACAGCTGCTATATTTTTGCTTAACAAACATTAAATCCTATAATAGAAAAATAAACAAACATATTTTATTACAACAAGCCATGCTTTCTATTTGTTGAAACGTATATTTATAATACTGAAAACAAGTACTGAGATTTCTTTTAATTGATTAAACTAACAAGCTTCATGTTACTTAAAGTTTACCGAGTATCAGTAGATGTTTTAAAATGGGACCATCCTCATGCTGATCATGACACGGGTCAACATGTCAATGTTTGACCCATAAGTACTCGGTTTTTACTGCATTATGAGGCGCTCAAAGGGTGGACGACTCCCACCTTTATCCCTCAGCATGCATTCACTTTTATGATTTTCTTTTAGCACTCAAACCTTTTTTTGGGGAGTTCCTGCTCCAGTATGTAAATCCATTACCACATTTTACCACCATAACATCCACACACACAAAAAAAATCACAAAAAAAATAACAGCAGCAGTTATGTGGATGTACAGAATCTGTTTAAACGATTTGGGAATTAGCTGCTGCCAGCTGGAATGTTGAATGATGGTGAAAATAAAAGCAAGTGTTTTAAACAAGTCAGACATTTTGATATTTAGTTTAAGCTTTAAGGACAAAAGCTAAAGAAGAGTGCCATCTTTGATTATCCAAAGGCTGTAATTTTGTTTTGACTATATACTCACTTCCCTTACAGGGGATGAATAAAGATTTTTGTTCTATTTCTGCATTGCTCTCCCACTTGCAATGAACACAGCTTATAATCAAGAAAGTAAGTTTATACATTCCAAATCATTTAGATGCTTAATAACCATATTCTGTGTCTATTTGAAAGTGTATTTCTTAGTAAATTCAGCTATTTTTTAACAGTAAAGTTTGAACAAACTCCGACTGAATCCAGAAGCAAAACAATTTAATTAACTGCCTTCATACTCTAAAACATAAAGTGCTTTAAAAAGAGAAAATAACATGGTTTTGAATGGAAGAGAACAGGGTTACGTGTCACCAGGAACCAGAGCATGAAATTTGAATATTATTTCACAAAAATTTGAGCTTTCTGCTTTTGTAGACCAGGTTTGACAAATACTTCTCTGGCTTTAGTGACGCACAAGCTTGTCCCTGATCTTGAAGCCGATTACGCCCAATAGGACCAAAGCGGGCAGGAAGGAGTAGAGGAGTAAAAAGTCAAGTGTGTATCTGGATAGAGCCCCGGGGTATCCCTGGTCAATGATCTGACTGCCTTTAGTGATCAAACACGCTCCTGGCAAGGGTTTAGAGGCATCTGCAACAAAGAGAAAAAATACAGGCAAAAGTTAGGAGATGCCCATTTTAAAAATGCAGGCTCAGTTATTAACACCCGTCACTGTGAATCCTGTAGTCTGACCTGCCAGGTGTCCTTGAACATTGAACTCCTACTCATTCTATGTCACTGTTTTTGACACCATCGGCATAAAGAGGTACTGCACATATGCTCCTGTTTGTATTCTTCAGTCTTACATAGCGTTGTATATGTTGGATTTTCTTTATTCTAGCTGAGATCCGAGACCCGAACGTCCCCCTGGCATAAACTCACTACTTATCCTCGTATGAGTAGTCATCAACCAAATTTATTTTCATGGGATTAGACAATTTACGGCAATATTCAGATGGAATTTGTAGACGGGCACAGAGCGGTGGCACAGTAACTTACTGCAGGTGAACTCCAGCTCGTGGAACTCGGTGACTATGAGCAGCTCACAGCTGTATTTCTGGAAGGTCAGGTAACTGAGCCACTGGAAGACTACGGGCATCTGCTGGGTGCTTCTGTTGAGAGGAAGAGGAGGAAGCGTAGATTTGACTGCCACATTGTCATCACTGCTACGTCTTAAATGCCCACGTTACACGAAGCCTTGGATCAAGTCGGCTATACTGGAATAGGAACTTGAGAGTCTAACCTAAGGAATCCAGATCCCACCAAGACCCCTGCAATGTTGAGTAAAGCCACTCCTGTGTTGACCATGTTGGGGTCCTGGACCACTCCTAGTAGCACCACAGTCAGCAACTCACCTAAGGAAGAGAAACAAAAGTCTTTAATACCCACAACTAATAGCTGGGAACAGACAGGGAATATCAAAGGAGTCTGTGGGGGCCCCCTCTGCCACACATCTGGCAACAATGCAGATTAAACGCTTACAGACTGTTGCTGACCCTTCATTTTATCAGCTCACCTATAATATGCGGGACAAGAACGACAGCGGTGAAACACAAGAAGCGCAGCGTCTCCGGGTGCATCCCCACCGTCCTGCGGGGCGAGCGGCCACACGCACAGTGAAAAAAAAGCACGAGAGGACATCAAAGTCTTGAAATGGTTTTCAACTTTTACCCACCAGTAAAGGAAGGAGGTGAAGATGATGACACTCAGGATGCTAAAGGGGATGATGTGGAAGATGTAGGCCAAGAACATCTGCCATTTGCTGTAGAGGCCGTCCTGACTCTCCTGATCCCCGATGGCTCGTAAAGCCGGGACTGTTGAATTAAAGTACGATTTAGGATTATTTCATTGTCTACCCGCACCGTTGAAATGAACATCAAAAAATCCAATGGTTCCAAATGAACGATAAAAGGCTGCAAGAAGCCATTTCATTCAGCAGACCCATTTCACTGAGAGATGCATTTGAAAATATTCTTGTGTCAGCTGCTGTTGATGTAATTCAAGGTCAGAGCGATAAGCCAGACACCACCTCCACGATGTGGCTTGAAAAGAATCTGGCTTCAGTTCAGTTCTTTGTTTTATCACCTTGCTAATCCTCATTATCAGTAGGAGCACTAAAGCTGATAACGGTGTGGATAGTGAGCACCAGGACCAAAATTCTTCAAGTATGACAATTCAAATCCATTCCAAACATAGCACTTGTGTGTTGAATACATTTCCAAATGTATGTCATGAAATAACCTGATCGTTTTTGCTGTTTTTTAAGAGAGAAGCTCGTAAATAAGATCATCGCAGTAGCTTAAGAATAGTAGTATATGTGACAACTGTAATGTTTGTAGGTAAAAAGGTAGAGTTCACTGAGTCCTACAGAGAGGCCATTGACCTCACAAACACAGTCCAAAAATACCAGCTATAAGACCAGTGCAACAACTAGAGAAAAGCGCCGAAAACCGTTGCACTTTCACGAATCAGTCACTAAAGTAAAACCAGATGGCTCATATTATTTGGGAGCTGTAGGACCAGGGTTTCCTTGCCTTTCAGTGGAAGGCACCCTACAAAGCACCCAGCCTCCATCCCCTTCCCTAAAACACCCCTGTAATGTGGATCAGTGTGTCTAATGTGTGCGCAAATGTTTACTTTACAGCAATGTTTTGCTTCATGCATACATTTCTTTTTGTTCTCATCACCTATTCTCTACTTAAAATAACATCAAATTGGACTCAGTAGAAACCTTGAAAACGCAAGAAATCTGGTCAAGCCCTTAAATCCCCTTAATATCTTTTTGCTGAATGGGACAATAATGTACAGACAGCAGTCCTTTCACCCTCTGAAGTGTAGATAAGAAAGCTCGCACTACTGAGATCATTTTCAGCAGGCTGTTTAACATAGATAAGACTTTACTCAGAAGATGGAAAACATTCGCTTCAGTTTCCACTGAGTCAATCGGACCACCACGTGCGAATATTTTTCCTGAGGTGATGTTATCAGTCAATGCCTTCAGATGCTCTGCACAACTGGAAAATGATAATTCACTGAAAGCCGTCTTAGATTCGTGCTTTGGGGCAGTTAGTGGGCGTGCGTGTGATTGGTGGAACTCACAGAGGGCGACAGCGTTGAGCATGCCGGTGTAGGGGGACGCGGCTACGCTCTGATAGATGATGCCGATCCGGTCCTGAACGGCCCCCTTGGTGACGTCTTTGTCCAAATGCATGACGAAGAAGGCCACAAACAGGCCGTAGATCAGGTTCTGGGAGAGACGCATCAGGACACCCATCCTGTCTCTGGAGAGATTTCTGAGCGTGCGTCTAAACACAAACATAAGCAGTGAGTTATCATTTCCTTTAAACAACGAAATCATGGCTTGGTGTGATTAGGGTAAATAGGGTCAATATCTTTGTAAACTTCCTGACTACCAAACCTCACTGCCGGCTGAATACTTTGTGGGTGCTGACCTGAACAGAACCTCCAGCTTGGCCGCTCCGTTGGGCGAGTCTTTGCTCTTAAAGGGGATGGCTGGCTTTTCCAGCAGCTGCAGGCGCTGCTGCATTTTGTCCAGCATGCTCTGGTAGATGGCCGATCTCTGATAGGATGTAGTGATTTCATGCATTCGGTTGAAGGTGGCGGCCTCCCTCTCGCTGCTGCGCGTGTCCACTGAGGTGAAGTCAACTGTCTCACATCACACAATTGGAATGTTTCAACGCTCTGGATGCTGTGATTCGATACGCCGTTTTTAGGGTGGCCCTGCGTTGAACCCAAAGCGTTAGCTGTCATACCATAGATGTCGAAGGGGTTGCAGTACTCTGGACATTCATATCCACACTGGCTGAAAAAGTCCACCATCTCCTGTGGCTGTCCACAGAACACCAGCTCGCCTCGGCTCATAATCGCTATCCTGCTGAACACCTGACAGGATGACGGACAGCATTTACCGTCAAAATATATACATTTGTAACACCTAGTTTTGAATCATGGGAAAATAATCCCTTATAATCCACAGCCCTAGTATGAGTATATATCAGAGGGAGACTTAAATGAGCTCTGAAGGGAACTTCGGTAGCTCTTGGTTCTGCCTTTCAAATCATCTCAAAACTCACCCTGAAGAGCTCGGAGCGCGGCTGATGGATGGTTACTATGACGATCCGGTTCCTCCTCGCCAACTCCGCCAGCAGCACCACAATCTGATTGGCGGTCATGCTGTCCAGGCCGGTGGTTGGCTCGTCCAATAGGATCACCCCTGCAACAACACAATCCCGGTGACCTCTGTGCCGTCGCTGTGGGTTTGTCACACAGCCGAACACTGAGCACAAGTGAAAGGCAGGACACTAACTTTTTTTTTCCATCTAAGTTGGAAACTTTTAAATGCACTTCCTCTTATTAAGTGGCACATGCAGGACTCTCTGGTGGGCTAGCGTAACTCGTGAAGATAAGTGAGTTCTCTTTTTTTCTGTTAATTACTCTAATTAGGGCAATTAAAGATTGCCTCTTTGCATTATAAAAGCAGAGTGGAATTAGCAGATGCTTTAATTGTGAGATTAATTCATTTCCTGGTTGATTGGAGGGGCAGCGAATGGGAACTCTTCATTAGTCTGTGTGTGACTCTGAGATCCTGCATGTGTGTGTGTGTGTGTTCTTGGCCATTTAATCCTGAATGAGGACTAAGACCCCTCATCCTCCCTGGAGGACTGTAGACCTGATAAACTACACCTGGGATGAGCACACACACTGTGGTGGGTTTCTGCTCATTCCCTTCACGGTGTGATAACCCAGTCTTTTAATACTCTTCTCCATCTCTCCTTCAACTCCTTTCTCTGTCCTTTCCACGGTCCCCTTGTACTTAGATTTCTTTTGTTTTCTCCCTTTGCAGACTTTAAAACTCTAAAGGTGAGACACAGGTCACATGGACCAACTTTGCTCAAAGTTTGAAAATGACTGTTCTGAAATGCATTTATTTACATTGAGTGAGCAAGATTGTATATCAATAATTGGATTTTTATTTACTCATCAATACCAACACTGAAATTACACCCTCCCAATACACATAAAGTGCAAATGATGTGATACAGAAACCACAGGTTAAATCCAAATTTACCCTCAAGCAATCAAATCTGTTTTGCATTAAATGTTGCTTAGGAAATTACCCCTGTGCCCAGTGCCATAATAAACTATTTAAAGAGTTTAACTGGGCAGAATTTTAGAGACAACTTTTTATGTAAATTTAGACTTTTTACTATAACTGACTGAATCAATTCTCATCCCAAACTGGATGATACCTACAGACTCTGGAGGATACCCTTTTTCTTCATAATAAATCCCTGTTCATTAAAAAACCTTTTAATGAATTTTCATATCAAATGAAGTCGGCGGATGTTGGCTCCCATCACATGAATTGCATTTTAAGGGCTCCTGAGTATTGTTTTACTAAGCCCCTTTTTGAATAACCTTAGTGTCATCTGGTCAATACTTAAAACTCACCTCTCGCTTCGTTTTTATCTTTTCTATAGAAATTCTGTGAAGAGTAAAGAATTTAAGGGCTAATTGTAGCATTTCACCTTTGTTCTCCTCCTCGGCACTATTCTGTGCAGCCACAGTAGGATCGTCTTGTGTTGTGATACAAAAGCAAAGCTTCTGTAACTCTTCATGTCCCAGCACAAGGCAAACTTACTGGGGTCTTGAAGTAACTGGCTGGCTATGGAGACCCGCCTCCTCTCGCCACCAGAGATCCCTGGAAAAACTCGACCTCCGATTACACTGTGTGCCACATGAGTCAGACTCAGCTCAGCCATCACTGCAGACACCTGCATGCGAGGTCAAAGACCAGGTAATCAGTCAATAATTACTCAGCCTGGATCATTTATTTCTGCGTCCAAAAGCTTTCAGGAGCTTTGAGAATTGTTTGTCTGTTTTTTTTTTTTTGTCCATTCCTTTGAGAAAGGAGACATGTCAACTTAAAGCAGAAGAAAACATGTCAGCTACAAAGAGCAACGGACGCTCCAAAAAGTCACCTTTTTCTTGATTGCCTGGGTCGAATGTCGCCTCAGGGCCAGCTGGGCAGTGTAGGTCAGAGTCTCCTCCACTGTCAAATAACTCAGCAAGTTATCACTCTGAAAGAGGAGAAAGAGGGAAAAGAGAAACAGAAATAAAACAAGATATGAACTGCAGACTTATATCAACAGTATACATGTTTTGTGTATGTATGTATATATATATATATATATATATATACATTAATTTTTATGTGTATATATACATATATACAAATATTAGTCCACATCAGTATATAGTTTCCTTTTTTCATGAATGCCTTTGAAATGATCCGCAACATAACTTTACCTCAGACACACACACACATACACACACATTCACACATTGCATCAAGTAGCTGAACTCGCAGCTCACTTCAATTAACACACGCCATGCTCCCCAATCCCACTCCTCCTTATTCTCACATCTGAATGACTTTAATATCAGGAGCTCATATCAGCTCCTCATCTATGGCTTAGCAGTGGAAGTTAATGACAAGGCTTAGAGAGCAGAGGGGGGTTGCTATCAGCAAGAAGAGGAAGATGATTTGAAAGGAAGCAAGGCCAGTTTTAAACCAGTGCTTTTAATTCAGGCTTTGGATACACATGAGCACTTCTCATTGAGAGATTAAGACTATAAGGAGGCTATCAAGGGGTTTACGTTAATTTCATACATAGGCCAGGGCAGCCTTCCTGGAGTTTAGCCAAAATGAGGTGTTTATTAAGTTTTTGATCTAATATTTGTAGCATTACTTCAAACAGAATTGACCAGAAATGGGCACAAACTGTTAAACTGAGTAAACTGAGTAAAATGTGTTTGTAATAAGCTGCAAACTGCTGTCAGTTATGTGAAGGCAGCATTTTACAATGAGATGATGATGGCGTCTCAGAGCACTATCTGGATCCACCAGTCCACCACAGCTTCTGACCTCTGTTGTTACATGGTATGGTCAAATGTTTTTTTTCCTGTGTTACCTGCAGAACATAGGAGAAGCAGTCCTGATACTCCTCTCTTTTCAGCTTTCTGCCGTTTATGAAAACGTCACCCAGCAGCGCGCCACGGTAACCAATCCTCCCCGAGATGGCATCCAGCAAGGTTGTCTTTCCTGAGCCTTCACATTACAAATTGGGCACATACAAGAAAAAAAAAAATCTTAAATTGATTCATACTAGACATTTTCATTCAAAGTTATTTCCATTAGAAAAGAATCAAACACACTTTAAAGGCTATGTAACTATTTTTGTTCTTGTTAATTCACTTAGCAATGAGCTGGGTTTGAACCTGAGTTGCCCAGTATGCCCATTATCTGCCCGCTGTCTACGTGGAAAGAGACATCTTTGAGTATCTGACGAGTCCAGCGCTTCCTGTGGGAGGGTATATCCCACCATGGTCCCACACGCTCACTGAAACACACAAAGACAGGGCCAGTGTTTAACGTAGAAGAGTCTTGTTTGTTTGTTTTTTCAGCGTTTACCTGACAGTGTAGCAGATCTCCTTGACACTGAGGGAACAGGATGGCTCTAAACTCTGCTCCATGGCTTCCTTCGACACATCGCTCCTCTGCTCGGACAGAAACTTGAAAGACTCTCGGGCTTTTGCCCCGTTTTCTGAGTCCACCGGTTGCATGGTGTAAAATCCGTTCATGTCTCCTGACAGCCGTCGGCCTCACGCCAGCGTGTTGATATTCTTTTCGTCCTGGGCTCTGTGTCTGCGCTCCTGTTTCTTGCGCAGAGCGGCAGTGCGAGGTCTACGGGGTCCCTCAGAGCCATAAAAACACAGCGAATGTCACCTTATCTCAGAGAACTTTGATCCGGAGTTGTGTAAAGGCGCAGGCAAAAATCCCTCACGCTGAGTCGGTTCACAGGTTGTCAGTCTCTCCTCACCGCCAGCACCAAAAGCTATGACAGCCAGGGAAAAGCAGATGGAGGACTGACAGTTCACGAACCCTGACATTTTGAGAAAGAAGGCTAAGCAGACAAAAGATATTTATCTGGACTGGAGCTTTTGTGTCAAACGGTGAAAATAACAGAAGAGGGGAACGTCTGGAGGGCAAAAACGACAGATTCCTGTTTAGGAAGAAAAACAGGACAAAACAGCGGAGGGAAAAGGGGGGAGCTGACCTTTTGACCTGGCTGCACACATTAACATGGATACAGAAAGTGTCCATCATAATGACAGCAATTCACAGGTGAGTGAGATCAGTCAGCTTTTATTTCAGTTAGAGGGATTGGTTTGTTCCACTCAACTGAAGTTAAGATAAATGAAATTGAATCAAATTTATTCATGATTTTCTTATTAATCCTTTTTTTCCCCCCTAACAGTCTTTTCAACGGTTTTGTTACCCTCTTTTGAATCAAAGTTTAAATAAATGTCACTTTGCACAGATCTTTTACCAAAATGTAGTTTTTGCATGTTAAAAAAATGCATGAAACTTAAATTGTAACCATGTGTCTCATGGTCAGTATTTTGTGATATATGATCGACTGATTAGTGACAGAAAATGTGTGAGGACATTTTTCTCTTTTGAATTTGCGTATTCATTTGATTAATCATTGACTATATTCCAAAATCAATAGATTTAAAGGATTGTGTAATGGTAATATTGTTAAAAAACAAACAAACTCTGGACTGATGTAAGATCGGAGATGGTTATTTGCTGTAAAACAAGTAAAGTAGTAATAGGCCAAATAACTGTGCTGCACAAAAATCTAATAAAAATGAAAGCTTTGGATATTTAGAGCAAATTCATCCAAAACGTGTTTATTAACTTCTATAAACGTTAAAACATACCAATCACCTGATAAGTTCACCTGCTGTTGTTTGTGTTTTGTGTTGTCTGTGCAGTGAGTCAATCTCTATATTTGAAAAGAACCCAAAAAACATTTAAAATAGGTTTATATGCCTTCTTACAGGTTTTACAGTTTTAATTGCGAGCAATATTTGAGTGATGTCGTAAGAAGACATTTTTAAAAGGTGTCCATCTGTGTCACAGCACCATGACACAGAGTTGTTCTCGTCCGAAGAGGACAGCAGCCTCTACTTCACCTACACCGGAAGGCGCAACGAACTCGAAGTCAACAATCTGCACTATGTGGTAACTTTAAACTTGTGTGTTGAGCCCTTTTTGTGGCTGTGCTCCGGGTTCGCCCCTCGCTCTGCAAATGTCTGTGTGTGTGTGTGTGTGTGTGTCCAGGTGGACACGGCGGCTCAAATCCCGTGGTACGAGAGGCTGTCGGAGTTCAAGCTGCCGTGGGAGATAACGGGAAACAAGCAGACAGCCATCAACAGGCTCAGCCTCCGGGTTCACAGCGGACAGATGCTGGCCGTCATTGGCAGCTCAGGTGACACACAACACCCCCGAGATTTTCAATATAGCCGTTTCCAATCAAACACTTGTTGAGTTTCTACTAACTATATTCCCTTTAGGCCAGGGGTGGGCACATCCAGGCCTCGAGGGGCCGCTGTCCTGCAGATTTTAAAGGTTTCCCTGCTTCTACACACCTGATTCAGATAAAACTGATCTCTTCTAAACATGGTTCAGTTCTGGACAGGACTGCTGATGTTGTGTTGAGGAGAATCAGGTGTGTAGAAACAGGGACACCTCTAAAACCCGCAAGACAGCAGCCCTGGAGGCCCGGAGTTGCCCCCCCCACCCCTTGCTTTTAGGCTCAGTGTCTCTGGTGCTGCCTCCTTAAGAAAATGTGTGTTGTTGTAATTGAACGTTGATTTATTTCCTTTTTTCATTCTTGACACACTGCTTTGTTCTCCCAGGCTGTGGAAAGACCTCTCTCCTGGACATAATCACTTGTCGAGACGAGGGCGGCACGATGACCTCCGGTCAGATCCTGATCAACGGGAAAGCCAACACGCCGCAGCTGGTGAAGAAAAGCATCGCCCACGTGCGCCAGGACGACCGGCTCCTTCCCCACCTCACGGTCCGCGAGACCCTCTGCTTCGTCGCCAAGCTCCGGCTTCCCACAGACTGCACGCAAGCTCAGAGGGACCAGAGGGTAAGAGTGAGGGGTCAATTAACAGAGCTGCAGCTCATCTCCAGTTTTAAAATGAAAGCATCACGCAGCCGTCGGCCGTGTTCCGATTAATGGGATGAGGTTTTGTGGGAGTCAGTGGCAAAGGTGTGTGTTAAATGAGAAATGGCTTCTCCTGCCTCCTCTCACAGGTGGATGATGTCATCGCAGAGCTGCGGCTGCGGCAGTGTGCGAACACCCGGGTGGGAAATGACCACGTGAGGGGTGTTTCTGGAGGAGAAAGAAGAAGAGTCAGTATAGCTGTCCAGCTGCTCTGGAACCCCGGTGAGGGATCTGGATTTTCCTAAGACCACATTTTGAGATCATTTAATTAAAAAAAAAAAAACGGTTTGAAACTTTCTTTCTGTTTAAACACCAAATCCTATATTAATTTCCAGTCATTTGAAACCGGTACAGTGTCATTGTGATGACAAGCGGTACCAGATTAACACCAAGGCTTTACAGTTCAGCAGAGTGTGTGTTTTTAGGGGATTCAGGATTACCTAAAATATCAACAAGACTTTTTCCACTCTGGGACAGAAAGTGGTTTACCAAAATTGGTCCTGAAGGGCTCATTTATCAATCAAACAGGCTTTCAACAAAGAGGTTTTGTCTATTTAAACTCGCGTTGACCTGTTCTTTTCACTTTGCAGGCATTTTGATTTTGGATGAGCCCACCTCAGGTTTGGACAGCTTCACGGCCCACAACCTGGTCATCACGCTGTCCCGCCTGGCCCGGGGAAACCGCCTGGTGCTGCTGTCCGTCCACCAGCCTCGGTCGGACATCTTCCAGCTCTTTGACCTGGTGGTGTTGCTGTCTTCGGGCTCAGCCGTTTACTGCGGCGCGGCGCGCGACATGGTGCCGTACTTCACTGCCCTGGGCCACCCCTGCCCGCGGTACTGCAACCCCTCCGACTTCTACGGTTAGTGGAACTGTTAAAAAAAAAGTAGCCAGTGGCCCACACTGCACACTTGGCCTTGTGATATGTAAGCTGCTGCTCACAATGCTGAATCAACTCCATCTTTTCTGTGTTACTGAAGTATCCCACTGTCATTTCCCTTAAACCTGACTCTCTACACATGGTTCCCGTGTGTCCAGTGGATCTGATCAGTGTGGACCGGCGCACTCCGGAGCGAGAGGCCGAGTGTTTGGAGCGGGCCAGACTTCTGGCCGAGAAGTTCGCCGAAAAGGTCCAGGACACCGACGACCACATGTGGAAACCCTCCGAAACCACATCGACACAAACCGACAGGTGGATGCACTTTTTGGGTGTTTTTGACCAAACCAATTAGGGTTTCGGTGGCCGCGCCCTCTCCAGATACAGCCTGGCTCTCATCGATAAATGTTACTTATGAAAAAGTGTCACAGATCACCTTCTCGTCAACCCGGTTGTGCTTTGACAGGCTGGTTCTGTGGACCTGAAAAGTCTTCAAGGGTCATTTTTAGCTGAAACTGAACAGCCTTTTCCTTTTCATCCACCGCAGCACTCTGCAGCACAGCAAGAAAACAGGAGAGGAAGTCATTACGGTTTCCAAAGAGAAAAAGAGGCTGCCCGGAAAGTTAAAGCAGTTTACCATCCTCATCAGGTACATGCGCGCTCACACACACATGCACGGCAGCTCTCTGACCGGACGCCCAAACCGGAGCTCCTCTCTTCTTCTCCTCCCTCAGGCGCCACATGTACAATGACTTCCGGGACCTGGTCACTCTGCTGGTCCACGGCCTGGAGGCCCTCCTCATGTCACTGCTGGTCGGGTTTCTGTACTTTGGGGCGGGAGAAACGCGTCTGAACATTCAGGATACGGTGGCCCTCCTCTACATGATCGGAGCGCTCACTCCATTTGCCGTGGTGCTGGACGTCATAGCCAAATGTAAGACGTGAGGTCAGAGGTGACCCAGAGGGATGTTTTTTGCACAGTCATCTAGATTTTTGTTTTGTCTTTAAAGTAATGTCACACAGTAAGAATATACAGTAATTCACTATTATCGTACTGTATTTAGAGCCCATTTTGACCAACAAACATCAAAAGAAAATTTCTAAAAAGAATAAACAAAAGAAAAAATCTTTTTCAAATTAAATTAGATTAGAATCAGATAATTAAACATGTTGTGAAAAATTAAAAAGCCACACATACAATTTGTGTTCATCATACAACTTGATTTACAGGAACAAATTGATTTATTGGGTTTCTTAGACAGCAAATATTATTTTAAAACCTAAATAATCTGCAGTATATCGCAAACAAGAAGACTGCAGACCATTAAACTACTTGTTTACAGACAACTAAATGAAACTGTCAGGACAGGCTCCACTTTTTGATCGGACTCTTAATTGTCTCAATATTCTGGAAAAGACGCATTCACATGTAAATGCGCCGTACGACTGTGACAGCGCGGTAACTGCTCTCTGCAGGTCACACGGAGAGAGCCATGCTCTACCACGAGCTGGAGGACGGCATGTACTCCGTCACCTCCTACTTCTTTGCCAAGGTAAAGCCCCCCCCCCCATTTCAAACTGCATCTCCAGCAGGGGTCAGACTCGCTCCACGCTTCAGGGGCCAGAGCGGGGAAACGCCAAGAACTGCACAGGACTGCATGCATATATGTAAGCCAACACCTGCAAACATGTCACGTGGATCTGTTGCTTTCAGATCCTGGGGGAGCTACCGGAGCACTGTGTGTTCACCCTGGTCTACGGCCTGCCCATCTACTGGCTGGCCGGTCTGAACGAGGCTCCGGACCGCTTCCTGCTGAACTTCCTGCTGATCTGGCTGATGGTGTACTGCAGCCGAGCCATGGCTCTGTTCGTGGCCGCGTCCCTGCCCACCCTGCAGACGTCTGCCTTCATGGGCAACGCTCTGTTCACGGTCTTCTATCTGACCGGGGGTTTTGTGATCAGCCTGGAGAACATGTGGCTGGGTGAGGACTGATCTGATCTGTGGCATCACGATATAAGATGTGATTGGTGGCTGGGGAATGTGTGCAGAAACAGGGGGGACAGCTTCAGAACAGAACATTAGCATCCTAAAGTGGTATTTTATTTGATTTTTCTTACCCTCCAGTGGCCTCCTGGTTCTCTTACGCCTCCTTCATGCGGTGGGGTTTTGAGGGGATGCTTCAAGTGCAGTTCAGAGACAACAGTTATCCGGTCAACATAGGAAACATCACCATCAATGTTGATGGCATTCATGTGAGTAAAAAACACTGTCTGTGCAAGGTCAGAGTCTCAGCGCACTTTTACATTCTGGGTATTTTCTCACTTATACAGTATTGCAATACAAAAAAAACTAAAAGAAAAATCATGAACGATTTTTCCCTTTTGGTCATAATCAGATGTTTTTCATAGTTAATTGTGCTTCTTGACCTTTAACTGCCGGAAAACCTACACAAACTTCAGACTACTGAACAGGAAAACGTCTCTCATTTCTCTTCCAGGTTGTGGAGGCCATGAAAATGAATCAGTACCCTCTGTTCTCATGCTACCTGGTCCTGCTGGCGGTCTGTCTGGGTTTCATGGTGCTTTATTTCATCTGCCTTAAATTCATCAAACAGAAGTCCAGTCAGGACTGGTGAAGACTGTGCCGGCTGTGATTGTAGGACCAGAAAAGTTTGGTTGTGGTTCGACAGGCTCGACACACGTTGCTATTCTGGAGTTAAAATGTGTTCTACCTTTAGTATAGTCACACTTCTGCAGTAATTTCACTGTCACAAACTGGAATAGTGGTCATTTGTAGGGATGCATGATCCAACCATCCAGCACTCCGGGAGCTGAGGGAGTCTGGGAGCATAAGAGTAACTGGAGTTTTGGCAAAGACCAAAAAGTTGCAGTGGGATGAGGATCTTGTTGCTGTATTACTGCTAGCTGCTGGGTGGCAGCAGAGTACTGCAATAATATCCAGATTTGTGGTTCTTTCTCCCTTCTCTTGAATGATTAGAGCTATGCTGGCGGACATTCATCCGCAGCTTTTGCTTATTCTCTTTTCAATCTCATCTTTCCCCCCCTCTGCATAACCCCTTTTTTTGTGTATGTAAGATTATTAATCTCCCTGTAACAATGTGCGGCCGTGTATGGAGTGCTAAAAAGAAAAGCCTTGTAGAGATCTGGTAAGTCACACTCAGACAAAAAGACCTTGTACTTTTCGTGTCCTCATAGATTGTGGTTATGTAAGCGGTGTGTTTTTTTTTTTTGCACTGGTGCAAAGGCCAGTTAAGTGTTTTTCCATCATGCTACGAGTCCACATTAGGAAAGAATTAAATCAGTTTGCTCCACTTAAGTCTGCTTATTTTTGTCTTCGTGCTTTTCATCTGGTTTGTTTTCCACTTTCATGTTAAAGTTGCTGGTCCTGTAATAACCCTCAGAAATCATTTTCTACATAGGTTTATTTCTGCAACATGGAACCTCAAAAGTATTTTATATTGTAAAGTGTGAGAAATAAATTACTTTGGCTTGAAAGGTTATTGATAAACACTGAATATTCTTTTAAGAAATACTTTTGTTAAGAGGCAAATGTTCATGGAGAACCCCACATTGTGAAAATGTCCCTGTTATTTCTCTCTGATCATGTTTTTGTCTCGCCATTTCATTTGTATCTCTAACAAGCTCCGCTGCCAAGCCGGCTCCCTTTTGTCAAACAGCCAACAACTAGTGGCGTTTTCTAAGGCCTACGTCTGTCAGGGCCAACAACTTGCATTACACGAAAGAAAGTCCAGTGCCAAGCTGATGAGTCAGACAGTTTGTCGTGCAAAGTCCAGGCCCAATCAAATGAATGCCAATAAACTTTCAGATTGAATCCGTCTACAAATTTCACACATGCGGATGTCGGTTTTAGCCCTGCAAAAAGAGCAAGATTGTTTCTCTTCCCGGTCCAAAAATGACTTTCTTTATATGTGGCAACGCCACAACGTTTGGGAAATCTGTTACTTAAATGAGTGACTTGGATTAATGAGGGTTGCTGCACTAAGCTGCAATTAGGATGTAGAAAATCTTAAGAGACTCACAGATGCTCATTTGCAGACAGGAGACACGCACAGATGCACTGCTCAAAATGTTTAAATATGAGTACTGCATACTTCCCACCAACAATTCCAGTTATTTTCTCATGTCTGTACTGTTACATGTCATTACACATTAATGCATGATTCATTCACCTACTTCAGTTGCTTTATGGGGATTTTGATGAATGATACTGATGTGATATGGCATACTTTGTGTTAGTTAGGAAAAATATTCGAACATTTTAAATGTGCCAAGTTAACACTGACTGAAATTCCATTTAAAATGTGTGTATTTGTGCTATTGGGTGGACTAAGTAGGTATAAATATATATATATATATATATATATATAAAATTTAAATATACAACTTTAGGAGCAACATTTCCTTTGTGTCTAAACTCATCTTTCTTCTTCAGTCCATAAAATCAATTAATTCTACATTGTCTGTGATATGGCATTTAACTAAAATATCTTGGTTTTCAGGGAGGATGAACATCCGAAGGTTGACCAAAAACACTGTCAAAAGGTAGTCCAAAATCTATGCACATTTATTTTCTCAATATGGAAAAAAAAAAAAAACTGTTCTCAAAATACAACTAATATAAGAGCTGGTTCAAACGTACCTCTATAAAGATAGTCTCTATTCTATTAAAGCTCATCTTTAGCATTTTGCTAAATATTCTTGTACTGGAAAAAATTTGAAATAACAGTAAATGTATAAGCTGGATCATGAGAAGTGATCCTATGTATTCAGATCTAACTAATAACATTTGAAATAAATGGGGAGAACTCGTAGTTGTCGTTACCCATCATCATTTATTTGCATAAATACTTCTGTACATTCTCAACATCTTCATGGAAATTAGCGACATTGCAGTGGACAGAGTCTAAAGATCCAACAGTAACAAGACAATTCTCAACATTTCAGCTTGGACAACTTAATATAAAAAACAGAAAGAGGTACGTGGGATTTGCGTGGAGGTGTGAGGGGAGACTTCACTCTTCACGCCTGGCCTTTAGCAACTTTCTCCTTCAGCTTGTTTGCATAAAACTTAAATGATTCCTGGAAAAAACATGGGAAAAAAAGAGACTATTAAGTAACCAAAAGGCTTCAAACAAAGTGTGAACACGCTCAGCAGTGAGTCTGTAGCGGTGTGTGCGTGTGTGTCTATCTTGCATCTTTCCAAAAGTAAGCAGCACTGGGGCCCCTCCTGGGTCAGTCTAAATAGTCTCCAGTCTCCAACCAGGTTGTCTCGTTTCATCTTTAAATCCCCATTAATACACAAATAAGGGATTTGTAGCACATTCCCTAAACACACGCTTCCGTTCTTTCCTCTGTTTCGGGCTAATTAATCGGTGTTTTGATCCAGACAAAGTGTTGGTTGGGTGTTTTTGGGGGGAGAAGGTGAGAGCTTTTCTGCAGATTACGCCGGCTCTTTACATTGTGCGTTTGCTTATTAATGTCGTAATTAATGCCGATAAATGTCTGCGGAGTGCGAGAGAGCTTCTGGCACAGTTTCAAACGCTTTCCAAAAGGGTAGGCACGGCCCTAATTACTAAACCCTGTTTTCTCCCCAGATTTTTCCCGTTGTTCTATCGGCCCAGCTTTCTCCACAAAACTCAAAGGAACAATGAAATCTCATGTTTATAATTATAACATCTCCCTCCAGCAGCGGGCGCAAAGGCCTTGTGGGGGTGGGGGGTGGGGGGGGGGCTACAGTCGGTACTTGGAAGAGCGACAAGTACGACAGAGTGGAGAGGCCTTTGCCCGTTTGTGGAAACTTCTGGACATGACCATTCGCCTTTCCTCGCAGCTCTTCTCTTTTTTTTCTCCTCTGCTTACAAAACCAAAGCACTCACTTAGCTAACCTGACATGGGGTGAATAATGCAGCAGCCTCTCTACCTTCATCCCTCTTTCTCCTTCTATCTTGGTCCTGCAGGTGATGGTGGGAAGGTAAAAGTTGCTCTACACCTGACTCGAGGGGACAGCGCTTCAAAGTGCAGCTGCTGAGAGGCCTTTGTGTGTGTGTGTGTGTGTGTGTGTGTCTGCTCAAGTGTGTGTCCTCTGCCAAAAATAGAGCTACATCAAGCTTACAAAATGCTCAATGTGCTGAAATGCTCAAAAACACTTTGGGCCTGAAAAAAGCAGAGAGGCTATCGCGGCGACACCATCTCGCTTACCCAATGCACCGCGTGTCCTCGCTGTCCTGGGGGTGTAATTTCTAACACACACACACACACACACACACTCAGAGCTAAACCGGGGGATACTAGCTGCAGGCCTGTGCGGCTCTGCTCCTTCACATTACCGCGCAGAGGCATGCGTTGGGACGCTGGCCGGACAAATGCCAGTGCTGGTTAGGCACCGTGGGACGTGCGCACATGTGCGCTCATGTGCATGCACGGAAGGCAGCGTGGAGAGGTGTGTGTCTAATGGAGGTAATGCTAGCCCCTCAGTGGAATCAAACTGTAGTTCATTCTTTGTTGACTTTTATTCTTTAGGGACTAAAACTATTCAGATCGAATATCGCTTTTCCAAGGCTGACCAACACATTCTTTATGTTTACATAGAAGAAAGCTGCAGATAAAAAGCGACATACTTCACTGTGCGACCAATGGGAAATTACATGAAAACGAGATGACAAACAGCCCTGAAGCCATGTGAGGGCAACCAAAGCTTATGAATCCAAAGCGTTCAGTTAAGGCTTCGTCTGAGGAGCAAAAGCATTGTGGCCTTCGCTGCTTAATATTAATAAGAAATAACTTAGAAGGGGCTTGGATCGAAAATTAAAAGACCAGGCATCCCTTTGTCCCATCCTGTCTAAAGGGCTTATACTTATACATGTGTTAACTGAGTTCTGCCTATTTTCCAACAACGCGTCAAAAGTATAGGAGTTTGATCACTTCTGGCTGCTGTCTGATGGGCCTTGTCGTGCTCTGAAGAGTTCTGGTGTGCGTCACTTCCCGTGCGTGTGTGTGTGACTCACTGGGGGCTCAGTGAAGGGGGCGGCTTCTCCCGCTTCGCGGTAAAGGGCAGCCAGCCGTTTGAGTGACAGCTCGTCGACAGCGAGTCCCTCCTTCTGCATCTGCTCATGCAGAGCCTTGGCAGAAGTTAAGTCCTTATCCAGAACTGCCAGATGACAGGGAGAGGGATGAAAACATGACACGTTAAACACGCCAATTATTGCTTCAATGCAGAAATTTACAGGCAAACCGAGAACGAGCAAATGACAATGAATGATAATCATGGGATTCCACAATGCTTTAGCCAAGAAACTCGACGCCAAAACCGGGCTAGTCTTTGTATTTATCCCATCTTTTTCCAGAACAATGACTTCTGTAAAAATTCTGAGATAATGCTGGTTGTGTGCTTAGCAAGTAATGGGAAAAGTAGTATATACTAAATTATTTCCAACTGTGGTCAAATAACGAAGATAACACAAAAAAAAAGATGAATGTAGAAATAGATGAAAGGTGAATGTGAAAACGCTTATTTGCAAGAGATACGGTTACAATGCCTGGATAAAAGTCACTTTAAGAAATTGAGTCCAATAAAATTACAAATTTGTAGCCTTCATGTTTCTTAATCCCTCTTCAGAGAAACAAATCTGACATTAAAAGTGAATAAACTCTTTGGAACCTGCAACACTTACATGAAAAAGAGGAAACTAGGCAAAAAAAAAAGTAGAAAAAGGATATGGAAAACTAATTTCTTCCCCTCTGGCTCCCTTGCTGACCAACTACGACTAAGTTTTACATGAGTGGTGCGACAAGTGAAAGCAAAAAGGCGGGGGAATCACTGGGAAAGAAAATGTAGAGACAGGAGTAAAAAAAAAAATGGAGCGTAAAAGAAGACAGGAGGGAAAACGTGTGAACTAAAACGCTGAGTGGCGGGACGTGTTGAGATTAGCACGCCAGGCTAGCCAGGACAGCCGACTCATTAGAGGACATGTGTTCTTCTAACCCCGGACGCCTGCACTCTGCTTGACCTGATGCATTGTTAATGCGTCCGTTAATGCTGACTTAGCCACAGGCCAGTGGGCCAGGGAGCGCGCGCGTGCCTCACCGTGACACTTCATCAGGTACGCGTACACCACCTCCTTCTCCGCAAAGTCTGGAATCAGGCTCAGCAGGTTCTTGATCTTCCCAATCTGCACACAAACATGAGAGGACTTTCTTTTCTTTTCTTTTTTTTTGGACGTGGAGTCATGCTGTGATTTCAGTGCTGAAAGTTTTGAAGCCTGGAGACCATTCAAATCAAAATGAGCCTCTCTTTTAAGGTTTATATCACAGTGGCACATTTTTGAAAGATGGGGAAAGCAAAAAGAGGACTGTGGTTGATGAAAAACGCAAAACAAAACTCTTTCTGGATGTTTTGCACGTTTTCTCAAATATCAAATTTGCATTTGGGATATTCTTTGTCTAAATTACTCGGGTCTGCATTCCTAAAAGAACTCTTTTGAATTTTCCCCCACAGACTTATTTTTTTCTTCCAATGGCATGTCAATCTAAATCATATAGCAATCCCAAATACTGGGGCCTTGGGGACATTTATGTTCAAGCTACAGCCACTTTCCCAGAAGATGACCCTCACCGAAAATCCTGAACTAAAAAGTGACCACGTTCAGTCGAATCAGCCAATCAGCCGCCTATAAGAAACCACTGGCAGCTACAGGTGCCTTTTAGATGGAGGCCATCCCTTTTTAAAGGCAAAAATACCAGCTTCTGGGTGCAGATGCAGCTTGATCATCCGCATAATACCCAGGCCACTTTTGCGAAGTGAAAAGATAATCATTTTTATTTCAAATCAGGACTAAGCTGCAGTCTGCGGCTGCTGATGAAAACCACGCCGGTGGTGTGACTTTACCTGTCCGGGACTCTGAGCCTTTTGAGACACGAAGGACAGCAACACGTCCTTCTGCTCTGCCACAGCGTTGCAGCGCTGCATCCAGGGAAAAAAAACAAAACACACGACACAAAAGTGTGAGAGATTACAGCGTTTCCTTTAAACTTTTCCTGTTTTTTTTTTTTTTTCTAGCTCAAGATGTCTGTCCAACCTCTGCTCTTCATGCAGGTGCAGTATATAAACTCGCATGCACTCCAGCACACCCACACATTCATCCAAACACACGTACACTCAGGGTTGCGCTCAGGTTAAAGGATAATTATGGATCTAATAACTGCTCGTTTCTTTGTGAATTTAAATGTACAGCACTTTTCTCATCAGAAAGTATAATTATCATCACTTAGTCCCACTAAAGGCCATTCCTACGACTCGGTGGGGATGTGAGTGTGGGCTGAGCCCGGGCCGCTCATCACGCCGGCCACCCGACAGCTTCGACTTAAACCGGCCGCAGGACGTAAAAAGATGAGCATTAAACAGTGAAGAAAAGAAGGAACGGAAAGACTGGACGTGATTATTTCCCACGAACCCACATATTTAACCCCTCTTTTTCCCCAAAAATGTAAATTCTTGATTTCAGTTTTTGGCTATTCGTACATGAATGTGGAGTCCCTGAGAACATTCCCAAGCCCGGCTCATCGTCTAGGCTGAGTCCAGGGGGTGCGGGAGCCCACCGGACCCCCCGGAGCACCCGGTGGACCGCCAGCGCCCGGGCGGCGCCTCCCTCCTGGCGGGGCGTTCGCTCTGCTGTGTTTCCTGACTGAGTGCTCGTGTCCTCTTGGCTGGCCCGATTACAAACCAGTCGTAAACTAACGCGTTTCGCTTCTTTGCCGCCTTGTGCGGAATTAAAAGTGGCCGTCCTGTAGGGCTTTTAGCAGAGCTGCACACACGCACTCACACACACACACACACACACACACACAAACACACACACACACGGGGCGGGCGGCGGCCGTGGAGTCACTAAGTGGCAGGATGACTTCAGTACAATCAGGCAATTAGACCAACACCACGCCATTTCACTCTTTGAGGCAACTTTGCTTTATGCTCCCACTCTCTCTGTATCCCCCCCACCCCCGCCTCCCCGCATCAAGCACTCCCAACGGCGACACCACAGCCGAGCGGCCCCTCCGTCTCCCCTGCTCCTCACACACCGCTTAAAAGCCTGGCATGCCCAGGGAATGCTTCCTGCTTTTCCCGACCGAGCCGTCCCGGCGCGCACGCACGCACATCCCCGTAAACCAGGGCGTTAAGCGCTCGCCCGGCCACAGTTTCGCTTCTTAATGACTTGACTTCATCCCTTTCGCTCCCAACCGAGCTCACCTCCTTCTCTCTTGATAGCCTTGTCATGATTATAGTCTGCTCGCCTACTTAAAAGCTTTTCGGAGTTTTGGGGAGGGGGGCTTGGCTTCGCTCGTGATGGGATGGAGGAGTCGAGCTGATTCCCTCCAGTGACTCCAGTGAGCAACTTAAAGGGGGTGAGCCAGGAAGACAAAAAAAAAAAACTACTAGAAAGACAAAAGTTTAAAGTCAAAATTGAACTAAAAGACAAATAGAAGGACAGTCCAAAGTGTGAGGTGTCTGTAAGTGAAGTTTTTCATTCTAAATGTTTCCAAACATGCAAAGAAATGCTCAATCACTTCAGTTTTCACATTATTACATGTAATTCATTCATGGATTTCTATATAAAATGGCTGAAAAGAGCAAGTAAAAGTAATATAATAAAGGCGAGATTTAAATCGTCATGTTTGACAAGTTGAAGCCATTAAGTGGGACTTTATTCAGAATCCTGTTCCAAGTTCTTCAGGTTGTAGGGGGGGGGGGGTATCATAACTTTAAAAATACAGAAATATATTCAATAAATATATATAAACTGAGTTGGTGATTAAATAATTATAAAGACGGGAGTAGTGGGTAAAACGCCAGTTCATTAACAAGCGAGTTTGTCAGACATCCCCGTTAAATGATTGAGAGGGGCCATCACTCAGGATGTCGGGCAGATATGGGGCACGGGGGGTAGGGGGGGTCGGCTGTCTTTGCATATTCCAGTTTCACTTTCTGGCCAGGGATAACCAGCCGCTATAAAAACAAACAGAAAAAAGTGACCTCACTGGTAAATAACAGCATTCCAAAAATGAGTATTTCACCTCCTATGTGTTGAAATATTGTGGACTCCACTGCTGCTGCACAGATGCAGTAACTGTTAAATAACTGCTGATTTGAATCGGGCAAACGGTGAGACATGACACGGTGAGGGACAGGCACTGACCTAAAAATTCAGACGTCTAGGGTTCATGTTTAAAAAGTTATGGATTAAATAACGCCATATTTGGCGTCTGTGTAAGTGAGCTCTGAGATGGGGCGATCGCTAAGTGAAGCACCATCGTCAGACGGGGGGAAGCAACACCCTCATTTGAAGGTTTGTATCCTTTCAGGGACTTTTCTTCATCTCTTATGCAGCCTGGCGCTCTCCCCCGTCCCTCCCGTCTCTCACCCGTCTAATTGCGACATATTCATGTCCCCGGGCTTAATGCAAAGCCATTGAGCTGTAATTTACAAACTGTGTTAAATAAGTGAAGTAGTGGGCGGCCAATTCCAGACCACCGGGGCCAGTGGGTGGAATGTGGGTAAAGCCTTTTCTGACTTAAAATGCGAGGGCAGGGATAAATAAGTCAACAATTCCGGCGGAGGAGCAGCTCAGCCGTCACCGGGGGGGGCTGACAACCGGACCAATGCAACTGGGAGACGTGATGGACTAAACTCATAAACTCGCTTTTTGTGAGCGGGGGGAGGAGGACATTTGAAATTCGTTGATATCATTTAAAATGTAGCCACATGCAGGGCAGACAAAAACGCTCCAGATAACATTAAAAAAATAAAAAACTGAATTAAATATTTCGTATTCAGCCGGAAAGGAGGAATCTGCACTCGATCACGTGAAACTGAGAAACACACCAGTGTTTAGTATCAAACACATCCTCAGATTCATTGAGGGGAAGTGGGTAAGCTCATGTTTACACAAAGCCAAGATGAGAAGCTCAATATGACGGCTCAGCCATGGATTCCTTCACTTCCTGTTTAAATAGCGATGATAAGGGTAATGCATCTGTCTCCATTTGCATAATAACTAGTTAATATCTCAAATTGATGTCTTATCTTAGTTTCTCTGGGCCACAAAAGAAAGTCACACACACGTTCCCAAAAATCCTGCAGCAGATGAACTGGATCCCGGATCCCGGACACCAGGAAACGGATATTAAAACATAACTTACGACACCATTTACCAACAAATCTGTGAGGGACACGCGATAAATGTTTTGGCTCTCACACGTAGAGATACTCACAGCCAGCATGAATTTGGCGTCCTCCACTTTGTCGATGTCCAGCAGCTGGAGGAAGAGGTCCGAGGCCGGCCTGTAGCAGGCGAAGTGGTTGGCCAGCCGCTCGGCCATCACACTTACTGCAACAGGACACGCACGGGTCGGTGAATCTGCGCCGCGGTCGGCTCAACCGAGGACGCGCGGTGGTGTGACTTACGTTTGTCTAGGACTTTGTCGTCGCCGGACTCCAGGACCTTTCTGAAGACGAAGGACATGCTGGGGTTTGTGCTGTCCGGACTCGTGTACAGTCCGTCCAGCAGCTCTACGGCTGTGTCCACCTGCCCGCTGAGGAGAGAAGGTGAGATCCGTTTACCTAACAGGTAGTTAGTTCGCTCTCAAGTTTCCTTAATGTGTGAAAACAGGTCAGTTTCGGTTTAAAATGTGAACACACCAATGATTTGCAGGTCCACAAACCTGCATTTTATTCTCAATAGAATGGTTAAAAACGTATTAAATACTAAAAGTGAACAATAAAAGTTTCATTGTTACATATTAACTAAACTTGGGACATGTTCATGTGCACCACCGTTTAGAGTACAGTGGTACCCCCCCCCCACCTCCCCTCCCTTCCCCTCTGGGTGCAGACCAGCTCGTAGTCTCACTCGTGGTGTGAAATGTTCGACAAAAGGCTGCACTCTGAAGCACAACACAACTAAAACGACTCAACCCGGCGCGCCCAGCTCAGGGCCAGCGCTTCCCGCTCTCTCCCCGACGTCCGTCATCATGAATCTTTAACAAAGCAGGGCGGGTGTGTACGTGTGCGTCCAGAGGTAGGGGAACATATCTGTGCTGATTGTTGCGACTGGGAGCGTCTGAATAATTCAGCGCGGGGCCCCTCTAAATGCGCCGCGCCGCTCTCCGGGCCCGCCCGCTTTGCCGCCGCAGCTCTTAAGCAGTCAGCTTGACTCACATACAGAGGGGAGGCACGTGTCAGGGAGGCTCACACTGCAGCACCCGGAGGTCAGGGTTCAGGCTGACAGGCCGGAGCGGTGGTGGCCAATCGGGCGTGGAGGCTGCTATTTCCCACTTCCTGCCGTCCCTCCACGTTGCTACGGGGATGGCGCTAATGTGGCAGGTGGCACGATGAAACTTTGATGCCTTAGTTTGTCCCCACTTATATGAGCGGCCGTGGAGGATGGGTGTTTGCACGGCATTAAAAGCAGTGCATAAATAATCCTATTATGCCTGTGTTTCCTGTTTGTTTGCAGAGCCTCACTCACCCTGTGAGCTTTTACCGTAAGAGCGTGTCAGTCTGGATCTTGTCACACTGCTGGTGTTGCATTAAATCATTATATCTGTCCAAGAGTGTTTACACAATAGAATAAAAACACACTGTAGTATTTTTGTACATGTGGCCTGCTGCTCTGCTCGGTTGCATTGGTCTATTTTGCCGTTTGGTGTGTGTCCGTCGCACACTCCCCTCAAAGTAACTGGAGAGAGTCTTAAAGGGGCAGTTTGTTTGATAAAAATCTCTCTGGTTTTATAGAAATCTGGTTTTAGAGAAAATCTGACAATTCTAAAGTCACACCAGATATTTCCATCAAATATGAATCTGGCCTTACTTTTTGATGTGTGCGAGGACTGAGTTGTTGATGAACACCATGCTGGACAGGCTGAGGGTTGTGCCGAGGCTCTTTATTAGGGACTCCACCTCCTGAATGCCAGCGATATCGCCGGTGCTCCCCAGGGCCTGAACCAGTCGGGTGATGGCAAGGTTCGAGGGCACGTGATCCACCTGGATCATAGACTTCAGTTTCTCTAGAGCATCTGCGAAGGAGAACAAGACGCGTGTGTGTTAGGACCCTAAAGGACTGCACGTGTGGCTTTCGGGCACATTTCCGACGCTAACCTTTGACCTGGCCTTTCTTGCTGTAGGAGATGATGAGCAAACTGTTGGCGATGTCGCTCAGCTTGAAGCCTGGCACACGAGACTCAGCACTGAGGGGAAGATGAAATAGGTTTTGGTTACCATCTTTAGAGAAATTTGTTTAGTTTTTGTTAAAACAGTCGTTGTTTTTTACAGGTAAAAAAAAATAAATAAATAACAGCTATAGATCAGCCACTAATAGAGAATGAGGTTTCCTGCGCATCAGGGTTGAGCTGCAAAACAACGTGAGGAAATCTTTCAAATTAATGTCGACCGTGGAGGAATTTTGCATAAACAACCTGCTCTGGGACTATTTTTCAAGTATTTAATTCAGTAAAGTGAGTTGAAAACAGAAAAATATTTTCATCTGACTCTTTATTTTTTAACTATGTTTCCTGAAAAACACGCAATTTCACTCCCAGATAATCTGAACAACTAATGGAAAACAAGCAAGGCTTGTCGGCGGTCTGTTATTGCTCATGTAGCCCGTTTGTGGCTGGAGGTTTTTATTTGTGTGTCGTGTAATCCGATGTTGGAAGGGCTGTGTCTATAAAAATGAAAAAAAAAGTATCTCTTCAGATTGTGATATTTTGATATAAGATCATGTACACGATAGATTTTATCCACGTATTAGAGATGCCACAAGAAAGTCCATTATTTCCAACTTTAAAGCTGATACTATAGTGCGCCATTAAGAGGAAATCTTTATAATCTGCAATGACTGAGCCATCTACGTGGCATCTTAAGCTCTGAATTCTGTGACATTATGAGGCATCACATTTGGAAAAGCATTAGACTCTGCAGAGATGGAGGGGATAAAACATGAAACGCGTAAGACAAAGAAGACAATGGAAATAAATCTGATTGGCGGCAAGTCTGAGCCTCTCGCAAAGCGCCTGCTCTGACCTGAAAATAATACAGACATCAAGCAGCTGATTGATGTCCCCGTATATGTGGCAGTTCCTCCTGCTGGGTTCCCTTGTTTTGAGTCTTTGGCGTTTCTGGACGTGGAGGGTTGGAAGCTGAAGGTAGCAGTTTGGAAGCCTGCTCCTGGTCGCCTCCTCCTTCCCTCGCTTCCTATATATATTTGCCATCCCTTTCAGGCGCCCTCCTTTTCATTTTCTTTGCCACTAAAACCTCAATCAAACTTGCCTCCTGCCTCTTTTCCTTGTTTATTATTATAGCCCTGCAACCAGATTAATCCCCTTCGCTCAATTGAGCATCAGGCAGGCAATCCTTATCACCACGGCGACACCAGGCCAAGCGGCATCCGGCAGCTGCTGTGACAGGGTCACGCCAAAGATTGGGGCAGTAACAGGGTCGCCGGCTGATTGCCGAGACCGAGTAGCGGGAGACCGGGGTCAGAGGAATTCTTATCGAGTGGGAGAAAATCTCTGGAGGGCGACTCGCTCACCTGCGCTCTTCCTTTGAGGCGCTTTGGCCACTGCATTCCTTTTTCACCTTTTCCTCTCTCGACATCCTCCCTCTCCCTCTCTCAATCCCTTAATCTCACCATAAGCACCCCGCTGCTCAATTCAGTACAGATTACCCAAAAACAAACACACATCCACATGCGTGGGGAATTAATGCCTATAGCGCCTTCATTATCCCCATACGTGATTAAATCTAGCCCTCCTCCGCTCGTTCGCTCCTTTTTTTCCTATTTAGCCCTTTTTATCTCCATCCTTTCCTTGCCATTTCCATCTTTCCGCGACTCTCTTCTCAGCTCATTTCACTTCTCATTAAGAGCACAGATAAACTAAGCTTTTATCCAGGCGGGGATGCCATAAACCAATTCAAACGGAGACTGGAGACGGGTTATCGTCCGCACTGCCTTGTGCTCGTTGAAACACGGGGTCTAAAATTGATATGATTATTCTTGTAAAAGAAAAAAAAAAGAAGAAGAAAAATAAAAAAGATTTGAGTCATGCCGTGAGCAGAAAAGAGGGAAGAGACTGATGGTGTAATGGATGTTTTTTTCTTTTGTACACTTAAGTCCCTGCAACTCCTCGCCCAGTTTATGCCATTATGTTATTATCTCTGCGCGTCGGTGTTTTCCTCCGCAGAAAGAAAGCGATATAAAAGAAAGGGACAAAAGGCGACGAAAACAAAGCAAGAGATAACCAAAAAAAAAAACAACACAAAACACCGGAGAAGATCCGCTCTGTGCTAAGCCCGGCTCTGTAATATCTCGGAGCGTGCCTTTGTCTCCGGGCGCCGGCCCCGGTCGCACAACTACACACGATACATTACTAATTGGAGGAAGATTGATGTTTCTGCACAAAGTCATCCCGCTTCCCGGAAAGCCCAAACTAATCTGAACATCCGAGTGTTTGTGTATTTTAGGGCTTAATATGAGCCATTGTTCATACCCAGCAGGGTCGAGTATGTTAACACACAATCGGCTGATAATCCTGCTGTCTGCTGCCGAGCCTGAAGTGACCTCGGCTGAAACCAACCCAAGATGACGGGAAAGCAGCAGAGCATTACCTCCGCTACATGTCAGATTTTGCTTGTTGAGACTTCACGATGAGAATCAACGGTGAGCCATCTGTACCGATGCCTCCCATTTATTAACAGACGGGCTTCATGAAATTCTAAACCTATAAAAGCCCTAAAGTGGATCGGCTGTGGGTATTCAGCTGGTCACGCTTCTCCAGGGAGCAACATCTGGTGATCAGATAGCTTAATAAATAAATATATAGATAAATAAATCACCCTACACATGTTTTATGGGGAGGGGATGTAGCTAGTTGAGTGAGACAGGAGCTCCTGTAATTTCCTGTATTTCTCTCTCTGCTTTTGGGAGCCGATATTTGCTTCAGAATGAAAATGATGAATGCTATGACACCTACATTCCCTTGACGACAAACGCATCCTCAATGGCTCCCTCAGCCAACAGTGCACGCATCAGCTGGTCGTAAGGGGAGGGGTTCAGAGCCACGCCCATTTTTTCTGCTTCCTTGAGCACCCCAAGGGCTTCTGCAGAAACGAGAAAGATAAAAGAGAAGGTGGGCATGATGAAGAATTTGAGTTTAACCTGATATTAAAGCGAATTTGGAGGTGCAGCCGTGGACCTTCAGAATCCTCAAACAGCTGCATCACTAATGGTCAAACAGTTGAGGAGGCCTTCCTATCAGACACCTTTCTGACTTTAGAACAAAGGATGACCTAAAAAATGATGTTAGTTCTACATGAAGTGCAACAGTTGCCTAATAAACTGCAGCTGAGTCATTATCAGAGAGCCATCATATGCCTTTGTCTTCATTTATGCAGCTGGAGAATCAGAGTAATTTATTCTTTATTCACATTCAGAGGGGAGCACTGTCCAAAGACATCTTTATTAATAAAGTGTTCACTGGCATCTGCAGGCTAAATTCTTTATGCCTTCTTTACTATGACAGATTGCAAAACACCGAAACCCTTCTATTTCAGTGTGAAATTTCCAGTCATGCCAGTTAATGAGACACATTTCGGGGACTGTAACTCCTCACACGTCTCGCACAGATCAAGGATTTAGGAGCAGCTCCGTCTCATGTAGGACAACAACACAGGGACCTCCTGCTGCTTACCTTTCGCTTTGCCCTTCTTACAGAGGGCCAGCAGACGGCTCTGGTAATCAGCCCCACCTACTGCTGTCGGGGGGGCCGCTGGGGACTTGGCCGGCGGCTTGGTGGCGGCTTGTCCGTACCAGGTCTGCGAATGACAGGCACAGAGAGCGGTGCTGAAACCTCGGCGGGATGTTTCCGCCCAAACGCCGCTGACTCCGGCCTGAACGCGCGCTGGCCGGCGGATGGGCCGGAGGATGCGTCCGCCTATCCGCCACCCGGCCTCGGCGCGATGAGGCTGGGGCGGCCAGAGCGGGGGGCCCGGCGATGCTCGGTCACCCGTGAAGCAGCCGGGGGAGGGGGTTAAGCTGTGTTGGCTGGGGGCAAATTAGGTCTGGCACCGCAGGGGTAAAGGAAAAATGTGTGTGCTAGAGATTGTGTATTCTGGGGTTGGGGGGTGGGGGTCGTCAACTGAAGAGCCCCTGGGGTCACCAAGTTCGTTGCTTCAGGCAACAGCAATCACTTCCTGTCTCATCATGCCTTTGGAGCATGCAAACCCAAGGCTGCAGCGGAGGAGGAGGGTTCAGAACCAACTAAAGCAAAACAGAAGACTTTCCTTCATCTTTACAGTAATTACACTGCAGAGAGAGAGGGGGAAAAAGGAGAGAAAAGAAAATCTGACTCTCGCTTAATTTCGGTCCAGCTGAGCATCAAGCAACAGCCATATGGTGGCATTTAGCAGCTGGCTAAATTAGTCAGGCATTACAGATTTATAGACAGATCAAGCTGTAATTCCTTTCACCAGCCAGCCAGTCTGATTGACTACACTTCAGATCAGAGCCCCAATCCTGTTTGCTCTGCATGTAATGAACAGGGGCTTAAAGTGGAGCGGAGTGGGGGGCTTTGTGGAGGGAAGCTGATAAACAGTTTGCTGAGGTTATTTCGTTTTTCGGGAGGGGGGCGCCGCGAGCTCAGAGAATCGGAGGCCAGGGTCAACTCGCTCTTTGGTTAATCTATTCGGCGAGCAACAGTTTTAATTCAGAAAAACAAAAAAAAACAAAAAAAAACTTGTAGTATCATCAGAGTAAACGTAAGTGGCGATAAGACCAGTGTGCAATGAAAGGTGGAGAGCGGCTTCAGTTTTTATTTGGCTGTACTCAAAGCTCATCCAAATATGAAGACGCGCTGTGAGCGAGCTCCACACACACCATGCACATGATATTACACACCAGTGTACCCCCACGCAGCGTAGAACTCCAACCTGTGGCCTCCAATATGAATGTGTGCCTGTCGTTACAATTATCTGCAACCAGTTTATCAAATACTCTAACCTCTTACTTTTTTCTTATCGTATTTGAAAAACAAACAACAAGGCCACATTCCTTCTTAAAATCGAGGGCCCAGGGACACCAGTGACGCTAGTCAACAGAGCACGTGGGCATTAATGGAAAGATTACAGTGAAGATGTGCATTTACAGTCATGCTGTGTAATGATTTCTCATCTTTGCATCAATACTGTGCTTATGTTAGGCCTTAGTCTGCGAGCCTGCTTTTTTCCCCCATCGTAAAGAGCCTCCTGGAGCTTCAATCAATCGGCCTCATTAAGAAACGCCTCTTAGAGAGCGGCGGTTTTTACCTCAGGCACATCAAAAGGCACATCCTGGCCATTGTTCTTCAGAATATCCGCCAGCAAACGCAGAGTTCTCTCCCTGGGAATCACATTCTCCTCTTGCATTTTTGTCCAAATGGCTTCTGCCTTCTTGAAGTCGTTGGTCTCCTCTGAAAACAGAAAGAAAACAGCCGGAAATTAGAAAAAGGCTTTTAATTTGTTGTAAAGCCATAGCGCGCGCGCACACACACACACACACAATCACGCACACACACACCTTTGTGCTGAACAGTCAGCTCACCCACAAGCCTGCACCAAAGAGCAATTTCTGACCAAGCACTCCATGCTGAGAGAAAGCAATCAAAGCTTTAATCTGATCAACTGACTGACCCTCAACTATGCTGTCATTTAGCAAACACACCGACGGGCGCGCGGGTTTGCAGGGAGCTGGAGGTAATGGGCTGACAATCAGCTCTAACACTCCAATCACGGCTGTTATCAGTTTGCCGTGCGGCAATCAAAACATGTCTTCTTCTTCTTACTTTGGACCGATTCCGCTCGCTCACGCGGAGAAACCCGGGACAACGCGGGGAGGTCACGTGAGCAACCGGAGGTCGGCAGGACAAGCTGAGGCAGGCTGAATTAGAGGAAACGGGTAAACGGAGGGCAGATACTCACTGCAGAGCTTGAGCATGTAGCTGTACATCTCGTCCCTATCGCACTCGAAAAGCTTGGTCGTCATGTCCACCATCTGCTCCAGGGGCTCCATCTACCCACAAACACCATATCAGTCAGAGTGTGGCCACTTTCTTTGCCCTCAGTTCTTTATTCATGCTGTTCGTTTGAGTTTGAGGGGGACCTGTAGGTGTGTTACCTGGTTGTTGTAAATGCATTTGTCGGCGAACCATTGCAGGCGTCCAGGCTTTGCCCTGACCCCCGGGGTCTAAAAAGAAGGAGAAGAAAAGCAAAAAAGACAATACAAGTTCATTGCATGACAGCACCAACAAAAATGAGCCCTTTTCCCTTCTGAAACTGATGAAGCCACTTGTAGATTATGAAATAATGGGTCCTGGAAATATGTGTCCCATTTATCCCTTCTCTTTTTTCAGGTTTGTTTCCTCTCAGGGAACCTGTGACTCGTGTTTTTTATTTTACTGAGATTGTTCTGCAAATGTCAATCTCATCTAGTGATATCTGTCAGTTTTTGGGATCCTTACATCATCATAGTTTAAAACGTTAAGCATTGTTGATTATACCAGTTATTTGCCTGTAGGAGAGAAATCCTCACAGCTTGCATGAAACATAATAAAAAGTTTTTTTCACTCTGCTTAGGCGCTTTGGAGGTGTGAAATTAAACTTCAGAGTGTTTGAACAAGGCTTTTTCCTGAACCAGAACACAGCCTATCGAAAACTGCACTGAGCACAGCTCCCGCAGACACACACAGTTGGTGTGACACGACAAAAAATGCTCCTCATTCAAAAACCGACAGAGGGTCTGCGACCACCAGGAGAAAAACGGAGGCTTCATTAGAGCAACCGTTAATCAAACAACGGGCCGGCAGCAGTGTAGGAAACGCTTGCAGGCCTCGCTAAAACACAAAGGAGCTTTAAAATGCTCCAGCACTGAGGTCCCTACAGCTTAGTCTTCCATTTTCCAGAGATTTGTTTTTACTTTTAGGACATCAATGATACGCAGATAAGCAGAGTATTTGTGCCGTCAGTGCGGGCTGACATAGATTGATCTGCAGGCTCATGTAGCTCTGATTTAGCCCGATATGTGCAGTTCACAGATGATTATTATCAAGAAAAAGCTGTGATCAGGATTTCATCTGTCTCTTGGGGGGCTTTGATACAATCTGAATATGACCGGGGGTTGAGAAATTTCACTCTTCTTCTCTTTGTGGTAATCTGGCTAAGGAAAAAAAAAAAAGTGGGGCCACAGAGTTATCTGACTGGGAGTTAATCTCAACGAGGATCAGCGCCACTCAATCCTTACTGGCCTCTATGATGGGTGCCTGTCATGCTGTGAGGAGGAGGACAAGGCAAGAGAGACGGACGCCATCCCCCTTTTTTCTGACCGTGCCGGACTGTCCTCATCCTTTCCTCTCTCTCAATCCCCACATCTTCCAATCCCTTCCTCTTCCTCCAAATCTCTCCCGCTCCTCTTCAGTCTTTTCCCCTGCCTCTTCATCCATCTAGCCGTCCCAGGCAAAGGCATTATGTTCTTACCCAAGCAGCCAAAGGGACAAATTAAAATGTGTAGCTCTCAGTCTGTCTAATCTTCTTAGAGACTAAGGCCCGGTGCAAGTGCTCCATCGTTTTTTTCTCTTTTTTTTTGCCTCCGATTCCTTTTTACTTGGAAAAGTCTTGAGGGCTCAAAGCTGCACAACTACTCGCAAACACGCACTCACACAAATGTGTTTGGGGTTTTGAATCCGTCACGGCAAATCTCCCTAATCTGGGCCGAAAACCAAAATCCTCAAAAATAAGATGGAACGTGGCCGCCGCCGCGCACACACACACACACACATACACACACACACACACACACACACACACACAGACAGATCAGAAGAATTCAAATGAGGATCGAATAAAGGAAAAAATAAATAAATAACCCGGCAAAAATCACTTTTCAGTGAGAGATAAAAGCAAAACAAAAAAAGTCAAGCAGGTCAGATGATCAGAACGGCCCTCAGAGTCACACGGGGTTTTGGAGTCACATTTGACCTTTGGGTGCTAAAACATCTTTACGTTTTTCCGCGATCCTCGCATACATTCACAGAAAAAAAGGAAGAGCTAAAGCCGACCCCGCCTCACCTCCACTTAACAAACCCCTGCCATCTCAATTCCTAATGTTCCAATTCCACTAATCATCCGGCCACTCAGCCCCCCCCCCACCCCTACGCACATGCCCAAAACCCCTCTCCCTAACAAAAAAAAACACATAATGGCCCACCACTCTTTAGCAATACTGCCTAACCTTGACCATCGCACACACACACATACGCACACACGCATGCTTCAATAATAAGCCTGGCCACCTGACAATCCCCTACCTAACGATGACCATTTAGCTCAAAATTGGCCACCTTTCTCTATCATTACATTTAATTAGCTGTGATTAATCAGCTGCCAATTATACCAAACAGAGCCTAAAGAGAGATACCACTCTGGACCACTTGACGCTCTCACAGAGGGAAAAGTATTTGTGCGTCTGAACGAGTGTGTAAGTATGCATATTTAAGCAATAAGAGATATGATTCTATTGTGGTCGTCTGAGCTCGACTTTAAATGTAATGCATGTGTGTTCACAGAGAGTTCAGATGGGAACTTTCTACTGGGAAACTTTTCTAAAAATCTACACAGGTTAAGTCAGATGAGTTGTTTTGTTTTTTTTACTCCAAAAGAGAAAACAATTTCAAAATCTGAAACCCATACAAGAGATCTTAGTCAACCTTTACGTCATATTTCTATTTCAATAATCAGTCAGAAATAAGTCTGCTTGTGTGCTCATCATGTGATGAAGAAGCTTAAATGATATGATGTCATGCCTTAAACATGAAAACAAGTCCGACAAGTAAAGTGAGTTGCATTACTCAGAGTTTAATATCCTGAATGATAAGTCTTTTATTGGGAGCTTATATGAAGGGATATAAGAGATAACATCTCTGGTGATTTGAGAAAACTGCATTGTTCTCTTATTGATGTTCAAATGAGTAAAAAGCGTGAAAAAGACGTGCTGAATTGTTAATAGCAACTCTTTTGTGGCATTTCTAATAAAATGAACACTAAGCTCGCCATCAGTTCAATAGGATCCAAACCATGACTACATCAGCAGAGCATCAAGTCGATTTAAACAACATGGACGGTCTCACACATCAGTGGCATGTAGATGACTATTGTAAGTCGGATAACAGCCAGACAATCCAGCAGGAAGAGAACAAGAGCCACAATAACAACATGTTGATAATATTTAAGAGGTTTTGAATCCTCATGAGGGGTAAATCCCTCTTTCAGTGCACACCAGGACAGGAGATGGAGGGATGTCAGTGCCAGCTCAGATACTCCTTCCCCTGTTTTGTTCTCATCCTGATCATACAACATAATGGCCTTGTCTTCCCTCCTCTGATGTCAGGCTCATCCCTCTTTTCATCTGCTCATCAGCCTCTTTCTGTGCTGCTGCCTCTGGTTTTATCCATGTGAAAATCGCGTCTTAACCGCCCGCTTTGCTCCTCCGTTTTTCTCACACTAATCTACGGAGCTTAAAGCAGGACTTATGATGGCAAAGATATAAATAAATATTCATGAAAATATCGAGGTCAGATTAGAAACAATAACAAAAAGAGGATGGCAATTCCTCCTGTGTGTCCTGCAGGCCTCGGGCTAAGGTGGATGAGACAGAGCTTTTTCCATCGGGCAGATTCAGAATGACTGGAGAAACGTGTTTCTATTGATGCTTGATGTCAAACAAAGCAAAAAAGCTCCATCAAAAGAAGCGCACTCAACATATTCTGCTCATGGCCTTGAGGACAGTAAATAAAAGGATCCAATTTTCTCAATGATGGACGGAGTTCACTCATCGGGGACGTTTAGACTTATGATTCATTTGCCAGTTGTCCTTTTATTTGAAACGTCTGCTCTCAAACAGGATTAGAAAAAAGATATAATATTCTTTCGCATGTAGTTTTTAATGTGAATCATCTTATCATGGTTACATTCTGAAGAGCTTTTAGTACTTTGAATCCTTCCTGAAAGACGCTTTGACCCCAGCAGACCTGAAGCATGACCCTTCTGCCCAATTCTTCATAATTGTTCATTCCTCCAACTCATAGATGTTAGCTGAAGATGCTAAATCTGTGGTTCAGTGCTCTTAATGGACCCCTTATGGGCACGTGGCTATGTGAGCTTACCTCAATGATCTTTCGGGCTTCACGGTAGCGGCCTGTCTGCAGGAAGGCGAAGAACAGATCATACAGCATGATCATCTCTCCTCTCTCCTGGCTGATGAAGTCCATAGCTGAGGAGGACCAGAGCAGAGAGAGGCCAGGAATAAAAACGTCTGCTAGGTAATCAAACACACCACACACTCCAGTCTTCCCCTCAGCTTCCATTGTGAGGCACAGTGTCCCGGGCACAAAGAGGCCGTCTCACGTCTGGTCCCAAACCAACGCACACGGGGGTCCCCGATCGAACCAAAGCCTAAGCTCTCCTGGTAAACCAGCAAAAGCGCTCTGCTCAGCGTTTGGACTATCTCTGCCCGGCAGCCTCCGGACAGGTACCAAACACACACGCACACACACACACACACACACACACACACACATAACCTTCAGTCGTCCAAATGGAGCTGCGTGTTCAGCAAATCCGAGGACAGAAAAAAGGAAATCCCTCCTTTCACCACCTCTGTCTTTAAGACGGAACAATGTGGCTCTTTTGGGGCTCCAGTTCCTTTAGAACTGGGCTTAGTCTAAATCAAACATGCGCTCTATTACGCGGCAGCTTTTAGGGGTTTGCGGTTAAACTAAAGCTAAGTCTGTTGGATCAGGGACGGGCAGAATCATTGATGCGCGTGCATTCGGCTCACGTTGTGTTTAATTCATCAGGTTAGTTATCAGGCCGTAGAAAACATTGGGGGAGCGGAGGAGCCGGCCGTCCGTGGCACTCAGCGTGCACTCATCCCGCCGTCGGCTTGATTCGGTGTTTATGTCAAAAGTCAGCGCTCACTCGCACTTTCCACAATGAAGTGGGAGACAGACTAAATTGGGTGTTTTGGAGAGTCGCCGGCGGGGCCCTGGTTAATGTGCCGGGCCGCTTGCTGGAAATCTGAAAACTTGATTTGCTGTTGGAGGGGTGGCGACTGACGGGGGAGGGGGGGGGGGGGGGTTCAGCGGCTCTTGGGATGTGTGGGGAGGACAGGGGAGCCAAGGAGGTGGAGAGGTGCTCCAGCGCGCGGCTCCAGCCTTCACACACTCACAGCCACTTGGCCCCGCCGCGCCGTGAACTTGACCTTTTAACAGCAGCGCTGTCGAGGCCGCTCCCGACGCGATTGGCTGACGTGCTTCAACGCCACCCCGGTCGCGGCGCCGCTGACCCTTACGGGAGCTTTTATGCGCTCTTGGGATTGCTGGCGCTTATTACGTGTGCCTTTAATGCAAACACTCTCAGAGGTTGATAAAAGGTTGGAGTCAATCAGGAGAAACAAAGTCGGATCGGGCCGAATTAGAGACGAGAAGAAGCCTATTAGACGCGGCGACAGAGGGCTTTGACATTTGGACATAACAAGCCTGTAAGAGAGCGGGCCGTTTCTGCATTAAGGAAAAAAAGATTAAAGAATATTCGATGCATCAAAGCCGCGATTGAGACCAGGCAATCCCATTAAAACTGTTGGAGCAACGTAGAAAGAGCACATTTAAATGTTCCCAATCTGTTTTAGTGCTGTGGGTGGGGGGTCTACAAGTATATGCAATGTTGATAAGAAGCTAACCTTAAATGTATTTAAAGCAGTTTTTACGCCCTTACCTATCGGCATCATTACTAACTTTATACAAGTGTAGATGTATAAATCTATTCAGTATCTGAGTTTCCTAGATGATTTAAGGTTAAGGAAAACACTTCAGAACTCTGCAAATAACTAGGAGTAAGTTATATATTTAAAATGAAATGTTAGAAATCCAGAGATATCCTATTATCACTGATGGAAATCCAGTGTAAACTGAAAAGTATTTGACTTCCGAGTTGCTTTTTGTGCGCATCTGTTTGTACTGTTAAACCGTTAATAAGTGTTCTCTTCGGAAGTGACTGTTGGACTGATCTGGGAGCTGAAAGCCTGTCTAAAACCGAACCTTTCTGCAGTAAGTCGGTGTCTCCTTTCTCCACCAGGGCGACGATGATGTCGTGGATGCGCGGCAGGTGGCTGTAGAGCTTCTGGCACTCCAGGGCTGCATCCAGAGCGCCCGACACGTCGTCGCTGCAGACACGTGCACAAAGAGAGAGAGAGAGAGTGAAGGACGTTAATCAGCGTTAGATGTTCGGCTTGCCACTGGTGTGCAGGACTGTGTCAGTGGAGAATAAAAAGCGTATCATGGGATGTTAACCCTGTGACCTCTAATCTGAGCACTATGACCCGCCTCCACAATGCGGGCCTTTGAATTCATGACAGCGCAACTGCAACTGATGAAGCCTTTTGGCCCCAATACATCATTCCCACACAACCAGGCACGCTCTCACACACCTGGCTGTGAGGGGCTAATGACTGGCTGGACAGGCTTTTAGAGACAAAGCACGGCAGCAGATAAATGGATTTGACTGATCTTTACCCTCTCTGCTCAGTCTTTTCATCTCCTTTGTCCAATCCAAACCTCTTTAACCTCTCCTCGCGTTTCCCTTTTTTTCGCCAGATCTTCCCACTTCTTGCCCAACTTGTTCTCAACCCCTCCCCCGCATCTTCTTTTTGATTCCATGCTGTCAGCTCGCCGCCCAGCTGAGCAATTGCACACAAACATAGCAACAACAGCAGAGACCCAATTTCTCCCCTGCCACCCCCCCGGCGCACACGCACACAACCGACGCCCCTCTTCTCATGTCAACCTATTAGGACAGTATATCCTCCTATCCTCCCTCGCAACAAACACGAGCGCGCTGAGGACGGATGTTGTGCCTGATGGAGTGATAACAAGAGAAGAAGAGAGATGGATGGAGGAACAAGTGAGTGAGCATGAGAGACCACTTGAATCCCCTCTATTGTGACAGCGCTGCCATCAATCTGTTGATTGGGTAATTACCATGTCAATCACACAGAGGTCAAAGCAGATAGGACACCCGTGGGGGAGGCGGAAGGGGGGGGGGGGGGGGGGCAGCGGGTGAATGGAAAAGATACAGTGTTAGGTAAAGAGTGAGCACGGATAATCTCCTAAGTGTTTTCTCTCTTCTAATTGATTAGACAAACTGGAAAATAAATAAATAAATAAACAATGCTTGTAATGACCAACTACTTTGGGAATGAAAAAAAAACATTTGACCTTGTCTTTGGCTTCTGGGAGGCAGGAGCAAAAGAGAGCGACGGAGGGAGGAGGAACGGAGTGATTAGGGCTGGGAGGCAAAGAGGTCCTCTAATTGAAATGAAGAGGGACAACATTATTCAGCAGCGCCCGTCGAGAGGCTGTTCAGCGGCACAACAGTCTGATTGAACAACACAGGAGAGACGCTGAGAGAGTTTTGAAAACGAGAGAAAGAGCGCCGAGACCGGGCCAGACCAGCGAGGGTGACGCTCGTTTGCAGTTTGCTCAAAACGAGTAAAGCCAGCTGTTTATGGCTGAAGTCGCATTAAGTCGATCCCTGCTGCACGTCACGCACGGAGTCATTTCATGTTGGCAAACGCTCCCTCACGCTGCAATCTGTCCACCTTATTCTTCTCTCCATCAAACACCTACTTATAATCCCTTCCTCTTAATGAGACATCTCTAGGACAAAAAAAAAAAAAAAAAAAAAAAACCTGGCGTTGCAATTACACCCCGTCTCTCCGCCCGCTGATCCACCCCCTAAGAAAAAAAAAAAGGGGAGCTAAAGATGTCGAAAGATGGATAATTTCCCCTAGGTACAATTTAACTGTCACTTTGCGTTGCCATTTACTGCAGCGCACAGCCCCGTTAATGTCCTCAACTTTGCATGTCAGCCACTTTCCAGCCAATTAAGCCCTGAAAAAATAACGAGCGCATTTGCTGGATGGAAACCTGAAGGATTAGACAAGGAAGCTCATTTTGACTCCCGCCCCACCATTTTTCCCCCCTCTCTGTCCCGCTCCTTTGTTCAGGCGAGATGGGCAGGCCTGTTATCAAGCCACTGTCCTCGTGTGTGTGTGTGTGGGGGGGGACAAGGTGTCTGTGTCTCCGAATGTAAATGAGACTGTGATCATGACACCACTAGCCCACTGTTACACGACTGTAAGAATGCCACTTATTTTCTATGGACACTATTCATCCCTCCAACAGGTGAGTCTTTAAAGTTTTATGCCTTTGAAATACTGGCGGAATATGAAGCAGTTCAATTTGGTGTGCACCTTAAAGCACATCAACAAACAGCCCTTTTGTTGTTTGTAAGATTTACCACTCCCTCGCTTTGACCTACAATTAGTTTCAGACACCTGTAGAGACTTGAAAGAAGTTTTAAAGTAATGAAATTCTGGCTGCTCGTGTAAAAAACAAAAATGCCTATTAGTTTAATTTACAGAAATATCTCCTATCATTTAAGTTGTACAAGTAGGACTTGAACCCATAGTGGAGTTCAAGTCCCACTTGAAGAGTAGAGTCTCTTGTTTTAGAACAAGCTCAAACTATTGAGCAGTTTTCAACCATAATCAGTTGTGGATTTTGCATATTTGAAGCCGTTTGTGCGATCCATAAATGAGGTACGGATAAGCATAAAGATTGACCTGCTAAAAGATTCCTTTATATTATTATTTGGATATTTTGGAAATGAATGATGGTGAGGATGAGATTCAACATAAAAAATTTTGCGCTCATAAGTAAACAAGATTTTAAATGAATGTCATGTAGAAGGTTATTTTTTACCTTTCAACACGTCTCTTTTTGTTCATCCATCTTTTCATCTAACTACTCTCAGTATTTCGAATGATCAGATCACACCTTTTCGGTCATCTAACCAGGATTTCCAGTTAATCTTTGTGTGGTGAAAGGGAGCCTTTGCTTTGAGCCACTCGTCTCTTCCTCACATTCCGTAATCGCGCCGCTGCCTTATCACACATGTCCTCCCCGCTGCTCGTTTTTTTTGATGGACTCATTAACATTCGCTGTTGTTAATCACTTCCTCGAGGATGGCAATCCCAGCTAGCTGGCAGCTAGCTCGGTGGCAGGTTAGCACACACAATGCAGAGCGGACGGGCGTGCGGGCTAACGGGGCGGCGCGTGTGACGGCCTGTCAAGGGCTAATCTGGCAGAGAAGTGTTCATTAAGTCATTAGCGCTGACGCAGCGATGAGATGGGAGCAGGCGGGAGTGATGCCTGCTTTGTCCTCCTTTATCGCTCCCCTCCATCCCACCCCCCCCACCCCTGACAATATGTTTGTCCGCTGACTGATGGAATGGGGAGGTGGAGGCGAACGGATGAGGACAAAAAGAGACAAGAAAAGAGACAAGAACAAGGAGGCAAAGTCAAGTGCTGCGCTGCTCAAATCTGCCGTGAAGCTCAGCGGGAGCCGCTGCTGGAACTACGTTCCTGCAGGTCTCCTGTTTTCAATGCACTGGCTGAGGAGGCAAACATAAGAAACGATCCATTAACAACAAGGCTTTGCAATCAAAACAGCCCTGCGGGCTTAAGTTCCTTTTATAAAAGAACTAAAGGTACCAGGGAAAGGCACTGACTGCTGATTAGCGGCCACATCTTGATAAGCTTCTATAAAAAATTTTTTAAAAGGGTTTTGTAAGAATGCAAGACTTTCTGAAAGAGATTTTTTAATCCGTTTAAGGCTGTTCAGAGCTCCCACTGGTTATCTAAACCAGGCAAAATTAAAAGGCAACTAATCAGAGATTTGCTGAATGCTGCCGAAAAACTCCCCCGTGCTGAGTTAAATGGGGAACTCGTTTCATGTGCACGTCGCCCATGCTGAGCGTGCCCTGCCGAACAGGAGGCAGGTGATGTCAGACTACCAGCCGCTAACTCGTCCTAGTGTGTTCGCGGTGATGTATGTGCTCCCCGCGTTCAGCTGGAGGAAGTGCAGCTGGCACTGGCTCTGCGAGCGGGGCTGCTGGAAGCTGCTGCGTGGAGTTTGTGTTTTGCTGGCGGTTGGTGACCCAGGAGTAAATGAGCCTGCTAATCTCACGGAGGCAGTGATTAACGAGTGAACCTGGAAACTCCGTGTCAGAGACCAGATGTAAAGCAACACAAACAACGGCAGGAGGGCAAACGTGTGTGGCAGCATCGTTTGCAAAGGTCTACCTCTGGTGCGGCTTCTACGCGGGGAATGTGCAGGGTCCCCCGTGCACGTGATGCTGGGCCTCTCACAGCACACTGAGCGTCTGTGCTAAACCGAGCAATTAGTGCTCCGTACATAATTAATATGCTAATGAGAGGATCTAGTGAAAAGCCGATCTGACAAGAGGAATACACGCTCGGAAACTAAATAACATACACATCCTGAATAGAGTTGGAAGGTGGGGGCAATAGCAGTGACCCCACAGAGTGTGTTTGCCAACGTTCATTTAAATACGTGCACTATGGCAAGAGAAATCGGAGGCCATCTCCCAGCATTCACGCACATATTGCAGTGGGTATTTCAGGAGGTCAGGGGTGGGGGGCTCATGGGAGAGGTTGCAGCTGGCGCCCCCTCGAACAAACACGTACACATGCTAACAGAAATTAGCAATTTCCACATCCTCTCTCTGTCTGAATCGCTGACCCACAATGTAACCTCAGCTATGATCATTGGGAGGGGATGAGTGACTCATTGAGACACACACACACACACACACACCTGGCAACAAGCTTTGGCAGACAAGAACACAAATCTGAAAACAAAAAGCGAGCTGGTTGGCGGCTTTGGTGAAAAAGGTTTCACATAAACCACTAGCTCCGACGTGGGGGTCTGGCCAACTGAGAAGCTTGGCTACACGATGCAGGGTGTGTGCCTTCTAACCACTTTTTGCTGGTTTTGTACCTGTTCAGGTAGGCAGTGATGACGGGCGAGCAGAGGTTGGCGGTGGGCTTGGCCAGTCCCAGGGAGAAGATGGTGTCCTGCAGCCGGCGGACGGCGGGCACGCCGCCTTTGGCCGCCACGCCGTTGAGCATGTGAAAGACGGCGGTGACCTGAGAGTCGCCCAGCGCCACGTCCTTCTCCTTCATCTCCTTCAGGATGTCCACTGCCTCTGTGACGGGAGGAGACGGGGAGATGAGTGTGCCACGCTCTCTGTGCCTAGAGCAGACAACTTGAAAGTGGTGATTTGAAGGTAAAGGCAAATTAAAACGACAAATAAAGTCAACAAAAGACAAGGAGACAGAGAGATAACAGAGATGAGCGGAAGTACAAAGCAAGAGAATGGCAGAGCTTGGCTGGGAGAGGAGAAGGGTGTGTGAATATGATAAAAAGCTCCTTTAGCTAATTCCATGTGGGGAAAACAAACCCCTATTAAAACAGCATTTTGCGCCCAGCGGGGATGCAAATCCAACCCCGTATAATGCCAACTCTGTGCTAATTGCTACTTGCGGTTTTCTAAACGAGACTACAATTACCGGACCCCTACAATGGAGGCCAGCTTTTTGCCGTGGCCACGTGGAAAGCACTTGGGGGGCTAAATTATAGGTATGTGGCAACGGGGGCCCGCCGTGCCCCCAGCAAGACCTCGGTAAGCGGGCTGAGGGGTGGATCGGCTTGGTCAAGTCCAGCCGGTAATGGAGGGCTTTTTACTGGGCCAAGCGCCCATCTGGCCGGCACTAAATGGTGAAACGGGAGAGTAGTATGTGTGCGTATACGTTCCGCATTAGCATAAAGTAATTAAGATGTGTTTATTGTCTATTTAGACAGCTGCTAATGGGCTGTCAGTGATATATCCGCTATCAACCACAGATCCTAATCTATGAGATAGAGAGCTGCAGAGGCACTTAAAAATATTTGAATTCAAATTTAGCCTCCAATTATTTTATATTCGCGTCTTGCTAACCATTTGCTCAACAAAAAAAGTCCTTCCCTCTCTCGATAGTGGAAAGATGTAAAAAAAAAATGCAAGAGGAAAAAAAAACCCTTCAACAAAAAAATAAAGTGGGTGTAGCGATCACTACGCCTACATGGCTGTTAACACAACAAAACCTCTCAGATAAGAGTGTCACTACGCCGGGAACCCACATTGGTAAATACTTGGGGGGGGGGGGTTGAGAAAAAGGGGCACTGGTGAGTGCTTTGGCACCCTAATTTTAGTCTGTCTCTCCATCAGTCCACCTCCCTTTGCCAGTTGTTATGGCGATGGGAACCAAAGGCTGTCACAGATTTAATGGGACAGGGAACAACAGAGGAAGAAAGGGTGGAATGGGGGTGACCGGCACCCAAGGAGACCCCGCGAAACAGGAAGGAGGTCAAAAACAGGACCGTAAGAGAGGGGGGTACTTTGGGAGAGGGGTTAGGGGTTGCTCTTGACATTTCTGGGGGATGTCGAATTGTACTGTCCTCACGATGAAAACAACACAAAGGTGAGACTTATGATTATTTTTTACCCTCGCCTTTAGGTGCCCGCTCAGCATTATGTGGGGATAAATTCTCCTATAGGAGGATAATAAAAAAAAATACAAAATTAGGAACAAAAGATAAGCAATTTTAGAACTGACGTCAATATTATCTAACGCTTACTCTGCTGGCCTGCAGCGCACTAATTAAGGTTTTATCTTAATTTAAGAGAATCAGTTCTGGATCATCGGTGTGTCAGCTGTTTCTGCTTACGCTGTCCAACAGTAGTATTGTTGTGACACAGATGAGAGATGATTCTATATTCCTTGAAGTTTCAGCTCCTAAAAGCAGGTCAGTGATTCATGTTAGGTACTTCAAAGAAGGTTGAGTTTTTAATTTGGTCACATATCGCAGAGAAGCGAAATATCACAGGTGAAACCATCGGGGAGAAGAGTTTTGGCAACAACTACACAACTGAAATCTTTCTCATCCAAACGGGGCTTAGATACTGGTTTAATCCCACCTCTGCTCATTTGTATCCACCGCAGATTTAAATTGAGCTGGAAGGGGGATTGTAAATGTCCAGCCAGGCAAAACTGCTATCAGAGTAATGGAGAGGCACCAAAACGCTGGTTCACACATGAAGCAACTCTGATGGAACTGTATGGGACGGAATGTCATGAATGCACCCCGTCGAACAGAAATCCATCTGTGAGAGCGACATGGGCACAAACAAAAAGATTAAAGGGTCATCACAGTCATCAGGGGCTGACTGTCAGCGTGCCATGGGTGCCAGGAAAACACTTCATGATAATAACTCTACTTCTTGCACACAGTGCCACTGTTTTGGGGGCTGAAAAACAGGTTCGTCCAATTTCTTTGTTTATGCCCATCGACAAGCAGCAAAAGGACCAGTAAAGCCAAAATGTAAATTCACATGAACAAAAGTAACCCTGCAGGACAAAAGAAGAAGAAAGGACCTCCAGATTTGATTAAATTCTTCTTTAAACCGGGAATTCCTATGAAAACAAGCAGCTTGTGGATGGGCCATCAGCATAAACAATGTATCTATAATGACCTGACCTGCTGTCAAATCTGCCCTGCTAATCACTTCAGAAGCATCCATCTCTCCCCCTCTGACTCCATCGCTCTGCCGGCCTCCCTCTGTCTCCCTGTACCTCTCTCCATCACTTCATGACAGAACCGTTAATCACCGAGACCAATGGCTTGGAGATGATCTGCCCAAATGGAGCTCCACTAGCTAACATCCCTCCATCCGCTATCTCAACCTCCCCATGGCGTTCTCCCTCCGTCTCCCCCCCTCTATCCGTCCGTTGAGCCAGTATGCATATCCATCAGCTCAGCCGAGCATCATGGCCAGCACAGCGAGCCAGAGCCCGCACACACACGCGCATCAAGAGATGGGGGGGGGGGCAGGCAGACCAGGTAAACAAACATCACACAGCCCAATGGTTCATCTAATGCCCATGACTTGACTGCAAGCGCCGTCTCTTTCCAGAAACACACACTAAAGTGAAGGCGAGTCCGGTTCTACCTAAAGCCAGAGCAGGATGCGCTCACTAAAATGGGAGGTTGGACAGATTGAAGAGGGGCAAGGGCAGGTCAAAGAGATGCCTAGAGATAGAGGAATCGTGAATTTAATGACGCAAAAGGAGAAAAAAGCAAAGGTAGGAGGTGAAGGCTGTGTTTAACATCTTGAACCCGGCGTCAGTTGGAAGGTTAAAAGCAATCTGATATGATAGGAATGATCTTATGAAACCTTCTATGGCTATACTTCCATTTTTCTTTTTGGGATGATCACAGGCTTGTTTTATATATGTGGATTTCATTATCTATCATTTGTTTGTGTTTATTTTTGTGCAAAACCAAAAACAAATGGACTTTATTGATGAATTGTTTTCAGTGTCAGGTGCAGTTTGTGTTGAAAAGTTAGTTTGTGTGAGACTCCTGTACAAAGGGGTGATGTAAAAAGGGGTCTTCGGTATGCTGCCGTCAGGCATAGTGTTACATTTTAAAATGTTGGATCAATTATGTGAAAAAACAAAGAATAAAAGTCATCATGCTGGTTTAATCTTTCAGAAGAAAAAAAGGACATGTAACTGGTGGCGAGCGACAAATGTGGGGGACACGGACAAATGTGGGGGTTAGGGTTCACAATGCAGATGAGCAGCGAGCAGCCGAGGAAGATAATTGGTCGAAGGGGAGGAATTAATTATGAGGAAGAGTCACAGGGATCGATGGTGAAAAGAGCGGAGAAGGAATAAAGTCAAAAGGATGAAGTGAGACAATGAAAAAGTTCACTGGCGAAGGAGGGACGGGAGGCGTTGAAACCAAGGGCAAAACAACGAGGCTATTAAAGCCGGTGAGGACTAAAACACGATGCCAGGGCACACGGTTCTCTGCCGGGCCTGGTGAGTGCTGGGAGCCGGGCGGGCCTGCGTCTGAGCGGGGACAGGCTAACATCAAGGTTAGCCATGTGTGCTAATGCGCATGACAAGCGTTGCCTTCATGTGCACACTCAGGCTAATGGCAAATGCGTTCGCTCTGCCTATACACACACCAGCGCACACACACAGACGAAGGCACCAACTGCCGTGCCACCAAATGCCTCTTGCTTGGATTCACATGCAAATTCGTGTGTTGTCGTCCGTGTGTGTGTGTGTGTGTGTGTGTGTGTGTGTGTGTGTAAGTGAAATGTTCAAGCACTTTGGTGGACATGATCTGCCATTAGCATCAAGGCGGATTTCAATAATTCTGGAAAAATACACACAGTCCTGTAATTTTCACCCCTCTCTCATTTCGTACGGTGTGTGTGTGTGTATGTGTGTGTGTGTTGGGAGGTGGGGGGGCAGTCGACTGACATGCGACTGACGGGGAGAGAGGGTCAGATAGAGACGGCGGGCAGGAACGAAGGGGAGGAGAGGAGATACGGGGACAGACAAGGGAAACATTTTTCCTGTCACTGGATGCAAAAAGCGGAGCAGCAAAACTGATGGTAATTGGGTCTTCGATGGGCTGAAGGAAACCCACCGTAGAATTCCGAAAATGGCCAGCTAATGCGGTTTGAGGGCGAGAGAAAGACTGTCACCGAGTCTGTGACGCACACATTTAGATTTAAATCTCATCTATCTTCAAAGGAAAACTGTCAACTTTCATTCATTAAAATGTAAAAAAAAATATGACCGTTTTGATTATTGATCAATCGTTAAAGTTAAAATGAATAATTTTGGGAACGTTGTGGCGAACGTTGGCAGAGAAAGTGTGACAAAGAAAACAACAGAGAAACAAAAAAAGAGAACAAAAGATGGACACAGCCACAGTTTACAGCTGTTCTGGACGGTAAACACACACAGACACACACACACGCCAGGAATTCAAACACGCCATAATTCAAAGGCACATTTTCACTGCCAAAAATGTTAAAATGTTAAAGGAAACATTTTGATCCCCTGAAACTGAGTTGTTGGGTGTTGTAAGTTGTTATTGGCGAGGGCTGCTTTGAGTGACAGATGAGTTACACAGTGGACATGGATGGTGTCGGTGGGTTCTCACTCTGATTCGTCCCTTAAGTGTCACCTCTGCCAGCAATAGCCCCAAATGACAACATCTAATGCTTAGATGCAGGCTTTCAAACAGCAGCCCCCAAGCCAGTGAATGGCGTGGCAGCGGCTGTGTCAGCCTTTTGTACACAGTCTCTAATTTCCTCTTTGACTCTTCTTGTAGTGGATTTTTGAACGAGGTTTGACAATTTAACAGACCACCTGGGTACAAAGAGGAACAAGCCTTTACGCGTGTTTTGACATGAATATAAGAATGCAACATTTGTGTCTGTGACGTTTCACAGGGGGGGGGTAAGATGAGGGGCCATTTCAGGAGGTTTTGGCACTTGTGCCTTTCCCTCATATGTTGATCTTTTTAACGCTCTCATCTGTTCTGATGTCAACAGCCACTGATGCTCTTTGTTCTTATTATCCTCCACGGTTATCTGTATTGTATGCCCTCAATGCAATCAGGCCATAAGAAAGCTGAAGGGTCAAAAATAAATAAAGGGGTCTCACCTTCCACTCTGTCGTTTAGGGACAGAGTCTTCACCAGGGCGATGTATTTATTTGCATCGAGCGCCACTGATGAGTCCTTTCGGCTCCTGAAAGCAGAGACAGCGAGAGTCAGGCTTGATTAATGCATTCCACTTACAGTAATGCAGCTCGTCTATTAGATGTTGCCAGGGTTCAGTCTGATGCTGGAACCAGGTGGTGAGTGAGGAGGAGGTGGAGGAAACAGGGGAGGAAGAGGGGAGAGTTTCCTGTGTTTCGGGTCCTGAACAGAGCGGCTGGACCCTGCATTAACGTCTCCCCTAATACCACTCAAGTTAAACTTTAATGGCCTGCTAGCGGCCGCCGTGCAGTATGTGTGTGTGTGTGCGTGTGTGCGTCCCACTCCACTCACATCTCCCTCTTCAGGTTGAGCGCCTCCTCCACATTGTTGTGGCGACAGCACAGGTTGATGAGGGTCGCGTAGCCGCCGGCTGTCACCTCCTCTTCGTGCTGCTGCTTCAGCTCCAGGGCGCGCTGCAGGTTCTGGGCGGGCGACGAAAGTCTCAGAAAAAAAACAAAAAACAAACAGCGCTCGTGCAAAGTCTGAAGTCTAAAATAAAAGCATACCTCCTCCAGAGCCAAGGTTTGGATGATTTGCCTTAGAACAGAGCCTAAGGGTTTGTTTTCTGCTTTCAGCTCAGCCAATTTGCTCTCAAGGGCCAACAGTTTCCCTTCAATTCCCTGAAGAAGACAAAAGATTTTAGACGGATGAATTCTAAATGTCCGGTGCACACATTGCCTTCTTTGGCTTACTCACGGCGGCACGAGGGGCTGAAGCCAAAGAGGCGCCGGACGCTCGCTCTTTAGAGTCCACTAAAACGATCACATCCTGACAGATAAACACACATCAGAACGTGTAGGACGTGAAGACAGGCCTGCACGATAAGCTGAACTCCTACAGCAGCACAGTCGAAAGGCTAATTTTTTCTCATTTTTTAAGGCTGACTTAAATCACACTGCGCCTTTTCATGCCGACATCCTCTCATTAACTAAGGCAGAAATCTACATTTATCGATCCAAAGCTCTGTACCTTAATGAGCTCGGGGACGTGTTGAGCCTCCAGAAGATTCTTAATTCCTCTGAAGATGTTGAGAGATATTGTAACATTCTGCAGAGAGAGATCAGAAAAAAGAAGGAAAGTGGTCACAAGCTAAAAAGACACCCAAAAAACACAAAAACTATATTCTAAAAAAAATGGGTGGACCCAGAAAGGGTTTCACTCATAACTTTGAGGGTGAAGGTGAAATTGTTCTCTTTTTCAGAAATTTGGTCAAAATTGATTTTTTTTTAAATTGGGAAATGTGCACAAAGCATTCATCTCTTCTACTGTTACCGTGTTAGAGGGCTGGGACATCTTTCAGACACTGGATCTCGCAGTCGTTGGGTTTCAATTCATGCACATCAATAACTTCTCCTTAGCTCGGAAAAAAAGCTGCTTCGCGAAATGTAAATTCCTGTTTTGTATTTTCTAATATGAAAGCTTACGTCAGAGAAATGTGTGGTTCTGAGAATACTCCACTCAGACGGGTGGAGGAAAGGGGGGGGCGAGAAAGCATCATTAAAAGAGCAACGGTCCAACCTCAGCGGAGGAAAACAAACAGGAGCGACAGCCAAGAGATAAAGACAAATCTCTCTGAAGAGCTTGTGTGATTCTGCTTTTTCCTAAACCTCTTTGGACTGACGCAGGGTCGGACTTAATCAGAAAATAAGACCAAAAACAAGATTTTTCCCAATCAAAATGCTTAGAAAAACCGGTGGAAACTGTACGCAGACCCTTAAACTGTATCATATTAGAGTGATGGAAGTCACATCTTCACTTTGTAAAGCACCACTAATGTCCTGCAGACAAAACCTTCCTAAGAAGTCTCAGAGCAGAGTGAGCAGCAGGGACTGAGTGCTGGGTTTGGTGCGTCTCATCGGCGTGCGAGTACCTGAGAGTGCAGCCCATTGAAGAAACTCCTCAGTTTGTCTTCCTGTGCCTGCACCTGCCCATCTGACATGCTGTCGATCAGATTGTACAGGAAGTAGGATGTAGCCTCTGGATGGAGACACACACACAAACACACATGTACACTGAGGTGTTGTTTCGCGGGTAAATTTCACTTGCCACCGTGTCAGTCACCGAGTCCATTTGTGCATTCATACTATTTTTCTGTAACCTCTGCCGAGTGGGGGGCTGCGCTTCTTTTCTGCTGATATAAGCTGCTTCTGAGCTGGAGTCTGAGTGAGCGCACGACAGCAGGTGGTGACAGCTTCCTCTTTCTTTGCCGTTTGCAGATGTCGTCTAACTGGATGTGGCATGGATAACGGCTTCACACAGACACACTCACACACCACTTTCAACACTTGGGACACTCTGACAGGCAGTGACATTAACATCCCACAGACACACACACACACACACAAACACACGTGCACTGCAAGTGCAAAGAGGCTACCCAGCATTGAAACTCGCACACATTTTAGCGACTCAGCACTGTGTCAGCAGCCAGGCTCCATTTCCTCCTCCGGAGAGGGCAGGTATTTCACTGAGGTGCTGATGCACACAGACACACACGCACACACACGCAGGCACGCACAGAAAGGCTTCATGATGAGACGTGGGCCCGGCAACAGTCTGCTGATATGGAGAATCATCGTAAACTCGCATGCACACCGTGCCACTTCCGTCATCTGTCTTATAGCTGGATGGTGACAGCCCAGAGCTCTGAATGCTGATATGAGAGATGATACACAAGTAGGCTCTCCACCTCCTTCTCGCCTAAAAAAAGGCACATCTCGAACGTGAAAAAAAAAAAAAAAACGCACTCGCACCTGCGTCGGTGTGTGTAAGATGTGAGTGAAATGTTTTCTTACCAGCAGGCTTAGAGCTTGCTTTGGAGAAACGCTCATCTTTGAACAAGAGCTCGGTAATCTGGGAAAAAAGAAAAAGAAAAGAAAAAGATTAAAACACACACCCACAGTGTGTGGCTATGAAAACTGAAGGAAGATGCTAAATAGCAGGATTGAGGTAGTACACACACAGTCAAAGGGTTCTCTACTCCTTTCATATTAATCCCCGAGCCACAACTTTTCCTAAATTTTGCAGCCGCTGCGCTTCGCTGCATTTGAATGAATTCTGCGCTTTGGAAAATTTTCCAAGCTGAACGGCAGCCCTAAACACACTCTGAGTAAAAGCTATCCCGGTAGCATTTGTCATATGAGATGGTGTTTTTAAATCTCACTGCGCGGGGAGCAAATGTAAGCGTTGTGTCTTTGAAGGATTAGGCTCCATCATATAAGCGGCTGCAGCTTTAAAAAACATCTACGAACTAAAAATAACGAGCAGTTTTAATGTTATTTCTTGTGCATCCATTTTAGCCGCTGACTATTTTTAAAATACCTGAAATCCTCTAAACCTCCTCTCACAGATTGTCGTTTGCATGCGCTTGTGAAGGAACATGTTGACGTCTTACCTTCACCATGCTCTCCACGTCAGAGGACCTGCAGGGGGCAGTAGAGGACAATATATCAGCACCCAAATGGCATCCGTCTGGTCAGCCAGATTTCAGATTGTCAGAGTTATCGTGCAACTTGGATGTTTTGCTTTTAGGTCAGAAAACACAGAACACCACATGTCTGTGTGACACTACTTTAAAAAAAATATGACACAATGACTGCCGGGTGCTGTCTGATAGATTTACTTCTGTCGCATCTGCATCATTTGTTTAATTTTTCCTTCGAGAAAAAAAAGGGTTAAAAAAATTACAATGTGATTAGTGTTTTGATCCATGTTCATTTTGCAAGCATGTGTTTTTCAATTTTTAGAAAAACGTTATCTTGTTTCCTGTCACCCTAACACTGAGAGTGTTATGTTGCCATAGCTACTGACGTGACAGCACACATTACACACCAAGAAAGAGCGACCGATGTTTCCACTTTGACACTCTCCATCCCACAGTACAAGAGGAGAGACAGCGGTACAAAAGTCTGGGAAACCACAAAAGACTCCGAGTCGCGCGCGTGCGCGCAGACACACGTACACACAAAGAGGCTAAATGATGACAATGTGTGACATTTCTGCCGTTGTCAGCTAGTCGGTAGAAGGGAAGAGAGAGGGGGAGATGAGCAGAGAGAAGAACAGGTCTTTAATGATTAAATTATCCCCTGACCTTGTCTTTGACAGGGGCAGGTCCCGCATCGCGATGACACAGCGCTCGCACAACACACATGTACACACTCCCCAAGTGACAAGCCCAATTATGACCCTGTCAGGCAACCTAACCATCAGAGTAGTGTGTGCGCGCGCGTGTGTCTGCAGACGCAATGAGGGTAAAGCAAACAGTGGAATGGAAGTTGATTTGGATGCTAAAAAGACCACAAAATGAGTGGATATTGCGACTCAAAACATGAAAAGGACGCACAAAGGCACATCTACATTTCTGCAAGAAAAAAGACTCAATTCACCAGCAAAATAAGATTCTTTGGCCACAAAGAATCTGAGGACAATTTAATGTGCTTAGCATTTTTGTTTGTTACAGTTGTAAATTTTACAATTCCGTGACCCCAATCCCGACAAAAGCTGCACAAGCTGACACTAGAGCTCCAAGTTAAACTCAAGTGAGCTAGTTTGGGCTCAGTAAAAGAAATAACTTTAGTCCCTGCAGGCCAGACAGCACTTTACTCTGTGACTCACCTCCAGTGTGGCTCAGGGGGCCGGAGTGCTTTTGTGTGAGCTAGTTTAGTGCTAAACTGTAAATATTCATAAACATCTCTTTCAACGGCAGCCCGGGGTCAGACCCTGGTCCTAAGGCCGGCCTTATAAATGCGTGTGTGAGCTACTGCGACCAGTGCAGGCATCTAGACATGAAGCATAGTGGTCGGCATCTGCTGATTTCCATATCTCCCACGGTGCTTTGGGGCGAGAGCAGGGGGATGACGGCCTCCATATGCATGAGGCACCCATGTACATCTATGTGTGTGTGGGATGTAGCGTTTCTCCCTGCAGCTGCCCGCACGCACAGATGCAGTAAATGGTGTGATAGGCTGCACATGTCACACTCACAGCATATGCCACGTTGACCCCCCTGCTCTTCCCCCCCCAAAAAGCTATAGGCCTCCCTAAACACCATCCAGGAGGTTTGAGGCCAAATATGTTGAAATATGGAATTCAAAATGATGCAGAATGTGGGAAGACATAAACAGATGACGGGCTAATTGACTCACTTTTTGAAGCCGATGATGAGAGTGCTGCGGAAAGCGCTGAGGTCCAGTGAGGGGAAAGAGGGGTCCGACACTGAAAAAGGCAAGATTATTTGTCTGAATTGTTGCACACATCCCTTCAGTTAAACAAGTTCATGTGTCTACTGCTATTCAAAATATCATTGTCACAAACTGAGAACACATGAGAAGCTGTTCTTGCATAAGGAATAGTACAGGTCATTCGATCTATTCAGATTTTGACAAAAATAAATCAAACTGGCTTTTTCTGCACACAAAAAACCTACAAGCTACATTAATAATTCTACATCGTCAAAGTTAGACTTTCGTGTGTTAGTTTGGTTAACCTAAATGAACAATTAAGCCTCTCTTTCATTCCTGTTTTTAAAGTAGGATTAAGGGAAGTTCCTTTGGGCAGTCAGTGGTCAGCAAGCTTTCGGATTCAACAATCTTTCACCGATTATGGCGATTAGAAGGAGCTGAGCAAGGCTGAGGATATACAGGTTAGGTCTTAGCTCAGCTCCCCCGTCACAACTCATCCCTCGATTTCCAGACTTAAGTCTGCTCTCACCTACAACAGGGAAGTCAATACACAACCCCAGAAAAAAAGAAGTACAGAAATTCGCTTTCAGTTATTTCAGTTATCTCATTAAAAAAAATCTGTTATTTCAGTGCTAAAACAGACTTTGCTGAGACGTGGACTTTGTTAAATCAAACATTTAAAAAGCTCAGGTACACTGAAAACTATCTTACAAGCAGAAAGGAAAACGCTATCATGAAATACTCAGAACAAACGGAGTCCCGTACACTCCAGTGAGTGGTGAATGTTTGAGACTAAAAAGAGATGAGACAGGAAACAGGAAGAGTTTTCCATTATTCAACAGCCCTCTCCATCCCGTCCCCCTGCAAGCCCGGGCGCTTGTCGTTCTCGCTTTTTACATATTCACACAGACTAATCTCTTAAAAGGCCTGATGAGCACCGAGGAGTATGAGGGCAAATGTGTGTGTGCGTGGCGGTGTGTGTGAGTGTTAAAACAGGGCCAATTAGCCCGCAGGCGAAGGAAACATTTGTATGATGGATGCTGGGGATGCAGCAGAGGTTTTTCAGACTGTGTGCCAGTGCGTGCTTACACATGGTGTACAGTGTGGCCAGGTCGCTCCCAGCCACTGAGCGAACCTCTGAGCACAAAAAACCCTCCGATTCCAGAGGGATGCCGCAATCCTGAAGAGAGACAAGTCAATTTTTCCGTCAAAACTAAACACTTCACTGTGCACCGGCCACGTGTAAATACCCTGACTTATAAATTACCTTGAGGGCTTTCCGAGCCTCGTCGATGTTGGGAAAGACTGGAAGGATGTAGTTGGATAAGGTCTCCACATCAGGGGACACACCAAGCTCCTGCATGCCTTTCAGCACCTCCATCACACCTGTGTGACACACAAACATTTATGTCCTTTGAGGAACACTTCATTTGATGAATGGCACATCTCGGCCTGTAAGAGCCACAGAATAATTGAAAATGGCTTGTGTGAATGCCCGAAATCCAGTTTTGTATCTGCGTTTTATTAACTAAGAAATGGTGCTTGACTTTCTTTTATTGATTACCCAAAACACAAACTTGTATCCACTTCATTTTCTCAAAATACACACAATTTCCTGTGTGTAAGTTTATCTCAAAATGACAGACTCTGTGTTGCGGTGGGTCTCGTTCTTCACTTGGGTGATTCGCACACACGCTCTCCTCCACTCGCCCTCATGTACCGGCCTCAAGCTGTAAAAGCCATGTCACACACACTCCTCACCGACAATATGCTAATGGCTGCTTTTCCCTCCACCTTGCCCACGTACACATGTGTACAAAAACACACACTTGGCCTAAAGTGGACTCTTGCACCCTGCTCTCCAGAAGAACCCTGAGGTCCTGCCCTGGGGAACGCCAGAAAAGCCACATGCATATGGAGCAGCTGCACAAATGCAGAAACCTGCGAGCGTGTTGAGCGTGTAAAGAGGAGGAAGAGGAGGCAGCACTTTGTACGTCTGGCAGCCTGTGAAGAAAGACGGGGAGCCTAAAAGAGCAAACACATGACCCTATACATGTCTGTTGTTAAACCGGAGCACACGGGAAATACAACAAATATCTGCAATTCATGCGACACGTGAACACATCACATGTGCCGATACACTTTGCTCTTACACAGCAAACTTCCCAAAGTGCTTCCATGAGCTGACACACCTCAAAATGCTATGTGGATTTACAGCCCACTCAGGTTCACACACACATACATATATAAATATATATAAATATATCTGTGCTTGTACTTCCTCTTGGGATGTACGTGTTTACCTGGCAGTCTCGCTCTTTAGCTGAATAAAAGATGAGCCCTGAGCTTTTATATGCCATTAAAACCCACAGTTGGGCAGCATTATCCCAGGTAGGACTACCTGAACCGCTCCATCCATCCAGCCTCCCCCTCCCTCCACATCTTTCATTCATCTGGCCCTCTCACTACCCATCTACCCGGCTTTCAAGACAAGGAAAACAGGCGATCTTTCCCTTTCTTCTCAATGGAGGATCCATCCCCTTCCGGTCCATTGGTTCATTCTAACCATCTATCTCTTTCATCCTTTCATGCTTTTTTATGAAAGAAGAGAGGAGTAACCTGCTTTCCTCCTGAATAATCCATAATCAATTTCACGGTGAACCAAACAGACAAAAAAAACAGTGAATGGAGAACTTTAGATACCTATGCACGAGGTCGGTGCCTTTCAGCATCATGAGAACCTCATTTGTGCACTAAAGATGTTTGTGTTGTTTGGTAATTGTATTTGTCACCAACAAGATTTCAACCTTTTGAACCAAGGGCAGAATTTGCTCTGTTAACACTACCAACATGTACAACCTTAGAGGAAATATTCTGATTTTTCACTTGGGCCCTATTTTCTGTGACACTGGAGTGTAAAATATTCATAGGCACAAAAATCTTTGCAATGCAAAACACTAAGTGGTGACAACATAAAAATAATGGAGTACACACCCGTAGCAAAGGAAAAGGTTTTGCCTTCCACATTGACAAGCTTTGATTGTTTATAAGTGTGTTAGAAACTAAAGGAGACGATCGCCTCTGGAACCTCATGGAGGTTCAAGCTTGAAATTTGATTGCTTGAAAATTTAAAACCACACTGCAAATGAATCCATAGTGTCGGAGGTCTGACGTGTTTGAGGCATAACCGGACACACAGCGACGTGCGACCTTTCAGTTCGTCGTGTTTGCTTCCAGTTCCTTAAGAAGCCTTATGCTAAAAGCTGAGGGATCTCCTGCAGACTGAGTGGAAGTAATGGAACTCTGCACTTTGCGATTTCTCAGTCAATATGAACACCCCCACCCCCCTCCCGCAGCAATGTTTTTGGCCTGTCAACATCTTAAACCTAAAATAGAAAAGGAATGTTGAGAGAGAAAGTGGAAGATCCTGAATATATAGTACAATAAATGTGGGCCGCCTACCTGTTAAATTGCCAGCCAGTCAGTCAACAGGACACAACCTTACTGAGCACATCTACAGTTTTTGTTGTGTGAGAAAACTCAAAGCAGAAACTTATACAAGGGTTCTATGTATACATCCATAGTATTTCTTTGTTGTTGTAAAAGAAAGGGCAAGGCCTTATGATGGCCGATGAATTTGACTGTAATTGTGTCACATACTGACATGTCTGAACCATCGTATCTGTTCCTATGACGATAACACCGCAGCTCTAACAAACTGGCCTCATTCTGATCCTGACTCCCAAAAACATTTGGCGATTCTGAGGTGTCATTTGTGTCGCTTTCCCTGAAGGTCTTACAGCTTTTCACTCCGCAATCCTCACATATGAGTAAGTCTTTGGGCTGTCTCCCTGTCTGAACAATTTAGACACAGATTTGGTCGGAGCGGAAAGCTGAGAAGAGTAGAGGCCTCCCCAGGTTGGTCAGCAGAAAAGCTGACATACTATCCAGGAAAGAAGTATCAAAGTATTGAGTTAAGCATGGCTGTGGTCACAAGATATCATCATCAGATGCATGTCTTCAGGTTAACTGTCACAGACTAGAAGTGCGGATGGAGAATAAAGAGGAAAGGAGGAGTGGAGTGAACCGGTCGCTGTCATCTCCGACTGTCCTTGGACATGAGTACCTGTCAGTTCTTCTTTCCCTTCTCCTCTAACACCGTCTGTCTCTGCATATCTGCTTGTCTATGACTCTCAAGGTGGAGTTTGTTGCTGGAAGGCAATTTTGGGGGTGGGGGGGGGGGCGCAGAAATATGTACATGAAAATGCCTCCAATTTTTTTTTCTACTAATCAAGCCAATGATTTCTGCTAATAAAATGACAAACAGCCATGGATGTGCTTTGTTTTCGTTCGTTATCCTTAATATTTGGGCAGTATTTCCATTGAGGGGTGGAAACAAAGTCAGAGGTAATGGTCTCAAGGAAGGAGACCCGACCAGACAAGTGAGTGTTTGCGTATCTGTCATCACCGAAAACACTAAAGGCCAGAGAGGCTTTCTCCTTTGACCGTGTCCCTTTCCACTCCCTCCCTTTTTTTTCTGGCTCCGCAGTGTCAGAAGTGGTAAGAGCACATTGCATCGCGAGGACTGACAAGCATTGACTAGCTGGGGGCAGGTGGCAAGTACTACCGAGCATATGCTTTCGCTAAACCCGCCAAATCCACACCTCATCAAAATGTAAAAGCGACCCCCCACCACCCCTCCCGCCTCTCTCTCCTCATTCCTCCCCCACAGCTCTCCCCCAATTCCGCAGCTCTGGCCTCTCTGCCCGCTAGTGACACCTGTGGACAAAAAGTGACACGGCGCTTAATATTTCATGGGCCGTGCACAGTGGGGCGCGTAATCCAAAGTGAATTCCCTCAGAGCGCTCGCATTTACATGAAATCAAGTCACTCTGCATCAGTCACATCACCTGCACTGCCCCCCGAAAAGGCCCCCTTCCCTCCTCGCCCACAAACACACGCGCCTCCAACAGCCAATGAACGCGGGAGAAAAGGGAAAACACAGGCTGCATCATTCATGAGGGTTAAGGAAAAAACACCATTGGAGAAGAGGAAAAGTGTAGAAAAGGAGAAGTTTCCCCACTTTTTTTTCCCCTTCCGTCTCTCCTCTGTTTGCTCTGTCACACCTAAGTGGGTGCTGCCCGCCGTGTGGCTGAGAGTTCATCTGTGTGTGTTGTCGTGCATATTCGAGTTTGTTTCTTGTCCTCTCGCTCAAACCTCCCAGCCAGCTGCGGAGACATCTCCTCATTCAAACTCTGAATCTGTCTGGACCACGCAGCCGAGTCGGTCTGCAGCTGCACCGCATCGGCACCACCACCACCACTTTCCATCTCCCTGCCAGCTCAAATGCCGTCAATTGGCTGACAGGAGAAAAATACATCATTTATTAATGGCTCTAAAAAACCCCAAAGAGAGGGCCGGAGCTCAGCATAAATAAAGCACTTAAAAACCAAGCAGCTGAACACATTTGACAGAATACGTTCACTAATAACTCGAGAATTCTGACAAGTCTCCCAGTGCTGGCAATATCTGTGACTGAGACGATTTCCCCCAAGAGCTTTTCTTTAACGACCTCAAATAGGAAAATAATTTCCACGAGAGGCTGTTTTTACAATCAAATGAACTACAGACTATATGAACTTCATCTTCTCAAGTGTTAAGAACTCATGGGAGAAGAAAATTCGAACGGCATCGATGCCACATCTATGAGAGCTGTCTGTAATAAACACAATATTACAGTGTCAAAAATAACGTGTTGTTATATAGGTTTATTTCATGGGAGAATCAATACTAGAAGTAATTGCTGTTAAATCTGTGGCATGTGTAGAGAATAACAAACACTTTATGATGCCTTCAGGGCTTCTGAAACCCTTGGATAATTAGGTGCGATATAAAAACGGTTGTAGTCAGGACAGCCGCATACTGGGACACACGGGGGGAATGTTTCAGAGTGAGGGACCGAGGAAGGTTTGGGTTCACTAACAAGTTAAGTTTGACAAGATTTGAACAAAGTTGCTGAAGCAAAATGCCCTCTGACCCCATCAGCCTTGGGGATGCATGTGCATTCATGTATGGGGGTGTGTACGTGTTTACAGCTGCCAAGTCCCCCCCCCCCGCCCCTATCCACAGAGACCCAATTAGTTTCAACCATTTGACCTTTATCTGCTGCATTATAAAGCCAACTCCTGGATTTTTTGCTAGCCGCTGTCAGCAGATGATCAGCAGCAATAACTTTCCCCTCAATGAATAATCTGCATCCTTTGAAAACACAAAGAGGACTCAAAATAACGGCTTGATGTAGAGACGTGCTCGCAAAGAGCAGGCTGAAGTGGATAGTGTCGAGGAATGAGGGAGAGAAGTCTGGAAAATATGACTTTCATGTCTGAGGGCTCTTTCTGAAAGTCAAAGCGTCTTTTCGGTCTCCATTAAACGGGAAGTTCGATGTCCACTGAAATTTGCGATCTATTCCAAGAGCTCTCCGGAGAGGTTCAAGTGTGTATTTGTAAGTGTTTATGTACATGTTTGTTTCATCTCCTCCCACTCTAACCCTCTCACGCAGGGATCAGACCCTTTTGCCCTTCACTGCCCCAGCCCAGTGAAATCTGTCCCAAATGGACAACGCTGTGGGTCATTAATATTTGAGGAAAACTCTCCTTTAAAAGCTCTTTCTGGTACAGGATATGTCATAATCCCCTCTACGCCTAACTGAAAAAAGGAAGAAAAAAATGTAATATCATGCTCAGCAAAGAACCTGTTCCATTTTAGGTTATGAACAGCAACAGATACATTTTTCCTCTGTCTTGGGACTCAATTGCACCCATTAGGTTCTCACGTCGCCATGAGCCTGTTCACATGAGGCATAAGTGGTTCTGGGATTCTTCTAAAAATTCACTTTTAAGTCGTGCTTGACTTACACAAGCGAGTGCATTTTGTGAGATTAATTTAGAAGCAGAGACTTAACGCCCTACATGCAGTTGAAAGAAGATGACATCTTCCTTGCTAAACACTCTTATGGCTGTTTTCTTTTGAGTGTTCACCCTCTGAGTCACCAAGAGAACATTCAATTGGATTTACCTGTAAGCCGGTCAGTTCATGGTTGGTGTGACATCCTTAAGATTTGTCCATATAGAGGTGTATGTTCATACCTAGCCGTTTTTTCATGTCCATTTTTAATGTTAGAAACCTAAACCCTTGCCTACTCTTAGCAATCAATGTTTTATAATGCAATAAGAAAAACTATCATATGAAGACATGTACAGTCACACGTTTCAGTGGACATATGTTACCTCTAATTCTAATCTTTACATCATCTTTTTGTGACCAGAAATATAAAAATATGGCTGAGCACGGCCCTGTCTCCGCCCCTGAAGGAAGTGGTTCTCTGTCTCCCTTTGATAGCTAGTTCATTTGGAAGAGCCTTTTATTTTGTTTCCTGCAAGAGAACCTAAACTTTGTCTGGCAGAGTGTGTGTGTGTGTGTATGTGTGTGTGTGTGTGTGTGTGTGTGTGTGCTTTTGTACCGGCTACGTTCTTCTCTTTTGCCGGCTGTGTCAAAAGAGGCCAGAAGTAATGAGGTCTGATGGGCAGGTTCTGCTCTTTCTGTAACTTCATCAGTTCTAAGGATGCGCCTACAAAAAACAGAACAACAGAAAACAAGCATTTTTCAGACTAATTGCTCTCTTGGTTCCACAAAAATAATCAAATATGGCAAATATGGCAACATTTTTCAGGCGGCAAGTGCCTCAGACTAATTTTAGAGGCTTGTGGGAGAAACAGAAGCTTGTGTGTTACCGATCTTTTTGGCCTCCAGGGCACACGACAGGGCGAAGGTGAGAGGAGCGGTGTGCAGATTCATCTCCTCAAGATCTTTGCAGTAGTGGACGACCCTCTCCAGTGACTGCAGTCGGCATCCATGTGTGAAGCATTACAGTTAAAATAAAAAAGAAGAGAGAAAACTCAACATTCATTCTGTGGAGACGAATGACAGCAAACAATTGCATGACGACAGGCAGCAGCTTCTATCTGTTTGTGTGAGGCAAATTGAGGCATTTGTAAGGCAAAGCTTCTCATGTACCGTGCCCACGTTGATGCAGTGTCTGAGGAAGAAGTTGCCCAAGTTGGAGGAATCGTTGCTTTCAGACTGCAGGGTGGGGAAAGTCTTCAGGATGCTGAAGGCTGTTTCGTCGTGCCCCTGAGTGATGAGGCTTAGACACAAGTTCATGGCATCTGGTGGAAGAACGGATGGAGATTCTGCTCAGCCTCACAACACCAAATATAAGTCAAGCATACTTCCGTTGGTGTACGTTTTCCCATTGAGGTGAGACTGGCTGGTGCAGACAGCTGAAATATAAGATGATGTTTGTGTACCTGGTACATAACCCCGCTCATGCCTCAGGCGCTCCACCATCTCTGGGACCAGCTGCTGCTGTCCAGCCTTAGCCAGAGTGAAGATGACCTGCATGATGTCCCTGTCCATCAGGCCGCAGTCGGCACTCTCTGCTGCTTCCAGGGTCTGACACGGCCAGAGAGTACAGCGTGAATAGAAAGGAAACAAGCTTTGCACTCATCCAAACGGGCGTTCAGCACCAGCTGTCAGATCTGAGCCGAAGAGAGCAACGTGTGCTAAAGCTATTCAATCGATTCTACAAGGAAACAAATGATCACAGACAACGACTGACAACGCTGAGATCAGCGATGACGTCGCCTGACCTGCCCCAGCACACACCTTCATCATATTGGCCAGGTCTCCCTTCTCGGCGTAGGCGTTCAACAGGGACACATAAGTGTCGGGGCTCGGTTCGATTCCCGCCCCGCGCATCACAGGCAGGATGTTGGCTGCACTGTCGATGTCACTGCAAAGGAGCAACAGATTGTCTTTACAAGAAGAAACTCTAATATCCAAATGTACTTTTTGCCACACAATGAAGACGACTGAAAGCTGATCCAAAGCTTCCGACACTCACCCCGCACGGGCATGGCCTGTGATCAGAGAGCTGAACACCGCCTCGGTGATAGGCAGGTCTTTGCTCTTCATGAAACCCAAGATGGTGCTGTGAGAGAAGGTAAGATCATTCAAATAGGAAATCAAGAATCTTTCAATGATATCAATACCAAATTGCTTAATTATCCATGCACTGTGCAGAACATGTACGGACATAGTTATAATTTAATAACAATTAAGGTCTGGGGAAGTGGGAAGGGAATAATGCAGGGAAAGGGAATGATTGCAGGAGGATTAGAACTACCGATCATAAACAATTAAAGAGGGTTCACATTTTACTTTCAAGGTACCAAGAAAGTATCCCAATCTTTTAAAAAACTCAAACAGTGCCAGAACAAATCTAGATAAAAAAACTTAACAGTTAGTAAAGCATCATATGGGACTACTACTGGAATAGAACATAAAATAATCTCTCAACAGATGTCAATAAAAAGTTTTCTACCTGGCTCCCTCAATATCTCCATTTTGGCAGTAAGCTGCGATGAGTCTCTGGTAGGTTACCTGTGCACAAGAGATGGGTAAAATCAAACACCTAAACACTGCTAGAGAATCAGGGAGACAAAGGATCATCATCTTAAGAAGGTTAACAAGTAAGTTGCATAATCAATTAAAAATAATATGAGTTGTACCATTTACTGGGTCTGGTAAAACATACTATGAATAATATTGTGATTTTCTGTCCGTTACATTTTAATACTCACTCTGTTGGGCTGTACGTTAGCTCCTTCCATTTTGGCCAGGAACTCAGTGGGGGAGAACTTAAACTCATTCTGCAGGTAGACCTTCAGTAAGGCATTGTAGTGGCTGACATCATACTGTGCTCCTGTGGGATGCAACGAGCAGACAGCATGAGCACACATGGATTCTGCTAAGCCATGAAAGCTTCAAACGGCCAAAAGTAGTGAGAATAGCAGACCTGAAAATCAACCATTATAAACATATCAACATGTTTATCATCTAAAGCGCAAGATTAGCACTTTTAACAGAACTTAACATCAAAGACACCCAGTCTGTTACAATAAGTCACCAACTTGGGGGGTGAGCGTGACACAAAGTTCAGTATCCCTTAATTCTGAGGTCAAATTTATGAAAGTCTGGGTTGGAAATTTTCAAAAAGATTTCCAAAAATAGAGAGATTTTTTAAGACCCGAGCTGGCTCGGTAGGAAAGTGGAATAAACGAGTCTTAATGCCATCAGATGCTGCCTTCTCTTTGGCATGTGCTTACGCAGCTCCAGCAGCCTCTCCCACACACGGTGTGCCAGCTCTGTGCGCTCCTCCAGAGACACTTCCGGCAGCAGAGACCCACAACTACGCAGCAGCAACAAGGCCTGATTACCACTGGGATAACCTGCAAGCAGACAAAAGCTTAGGTTCAATGTAAAAAAACTTCTAAAAGGTAACAACATCAACACTTATGAGCTAGTTCCTTGCCAGGAAAAAAGCACTGTTACATAGATTTCCTGGTTTCAAACACAGAGAAGAGTTAAAAGTATGATTTTGGGATCTCCCCGCCTACCTGTTCTGCAGATATCATGGAAGATACGGAGGAGCAATGTCTTTGTGATGCGGCCGGTCCTCCTCACAGAGGTGTCCAGTTTGGTCAGGGCCCAGTCAAACTGCTGCGCCTGCTTGGAGCGCACCGCAGCGCTGGCCTCATCCTTGTGCTCTGTGGCCACAGCGTAGGTACGCACACAGCCCGCGGCGTACGGCCACACGCGACTGTGTGGGGGTACAGGACGAGTTCAGGGGGGACGCAAAAGAATGTGAGAGAGAGGAACAGTAGATGAACGTGAGACTCCTTGCAACATTTGTGATAAAGAATGTGCCATTTTATCAATAACTGATCAGACATTTTTAAATGCATTAGACTGCTTTAGTACAGCATGTGTCCTCTGTAAATAATCAGTGTTGCTGCACCTTTGGCACTTCAGTGGAGTTGTGACCTTGAAGGTATAAAAAGTCCAACAAAAGCAACCCACAGATACATAACATACATCACTCTGGCATCGACTGGGACCGTTTCGTTTTGCATTTCATCATAAGATTAAAAATAATATTAGCCACGAGGTTAATTCGTCATCACATATCAAACTGGCTACATCATTACAACACAGGTTGGTGGACTGGTGGCTAAAAGCTAGCTAGGCTATACATGAAAACAGTTAAGATAAATGGCAGAATGGATGTAAATTACTGTATCCTTACACAGTATCGTTATTACCTATATTATGTTTATTGACTTCGTTGTCTGTTGAGAAACAGTCAGTCAGCTAAGCCAGTTACACAACATCGCATCATCACCTTGCATAAAAAGGGAGCCATGTTTATCTCACGCTGACAAACCTGGCAGTTAAATAAGGTCGCTTTTTAATGAGACATGATATCACATCAGTTCAAACACAACATTTAACACGGCGTGTCGTGTCTGTTCAAAGACACGTGCGCCTTTGGCTGTCATTGAACCCCAATGACATCTCTGCTTCACGCATGCATCACGGCTACATCGGCTAACGTGCCGCTTCGCACCTGGACACATTGTCAGAAGCAGGGCTGATCTGTGGGGAGCAAACTCCGGGTTTTCTGCCTCCGACCGCTCCGCTGTAGAGCCGACCCAGCGGCGGTCCGTTCCTTTTGGTCCCGACGATCTGAAGCAGGCCCGAAGGCGAAAACTTAAGTAACCGGGCTGATCTCAAGAGCGCAGCCATGTTTCCCGTCAGAGCGTGGGGTAACAACCACACCACGTGATTACTGAGGAAAACATCGCGAGAGGTCCAATTATTTTCGTTTTCTTGGGGAGATTCCAACAGAGCGCTGTCCCAGAGAAGTGATAAAAAATTGCTACAGTATATTTTAAAAGGCTTAAAAAAAGGACAGAACTTTTTTTTTAATCCACATTTATTGGTAACATTTGACATCTTGCTTAACCATTTAGTAAAACATTTTTCACTGATTATACTCAGTCATATGAGATACTAGATGGGACGCACTTGCCTGAAGTGTTGATGTTAGAAGATTAATGCAATGTTTCAAATGTATATCTAATCCTTTCTCCAACATATGAAGATTCAAGTATCATGTAACCAACCCTATATCTCCTGTCCATCAGTATTTAAATGTTTTTATGTAACTGTCTGTGCTCTCTCTTCATGTTGATGTAAATCATGACTTTGCTGCCAGTCCAGATTAATAACACAACTTAATACTATGGCCCAATTTTCTCATGGCTTTTATTGCCTTTTTTCTTCCGGGCTGTGAAACACAAATCAACCATTAGCAAAAAATATCCATATAAAACCTTTTGTGGAAACAGTTTTTAGGTGACAGTTAAAACATTAGTTGATATTGTTAAAGGGAGATGGAAATAATATGACATCTGAACATTAAGAACAAAGTAATGTCCTTGGGTGCTTATGTTTTACAGAAAAGGCCAACCTTTTTATTTTTCATGTTTTATTACAATGCAAACTAAAACAAACACTTCTGTATGACAAACCCATCCTCATCCCAATTCCTCTATCAACTTGCTATCCCCTTTTTTCTTTCCCTTCTTCAGATTCTCCTCCACTACAGTCTTTGCTTTCTCCATACTGCTCCTCACAATTTCTCTTCTACCATGCTCACTCCACAACTCAATGGCCAATTTACGAATCTGCGCTGCATTGTCCAACGCCCAGGCTTGAAAGAATTCACACTTCTTGCTCGCTAGGAAGTACTTCTGTCTCTTTACGCCGTCCTCTCCGTCCTTAGAAAGATCTTTTCTGGCCTTGGAGAGCACAGAGCGGAGCTGACTCAAGGCTGCCAGGCAGTAGCCGACAGCATCCCGTCTGTCTCTCCCCGTCATGATGTGAGCCACTGCTTCCACGGCCCTGGCCGGAGCAAGAGGATCCTCTCTGTCAAAGTAACCTCCGCCTTGAATGAGAGCCTCTCCGCGGTCTAAGGCCTCCGGCAAAGAGCTGAACACCCTGCGCGAGTTCAGCCCCTCAGACAGAGCAAGTACCATGTCACAGAAATCAAACACCAGGGAATCCGTGTCGCCGTTTAACAGACACAGGCTAAAGGCGTAGCCATAAAGTACGCTGACTAACTCATAACTAATGAGAGGAGATGGATTTGCACATAAGGAACTCAACTTTGGAATTTTTGCAGAAATCGGAGGGACTTTGTCCACACCTGAAATTCCTTTATTGTTACTCATTTTCTTTCTGTTTTTGCTTTTCTTATTTTTTACTTCTCTGGCTGATTTGTTTAGATTTTGCCCATCTTCTTGTGATGTACAGACCTGGTGATCATTGTCCGGTTTGTTCATGACAGCAGACGTTTCTCTGTCCAGTGTGACCAGTTCTTCCTCAAGAACTTCTACAAGTGCTCTTGATCCCTCCTCATGTTCCTCCCACCAGGGCTTCCACAAGGGAACAAGCCCACCAAGAGCTCCATCATTCACGAGACCCAGAAACTTCTCTTTCTCCTTGTTACTGAGAAGTTCCCACAGCTCCTCTTCTGAAAGTTGATCAATGTCCAGCCCTGACAGCCGCTCAGCCAACTCTAGCTGGTCTTCCGCACTTTCAAGGTCCTCACCGGTGTCTGCAGGCAGTGGTTCCCCTCGTCCAATATCCTCGAGTTCCCTTAGAATAGCATCAGTTTCTGCAATGTTTTCCTCCCCAGACTGCGAAAGCTCAGCCAACCTGGACAAGAGCTCCATCGCTTGCACCTTCTCAGTTACCCCTACTTCCATCTCATCCGGGTCATTTTCCAAAACACCCACTTCTTTCAACAAACTTTCCATCCCCCCGGGTGTACTCTCTGCTTTTCGTCTGAGTCCCAACAGAATCTCTTGCATTTTCTTTTTGCCCTCCTCTTCAGTTTTTCCCATCTCCTTCAGCTCCTGAAAAACTGACTCCTTGTAAAACTCCTCTGAACACGCAGTGTGTTCTGGGCTCTGGTAGCAAGACAACCCACAATAATGGAGGTTACACCTGGGGCAAGTGTAGTAAGAAGGTTTGCAGTTACACAACATGCACACTGTGCTCCTTCCGGTATTACTCCCAGCCTCTGGAGCCTTCTCCTCCTGGGTCTTGGCGGGGGAGAGAAACTCCTCTTGTCCGTCTGCAGCTCCTCTGGACGGGAGCAGAATCCCATCTCTGGTAAGAGCCTCCGGCTCTGCGTCGGTCCATTCCTCCTCTTTCGGACCGATGTCTGTGAGAAGACGCCGCACAGACGGAGGAAGTCTCCGTCTGATTACCGGATTCATCTGTTGCAGAAACAAAAAACGATTCGCAAGAGTGTCGGACGTCCAAGAACAGTGACCTAAAACACAAAATAACATTCAGTTTATTTTCTGTAGTGCATATTAGGTCTGATAGTCTAACATACAAGTCGTGTTTATTTTGTATACAAAACTAAACGTTTTTTTACATTTATTTTAGTTTAACCGAGATGCTAAATGTAAACAGTGAACGACAGTGTATTTGAAAATACGCTGTTTAATCAAAAGCTTTACTCACTCTACTTCATTGCCACTGACAACGTTTCACGAATGTCGCACAAACGAAGGCACCACGTGTCGCTGGTAGATGACGTCAGAGTCCTACTCTACCCTACCCCCCCCCCACCTCCCACACACAAACACACATGGGTAGATGTATTATTATAATTATTGTTCTTATTGTTTTTAAATGTAGTATTGTCATAGTCGTTATCATAAATAGCAGATACATTTGTAGTAAGTTTGTTATTATTGTTTTTATTGATCATTTTCATTATTACAAAAACAACAACAACAACAAAAATCTTAACAAAAAAATCTAAACAAACAAATCTTAATATCAATACTGTTTTTGGATGAAATACAATTATTTTAGTAAAATTTCCTGTCTAATTTATCAAAATTGTTTATATCACTGTTTGTTTTTTCATTTGGGTGTAAAATCTTAATTATGTATTTGTATTATGTACTGTATTACGTATTTATATTTTTTGGGGTTAAGGGTTTTTTACATTTTATTTTACACTTTTTCTTTGTTTTACATTTAAATTTTTTCTGAAAGAATATTTGAAATATGAGTATCTTTGACAACATCACTAATACGGAGCAGAAAGATCCCTTCATCAATAATCTTTAATATTCTAAATGGAAGATGAATGTAAGTAACAGAAAACAAAAGGTTTTTCTTCACTTTATTATCAGGGATATCAGGGTTTTTGAGTCCAAAATCTGGTAACTATTTCCTCACATATTTATTTAGACGTTGACTTGGTAAAAGTTATGTTGGTGCATACAAATTGCACTAAATCACAAAATCTTCCATAAAGGTTAAATGGTCAAGGTGTTTACTGGAATAAAAAAATAATACATTTAGAGATTAGCCCAGTACATGTAAATGTCTAATAACACTGTTTCACAAAGAGTTCTTCTGTTCACCCAAAACACATCTGGATCTGAAACATCGCAAGCTTGTATTTATGTCACAAACTGACAACAGCCAGATTACATTTTTCTGCCAATTGGTGTGAGTATTTGCGTTTTTGTGTGTCCTCCTGATTGTGCTGTGTCTCCTGTAGGTCTGTTTGCTATGAGGTGATTGTCTCCTGTAGGGGGTCAAGCATGGTAAAGGTCATGCAGGTGGGGAGCTGTCAGATGGCCGTCCACCCCTCACTGGGCTGCGCGGCTCTCGTGCCGCCTGTCAGAGCCTGTGAGGGAAGAAGGAGGAGAAGGAGTGTCTGAGGACGACGTGTGCCATGCTGTCTTGGCCCCGCCCCTGGCAGCTGGACCAGCTGTCCTGGGTGGGCAGCTGCCTCCTCCTATCTTCCTCCTCCTCGTCTGGTATGCTGTGTGACAAATTAGTTCACACACAAGATCTTAGTGAGTGCGATACAGATTATATGTATCAAGTAAAATACATCATCTAATTTAGGACCATTCTCGATATTCTTTTTATGGTATTTTGATTTCATCACTGTAATCATTGCAACTGGGATAAATGATGAAAGAATAATGTAAAATTTCGAATATTATATGTAACAAGACGACTTTTATATGCAGTAGTTTTTTATGTTTGTCTCATGAGGACAATACAGACCTTTCTTACTTTTGGAATGGCTAAAACATAATGATTTTAATGCATATGGAGTCAAACATCGTAATAATACTGAAAAACTTTGTATGTTTCATAAAGGAGCCTAAAGAAATGTACAGATGCAGTTTATAATGATATCAGGTAAATTAAAGATAAGCTTTACAATGTGCAGCTTTAGTGAACCTGACTTGCCAATATCACAGAAATATCCCCTACATGCATAAAACACTGGAGAGAACGCCAATTAATCTTATTTAGCTTAACAGTACAAGTGAAGACTTAAGGAAAAAGAGCTAAACATCAGCAGTGTCCTCACAGATAGAAGCTGTGGCACACACATGCAAACACACTCACATCCCGCTGCCTGCCACCAGCTGATAGGTGACAGTAAACAGGCTCTGCCTTTTGGGCATGTCCAGCCACAGCACGTCTGGAGCTGTCCACAGTACAACAGCAGGGTGTGTGTGGATGTGTGTCTCACAACGTGCGCACATGTGTGTGTCTCTCCAGTTAAAGGGAGTGGGCCCATGTTGACGTGGCCTGTGCTGTCACCTGTCAGCTCAAAAGGATCTGGCATTTCAAGACACCCAAAAGAAAATCTGTGCGTGTTCACTTGTGTGTGTGTGTGTGTGTGTGTGCGTGTGGTGCGGATTGTAGAGTACTGCGTGTATCTAGTCTACATGTGACCAGCTGCCGGGGTCATCTTTGGTTGTTTAGTTCCAAAACTGTATATTTGACTTGTGATTTTATGATGCATGTTTCCTCCATGACTTCATTTGTAGGTTTCAGTCGAACTGTTTTTTTTTTTTAACTTGGGAACCTTTCTTATTGGATGAAATGATCTTGAAGTATTGAAATAGCAGATATGATGGGAGCAGTTGGAACTTTCCACGTTTTAAGGGAAGAGCTGCAGCATTTCCTCTTTTATAGTCGTACACAAACACAGAGGCTGGTCTCTCCCAGAATTCTTTGCAACCACAACTGTCAAAGCGACATCCTATTGCATTTTACCAGTTTTAATAATTGTGAAATGTGACTTAAAAACAAAACTAATCCAAAGACAACACAAAATGCCAGGTGTTTTTTGTTATTTTTTGGTGGCCGATTGACTTTGTTTTCTGATTTTATAGTCTGAGTAGGTTTACCTTTATCCATAAAAAGTCTTGCATATGAATTGTCAGGATTTTACAAAAGGTTACGAGATATAACATTGAGCACCTTTTGAAATATGAAACCTTGTTCCATTGGGAGCAAAGACAGAGTGTGTCCTTTGACAGTCTAATTTGCAGTGATATGCATCAGTTTGAAAGTCAGATGAAATAGGATGAGAAAACAACTAAAGCAGTATGATGAGCTACAGTTTTATGAACTGAAACCTGGCATAGTAACAGCATAGATTTCCGCCACACCCTTTCATCCTCCTTTCAACATTCAGCAATTCCTTTTTTATGAATGAACTCCAGAATGTCAGCAGCATAAAAGCATCAATGTACTCCCTCAATAATTCAACTCCTGGATCTATTATTTTACTTTCTCACAGGAAAGCATTGCTGAGCTGCACACACCCTCCACCTCCACCTCCACCGACTCCTCGTCCCCCTCCTTCATTCGCCCTTTCTCCTTTCCTTTAATTGACCACCTTTGCCGGGTCACTCACTCCACAAAAACAAATCCCTGTTTCCTGTATATGTCCTCGATCCTTCGCAGCCAATGAACTCTCACGGGCTGAGTGTGTGTAGACGTGTGTGTGTGTGTGCTGAGTTCAGTGCGGCGTGTGATGCGCTAAAACACAGGTAGATGGAGCGGTAGCCTCTCAGTGACCTAAAACGACTGCTGACAGAAGTGACAGCAGAAACAAGCAGAGACATGGAAAAAGAAACCTCATACCACTCTAAAAGTCAACTTCCTCTCCAGCTCTGCCTTTTTTGGCTTAAGTTCGAAACAGAGGATCTGATGTGTCACAGAAGCCCGCACCAGCCGTTTTATTATCCCTTTTCTCTCATCAATAGTAGCCTTTATGTTAGGTTTCATACTGGTGATCACACATGCAATCAGTCACTGTTTATCTCAAATTTATTGATGTCCAGCATAGCTCTATCTCTCTGTTGACCTGTTTTTATATCAAGAGAGATCTCTTTGGCTATTAAATACCATTTCTGTCAGTTTAGATTGACCAAATGTAGCTCTACTGTTTTTGTCAGGGGCTGCGGACCGCTGTGGTGGTTAGCGCCGTGGCCCCCACAGCAAGGGTTCCAAGTCCAGAGCCTGGGGGTCGGGGGACCTTTGTGGGGAGCTCGCACGCTTTCCCCTCGTATATGTGGGTTCTCTCCAGTACTTCCTCCCAGTGTCCAAACACGTGCGTGTTAGACTGATTTGGAACTTTAAAAAGCCCATAGAAGTGAGTGTGTGAGGCTGTTCATCCTTGTGCTCTATATGACGGACTGGCAACCACACAAGTCCATCACACAGTCCATGCCTCTCACCCAACGTCAGCCAGGATGCATCTAGCCCCCCATGACTCCGCTAGGAACACATGCGGTGTATGATGGATGGATTTTTTTGTCACTTTTACTATGACAAATTTCATAATATCTCCCTAAAAGAGTCCTTTTAGATCAAACGTTAGATTTGTTTAATTTTGTTATGCATTTTTTTAGCATTTAAAGATATCATTTCATAACATTTTGTGATAACCAAATAAAACATTGTATGAAAACTCATCCATCTTTAGAATGTACCTTTTTCTGAACTTGCATGTCATCTTCATGTCAGGGTAGAACTTATATATTTTTTCTTCGTTGTTATTTATTTGTAGTCTTTGCATGTATGTGCATACTTATTAATTTATTGTTGATTTCAGACCTTTCAATTTAGATCAGTTTTTACTACATTAGTTTTTACTATATTAGTCGGAATGTAACATTAAAGCTGAACAAAAATACTTAAAGTGGGAACTCCTGATTAACTTGACATGGCTTTCACTTTTTCCTTTAAGGAATGGCGGGAGCAATCTTTTATTTTCAGGATGGTCTGCTCTATGTTTTCTCATGGCTTGGAGAAAAATCCTCTGAGACCCTCTCGTGTTTTTGCCTTCTCCCTCTCCTTCTCCATCACACCATTCCCACAGGAGCAAACCTGAGCCTGACTTTATATCGGTGTATCACCCGCTTCCATCTGTCTAACCTGAAGCCCCGTCTCCCCTGTCCCCATGAGAGGGAGAAAAGGATCAAGAAAAGGGGAGAGAGCAGAGACAGAAGCAAGGGACCAGAGGAAAGAAGTGTGTCTGTGTCCCAAAGGATTGGTTTATGTCTCTCTAAATCAGGAAGCGAAAATGTGATGGCAGGAGAGACAGAGCACAGTCATCCTTTTAGAGTGTGTGTCTGTGTGTGTTTGTGCGGACCTTGTTGAACTGAGGTGTCATATATGTGAAGATCACAGCTTCACGCTACTGGCAACCAGGGATGACACTCTAAATCACTGAAATGCCAGAAACAACTGTGCTGTGATATGTGGTGTATCTATACGCTTCTGTTTGTGTGAACGTCTTCTGAGACAGCGGATGCAGATTAATACCACTTTTAGAGTCTGAAAGTGAAAATGTTTTCAAGTATATCACCTCAGAAAAAGAAACCCAGACAATGTGTCACATAGTCTCATCCAGGCCCTGATCCTCTCAGATATTCGCCCATAGTCTGGATCAAAGCAGGCTTTAACCTTTTCTTATGTCTGGTTTACCCTCATGGGCTTGTGGAACCTAACTTCGACACTTATTCTGTACTGAGACACAATAAAACCAGTGATTACTCAAATGCCATCAGCAGTGAAAAAAGACAATAAATGATTGAGAAATTACAACGAAGGCTTATAGGCAGCATTTGACACAATTACTGACTACTTATTTACAATCGATCCAACAAACAAAAAAGAAGAAAAAATTGCTTTCAGTTTCCCCAGAGTAGTAAATAATCTTACACATAAAATGAATTGATTTTTCATTCAGATAAATAAGTTGGATGCTCACAGTCATTGTTATGTAGTTAATAATTTATCAAGAAATGTTACATTCTTAAAAGTGCAGGGTATTTGGATATGAGACTGAGATAAAAACATATAGACAATTCTGTGAAGTCAAGTAACGATGAGTTGAGCTTGAGGAAAAAAAGTTCTTAAAAAAATGACTGTCCTCAGACTGTAAAACGGGACTGTTTTATTATAGCTACAGTTTTGCTTCATGAACACCATGATGTTTTTCTTTCTTTTTAAAGAAACGTGTAAATACACCAAAGATGGATGCATGAAGGTTGGTGACTCAGTCTATGCTTCCTTAGACCACAGTCAAAGTGTCCTTGGGCGAGATACTGAACCCCAGGTTGTCTCCAGTGCATCCAATTATTTGTGAATATGTGCGATGGAGACTAACACTGCATAGACAAAGAGGAGCTGCATCAGTGTGTGTGAATGTTGTTGAGTAAAAAAAGCTTCAAGTGGTTAACCAGACAAAAAAAATGCCATAGAAAAATTAACACCTTTTCCATTTAACTGGCCTGGAATGGAAATGTCGGCTAAAATCCTTATTGCAACTTTCCTGGTTCGACTCCCACACTTCTCTGCAAATCGTGAAAACAAATAATCGATGTTTCAGCGAGAGAAAAAACAGATATACCCTCTAATAATGCAAAAGGGTGTTCAAAAATGTGGAAATGATTCAAAACAAGCCACAAATTCGTTCTGATATTACTGACATGAATTTGAATCAAGAATGTCAGAAACTACTATTATTTAAGAAAATATCCCGGAGGGACAAAACAAATTGATGCTGTTATTCTGCAACCTTTGTTTGCATAACTTCATCATGATTATGTTTGTTATGGAATCTGTCAGCAATGAGCAATCAACGAGAAACAGTTGATAACTATTGTAGCAATTTCTAAAGATAATCTGAATTATTTGCATGAATTTCTGTGGTACCTATAATTACCACAGGACCAATGCTCTCCTGTAGATGATATAGATGTATGTGTGTTTTCAGAAAACATATGCTTCCTCTTGTTGGATAAATAATACGATACAATCAGAAACATCTCCTTGTCGCTTGGTTTCCCTCTCACATTCAGCTGAATATAGGCCAACTCTCTGTTTTCATCATGTCCATCCCAGCACAGTCAAAATAGTGCACTGTTGTTGTTGTCTCCCCTTGTTATTCATACTCCACCTATCTCTTATTACCTCATTCTATGTTTAACTCTGTCTTTCGTGAGGTGTGAGTCACCAAGAATTGTCTCACAGATCAACAGAGCAACTACTCCAGAGATCAGGCAGCACACAGTGCTGCGCGCTGACACTGATGCATTCCCGGCCACATCATTATATCTGTATTAGCAGTAAAAACCTTCACGCTCCAACACCTATATGTCTTCACCGCGTGCCATCTGCACT